TAATCTTATACATTTTATCTCATAAATTTCTTCCTATTTATTTGTATTCAATCGAATATTATTCTCCACAGCACTAACCTTATTTTTTGCATGACTTCGTAGTTTAAGGTCAACATTTTTCTTAAGAAGTTGCTTAGAAATAGCCTTGGTTTCAAATAAATACACATAATTTTCCCGTTTCCACCAATAAGTCCCGATGAATTTTAATAATGCAAACGGAAATCAATGCGAAACTATTGGAGTAAGACCAATTTATTCATCCTAATCTACAAAATTCGAAATACTATATGTTTAATACATTGAGATTGATGCTAGCAAAAACACAACCACCTTAATTCATTTCATCGTAACCAAAATACGTTTAGAAATATTGCTTTGGGTGGGGAATTTTCCTTGGTTTGCTTGTTGCTTTTCGCTTGTTTCATCAAATCCTAACTCCTTTTATTTTGGACCCCACATCAACTTTATTTGGTCTCCTCAAGGTTTCTGTTTCAACTCCTATATAAAACCAAATAACTCATACGTTAATTAGTACACACCACGAAAACTTCTCATAAGATCAATATTGATACCCCCCCCCCCCCCCCCCCCCCAAAAAAAACAGCTATAAAGAAGTGGGAATTGAAACAGCAAATGGGTCTTCCGGCAAAAAATAAAGGTGCGATTTTGTCCAAGATAGCGACCAACAATCAACATGGAGAGAACTCAGAGTATTTTGATGGATGGAAAGCTTACGACAAAGATCCTTTCCATATTTCTCGTAACCCTCATGGGATTATCCAAATGGGTCTTGCAGAGAATCAGGTTTAGATCATATATATCATCCAATAAATCATTTCATATGTTGTTGTCGTTGTGCATGAACTTCCATTTATTAGCTAGCATGAACACGTATACACATCAAATAACACACATTTTTCTAAAATTCTTACAGCTTTGCTTAGATTTGATCAAAGATTGGGTCAAAGAGAACCCAGAAGCTTCTATTTGCACCCTTGAAGGTGTTCATCAGTTTAGCGACATCGCTAATTTTCAAGACTACCATGGTCTTAAGAAGTTTAGACAGGTATAAATCATTCATTATTCAGATATCTTGTAATCATCAGGGACATGTCAAAAAACAAATTTTACATGGCAAGTTAGTATAACCTCTAAACATCATCAGTTGATATGATTTGCATAAGAAAAACAAATTTAGTCGTGTTACATTTTTTTTTGTTGATAAAGATTCGTATTACATTTAGTAACTTAATTATATATAAACATATCCCAATCTAAATTTTGGAATTGAAGGCAATTGCACATTTCATGGGAAAAGCTAGAGGTGGAAGAGTGACATTTGATCCGGAGAGGGTGGTTATGAGCGGCGGCGCCACTGGAGCCAATGAAACAATTATGTTCTGCCTTGCCGATCCCGGCGACGTTTTCCTCATTCCCTCTCCTTACTATGCCGCGTAAGCATTTTTTATATATAAATAATCACATTTTAAAAATAAAATAGTAAATGATAATGGATAATGGTTAGGAGAAATTTCATTAATGTTACTTTCACATACTTTTTGGGTTAACAAATTCTAAATCAAAATGTGTTAATAGTATTAGTATCAAGTTTTGACTCTTTAGCCAACTTTTTCACACGTGTAAGCTATATCAGTTCAATTGCGGTTTTAATTCAACGACTTAATACGTGTGATAATTATTTAATCCTTTTTTGCAGATTTGATAGAGACTTGAGGTGGCGTACAGGTGTCGAGATAATCCCGGTTCCTTGTCCAAGCTCCAACAATTTCAAATTAACCGTTGAGGCCGTGGATTGGGCTTATAAAAAGGCCCAAGAGTCCAATAAAAAAATCAAAGGTCTGATTTTGACCAACCCATCAAATCCACTCGGTACGATGTTGGATAAGGACACACTCACGAACTTAGTCCGGTTCGTCACGAGAAAGAACATTCACCTAGTTGTCGACGAGATCTACGCCGCCACAGTCTTCGCCGGAGGAGATTTTGTGAGCGTTGCTGAGGTGGTCAACGATGTGGACATCTCTGAAGTCAACGTTGACTTGATTCACATTGTCTATAGTCTTTCTAAAGACATGGGACTTCCTGGTTTTAGAGTCGGGATAGTCTATTCTTACAATGACTCCGTCGTGTCTTGCGCAAGAAAAATGTCGAGTTTCGGACTTGTTTCGTCTCAGACACAACTCATGCTTGCTTCGATGTTGTCAGATGATCGGTTTGTGGATAATTTTCTTATGGAAAGCTCGAAAAGGTTAGGGATAAGGCATAAAGTTTTTACCACAGGGCTCAAGAAAGCAGATATTTCTTGTTTGACAAGCAACGCAGGTTTATTTGCGTGGATGGATTTGAGACATCTATTGAGAGATCGTAACTCGTTTGAATCTGAGATCGAGCTTTGGCATATAATCATCGATAAAGTTAAGCTCAATGTGTCTCCTGGATCTTCCTTCCGTTGCACGGAACCTGGATGGTTTAGGGTTTGCTTTGCCAACATGGACGATGATACTCTCCATGTGGCGCTGGGACGGATCCAAGATTTCGTGTCTAAGAACAACAACAAGATTGTTGAGCAAATATCTGAAAATGATCAGGTAATCCAGAACAACAATGCTAAAAAGCAGAATTGGAGGCAAAGCAATCTTCGACTAAGTTTCCGACGACTTTACGAGGATGGTCTCGCGTCGCCAGGGATAATGTCACCGCACTCACCTCTTCTCCGAGCATGAAATCTTAAGGCATAACGCCTGAGAGATTAGATTAACTCATGTCTTCGTTTTTTCTTTTATTGTACAATTGGAATAATTCAACTTCGACATTAGGGTTGTTTTTGACCGCCAGCTTTTTTCCTGGGGTCAAATGGTAACTTTTAAGATTTTATGTGTTTAATTCTGTTTTTTTCCGCTTAGGATTTTAATCGATGGATTGTCCTAGTGGTGCTGGTGCGTAGCACTTATGTTTTTGTGTGTAATAAATGAAACATTATCTTTGATAATTTATAATAATTGGATCACCAGAGTTTACTAGTTGGGGAGGTTGATAAATGTACGTAATGGAGGATTTGTTAAGCTAATTTTTCGATTTTTCTAGACCAACATTTTCTTGATCGCCCAATACGTCACACGTACATGCCACCATGCCTATCCTTTTTTCTAAAATAATCATTATATGTACTAATTTGAACATTCGATTGCAATTAATTAATGCATGTTATATAAGTTTTTATTTATTTGGAATTTGGCCTTGCCAATAATAAGGTGGGTGATGAAAGATTCAGATCAGCATTTCAGCTGCACCAAATATGATTAAATTCAACTTATTATTTTGTTACAAAGTGACAAATTTGCTTAGAATAATCGGCTATATATCAAACATGATGACATCTCCATTAATTATTCATGAATCGTCAGCTTTCTATTCCCTTTTTCTTTGTTAATGATAAACCGTCAGCATATAATATGAGATTTGGTCCTCTTTTGGTAAACCATTAGCTATTAGTTTTCAATTTTATAGATCTCAGATTTATAAATTTATTACGCTCATGAAATCATATTATATATACGTGCTATTAAGACTTGGTTAGGTAATTAAGTGTTAAAGATAAGGCGTGCTTTGGGCCGCCTCTTGGTTGATATTGATACTACACACACGAACAAAAATAAAAATAAAGATTATATAAGACAAATATTAAATTTTGATACTTGGAAATAATGGGTTGATCCTTTTCACACAGATTAATATGTATCTGGATAATTAAGTATATAAATTTGTGTATATGTTGATAGATATCTCTGTCTATTTATATTCATCGACATTGTGGTCGTCATCACCAGTCACCACCAATTCATGATCATCAACAGTAATTTACGAAACATGATCAAGTAATATATTTATTTTGTTTGGTAGAAAAAATGACATGGGCAAGGTTTTTTTGGTAGTGATTAGTGAATAATCTTTTTAGTATTCACGGGAACTTATTTTGTCATGTATTTTGTTTTGACCCTAAAATATATATATAGCATAAAATGAAAATGATGCAAAGTTTTTATGTGAGTTTTCACATGCTCCTTTTAGGTGTCTACCTACCAAAATGTTTTTGACATTTGCATTTGGTTTGAGCCACAACTTGATCTATGACATTTACAATGCACTTGGTTACGTGAAGAATAGATAATTCAATTTATTGAAAATATAGTCAATCTTTCGGTGTCGAAAAAGAAAGAAGCTTGTATGTGGCCATGAATTTTTATTCTTAAGTTGTTTCTAGAATATAATTATTTTTAATATTAAGATATATAAATAAATAATTTAGAACTTCACTTTATGCTATTATTCCCTGAAATAAAGGTACATAATATTTGTGAAGAAAAAATAAAACCTAGAACCATTCAAAATGATTTACCTCTTCCTCTTACAAAATTTCTAAAAGTGACTCATCAGATGATCATGAAGGCCATGCCCTTTCGCTTCGTGCAAAACAGAAGTAAAAATAAATTATCAAATTTTAAGCTGAAATGTTAATAAGCCGCCCAACAACATTTTATTTACCTAAACTAACACCCCCATACATTTTAAAATATATAAGCTGCAATAAAAAAAAACTTTGACAATAACATATATAGTTATGAAATATACAGATCCTTAACAAGAAGATGACCAGAATATCAAAATCGAATCAAAACATTAATTGCAGAACTATTGTTTTTAAAACTATTTTGCAATTTAGCCATTCCATTGGCTTCCAAAGAAGTATAGACACAAAGGCATTCTAATATCACACTTTAAAAAATTACAAGACTAACGCATATATATAACACCGTTATTTACAGATAGTTCCTTCAAAGTAAAAAATAAAATTCTAGTACTATCGACGATATATACACAAAACATATCATCGAAATCGATTTAAGGAAATAAATTTTCCCCGCATTATCGAGGAAAAAAAAACATATCTGATCCCATCCGAATCGATATATCTTAGTCTAAGATACATCCTGTGTTTCTTATTCTTCATCCTCACTATAGATCGGCCCATCTTTTCACCAAAATATATTATGTTATAGATTTTTCAACATATAACGCAAGCATTAGGGTTTTCTTCGATGCTTTGGGCGTAGTAATACGTTGTTAGGTGAGGATTATATGCTTTATACGCCTTTACAAGTTCCAACACATGATCCGGTGGCGGTACAACTGGTTGCGGCTGCGGTTGTGGTTGATCTTTCTTCTCTCCTTCCTTCTTATCGCCACCTTCTTTCTTCTCTTCTTCCTTCTTCGGCGCTTCTCCTTCCTTTTTCCCTTCTTCTTTTGGAGCTTCTCCTTCTTTCTTCGGCGGCTCACCACCACCTTCCTTCTTCGGCTCCTCCTTCTTCTCCTTTTCCGGTTCTTTAGCAGGTCCCACTAGTATGATATCCGTCATCGGCCAATACTTTCTTAGCTTACTTACTACATTTACCGGATCGACAGTTCCGATCACCGTTAATTTCTTCTCCTTCATGTCCATTGCAATGGAATCGATTCCTAAAAAAAAATTAAGATGCAACTTGTAACCTTCCATAGACACTTAAGTTTTTGTCCCTATTGATATAAGTTGCAACATTTTGGAGACGATTTACCAAAAAGGAAAGTAAAAAACTTTGTTTGACACAAACAAATAAAACAATCTTTGACTTATATGCTTTTTCGATTTTGTTGACACCATATGATTTATCAACTGATGGATGGGCACGTATTTCAAAGAAGCAATAGTGGCCTAGATTTGATTTTATTCCAAGAAAATAAAACAAAGAATTTCACAAATAAACAATAATTGAGTTATGGAGCAATATTTTTTTACCGTACTGTCACTATTGAAAAAGAGAGACACTTCTGTCAGAACAGCTCGTGATTGTTCATCAACAATAAAGAAATTTTAAACATTTTTCACTCTGTTTACACACCCACCTACCAAATCGGAGACTGATTAAACCGGACCGGAAACCATTTATCTCATAGTTGGTTTAGAAGAAGTGAGAACTAAAGAGATCTGAGACTCATTTTCTGATGTGTAAACAACATTATATAACATGAGCATGAAAAAATGATTACCTGGGAGAGTAGAAACAGTTTTGAGGGCCTTTTGTTTTGCCTTATCATCATGCAAATCCAGCTTTAACACAATTTTCTGCAAAATCATTACAAAATATAAACAAATTAGATTTAGTGAAATAAATTTAAAGTGATGTGAACACAAAGATGATATAATCTTTTATTTTTTTGGTTTTCCCTCTCAGGAATTTTGCAGAACATGCAACCTAGAAAAAAGCAATTGAATCACCAAGAGCAACACAGAGTCCAGAGGAACAACAACAAAAAAAAGAAGAGATTTGCAATCTTTAAAGAAGATACTAAAAAAAACGACTGATATATTCTGTGACATGCATGTGTGTTTGTGTCAACATAGTAAAGAAACAGAGTTTTGCAAAAGCAGAGAATGCACATCATTCAATTTGTGATTTAATTTTGTTAATTATAGTAAAGGAAAAACGGTATCTCTACAAAAAAAATCATGAAAAAAAAAAAGAGAAAAGGAAGAAGAATTTCGTTGCAGTTATAGATCAGGATAAGTTAAAAAAAGTGAGATTTAAAAAAAAAAACTCCAAAAGAAGCAAATCACATGTAATAAACACACACATGAAGTAATGCAAAAAGGAATAAATCCAGAGAGATTCATTAATAACGAATAAAAACAGAAAAAGGCTTGTTACTTTCAGAATCAAGATGAAACAAGAATCAAAACCCATTTTTCTTATAGAAATTATAATCCTAGGAATCAAATCTTGCATACGTGTAAAGAGAGAGAGAGAGAGATGGACCTTCATTGCTCTCTGTTTTGTTAGGTTAACTTGAATTCTCAAGAATATGCAAAGAGAGAGAGAGATGTGAAAAAGATTTGTCTCAGAGTTACAAGAGAGAGAGAGAGAATTGAGAATAAAGAAGAGAATGAAATAATAGGAAACTTGTGAAGACGATAAGAGAGATTGGACACTGATCGTTATTAAAAAATACCCAAATCCTGACAAATACTGGAGATTAATAGAGAGAAAGAGAAAGATGCATGCAGAGAGATCAGTCTCTCAATAATGAATGAATGAATGGTACGAAATAGAGAGAGCGACGAAGAAGAGATGTAATTTCTTCGATTTATTTCATTGACGCGCGTGGTGTCTTACACGTCGTCTTCAAGTGTTGTGTTGAGCCTCAGCGTCATTACTTTCGGTCCTTTGCTTTGTGTTTGTTTCCTTTTTTCTGACCCTTTGAAATTTCTTTCTCACCTTATCCACGTCATTTTTTCTTTATTATCTAAATGGAATTCCTACTTTTGATATAATACATTTTTCGTTTTTGTATTTTGGGACCAGAATTATATATAAGTTTATAGTAGTATTTTACACACTCGGGAGTATCAACCAATTTTGTCATTTTCATACAATGGTACCGAGAGACATATTACAACATCCTAATTAGGTTTGCGTACCTATACTCAGTACGAATAATTAATCCAATCATAATAATTAGTTTAACTGTTATGGGTATATTAATCAAATAGTTTATTTGATTATATCACCTCTTTGTGTTTGAAATTCCTTTTTTCCTGACCCTTTGAAGTAATCAATGGTAAAACCAAAATTTTATATATATATATAGTACGTATTAGATCTTTTCTCTTTATCATCTAACCATCGTTTGACGGTTTTTTTTTTCTTTTGGTAAAAACACAAGAAAAAGAAAAAATGTATACAATCATTAAGAAGATATTGTAACACTCAAATTGTCAATATATCTAAAATTCCATTCTATGATAGATTATTTTCTCAAGTTTTTTTTTTGTATACGAAATAGTCTAATAATTGAGTCATTGCTATCCCACCATTGGTTTGCCAATCCTACACGAATTTGATTCCCTAAATAACGACAAATAATATTCTCCAAGCCCAAAAAAAAAACACATTAGTAATAATGGGAAACAGCTGCATATTCCACGTGTTTGCCCACGTAGATTAATTTTAATTTCTCTTTAATATTTTACGTCCACGAAAATATATACAAGTGGATTGTGTTTTGGCTTGCGCGTGAGAACGCAGAAACTGCGAGTAGAGGAAACGAGACGTGATGAGATTTGTGTAAATCTGGGCCACTTAGAGTGGAATGTGGGACACACACTACTCTGATGTAAGAAATTCTAAAATATGTATTTATTAGTTTTTAAAAAGGCGGCTTAATTAGTCAATTCTTAGCCTTACGTTGATCTTACCATCCTCATCTTCTGATCTAGACCGTTAATTCTAAGTCTTAGGAGGACTTGCATGTTATAGTTTGACGATTAATCAAAGAGTAAACACAATTTGACCTAAGTACCCATTCATTATTTTATGGTAAACTAAAAAAAAAAAAAAATCTATAAAAACACTTTGCTTTATAGTTTGACCAAAAATTGAAATGGTATTTTTGATGGTTTGAATAGTAGTTACAGCTGCTAGTAATGGAGTTGCTTGTTTTTGAAAATTTGAGTCTATTTTGTTAACTTTTCAGTTTATTATTATCTTAAACAAATTTTTTAATCTTATCTTAGAAATGATGATGTGTTACTTAAGAATATAACAGACAGTGTTTTTATATGTGGAAACACGTACAATTGGGGACAATATTGTTATCTTAACTATCTTAATCCCCTATCATAATTGCACACTATATAAATTAAGGCAAAACAAAGTGTTTTATTTGTTAACTAACCTCTAAGTATAAAAAATCCAACGTCAGCGTAAAATATGATTACGAATTAAATGTTAACTAAACATTACGAAATGTATTAAAAAAAAAAACTAATCTTACAATTGGAGGATCTAAAATACGGTCCAAATCATACTACATGGTGCAATTAAGTGACATAAAATCAACTAAGTAAACCTCCGACACGGATCTTGAGTTGCGGACATACACATGAATTGCAAAATCTTTATTTCAATTAGACGTTAATTAAATCTTGATGTCAGATTAATCTTAAATATGAATTTCACTTTATGATTAAATTCGCCTACCTAATTAGAAAGTGAAATGACAAACCCCAATCTTTTCGGTGTTAACAAAAAGAGGAAGAAGAAGAAAACATTATAGCCGGCCTATTAATATATATCCAAAGTTGGTCCAATTAATCCGACAAGATCTTAGATCGAACGGTGAGGAATCCTCCAAGGGTAACTCTTCAACGGCTGATAAATTTTCTTTTCAACCATTGAGAAAAAGAACGTCTACTAAAGAATATAATGGCTATGATTAAATATAATAATTGCCGTACGGTCAATGACCCGAATGAGTAAAATGATGTTGCTTTCTGAATCATAAATATGGTCTGCTTTTTATAAATATATCCATAACTTTTTGCAAAGAACCATATAATTTTAGGCTGTAGTTAGTACGAAAAAACAATATTACAGTAGTTGGTCTAAAATGATTTGCAGCAACTGAGCCCAGTCCATATGTTTAAAGCCCATTTAACGGACTGTGTGGAATTTGTGGCCCAGTTATTTAACTTTTTGTTTGTGTGTGGAAAAAGCCAAAAAAAAACTGTCACACGTGCGAGACTCACAGGTGGGGGTAATTATCCTGTCGGTTTCTTCTTCTTTGACCCCTCCGTAATTACCTCGTCTTCAAACAAATATTTATTTTGACCTTTTTTTACCTTCCAAAATATCTGAAACCTCAAAAAACCTAAACAAACAAAAAAAAAGTTGCTGTTCGATTCCCTCATTCATTCTCTGCTTGTTCCTCAAAATCCTTCAATTTCAATCAAATCCAGATTTGCGAATTGGTGTTTTCTTGATTCTCGATGATTTCGAAAGATCACAATCATCATCATCATCAGGATCCTTTGGGTACAACCAAATCGTACCACATGAAAACCTCCGCCGTATCGCCACCGCCGTCGTCGACATCAACAATTGCGTTGTCGCAATCGGCGTGGCTGGAGGTTCGTTTGTTCTACGTCCGTATCGCTCCTTGCGTCGTTGAGAACGTCCCTGACTTTCTTACCCTCCGTCACCCTCGTCGCGAAACCGGTGCTTCTCTTGAGGTTAACGGCTTTCGCGTTCCTTCCTCTCAGACGGCGTCGCTTAAACTCCGCCGTGACAGAGTCGACCGGGAATCGTCGGAGGTGACTTACGTTAGCACTGAGACCGTTCGCGTTACCGGATGCGTTGATTTCGAGGTTTATGATAACGACGATATGGTCTTGTGTGGGAACCTAGATAGAATCGAAGGTGCTTGGAACAATGGAACTGTGAGTGATCCCAAGACTGGATGGGGCATGGATTGTTACATTGCTATGGGAAACGGACACGTGTCGGGTCCTTCTTCTTCTGCGTTTTTCCAGCCAAAGTTTGGAGTTTCGTCTCCATCCGTGGAGGTTTATATAGCTGGTTGTTGTGGCGGTGTTCCGGTGATATTGACCAAGACGATTCAGGCGAGTCCCAGGAGGAAGGTGGCTAGGCACGTGACACTTGATGCTATCCCTGAGGATGAGGAAGTTGGCAAAGAGCAAGACATTGGTACCATTGGTGATGAATTGGCCCGGCAAAGCAAAGTACAGGTATGATTCGGATTTAGAACTCTCTGAGTGATGATTGTCCAAGCCCTTAAGTGACAATTCTTTACTTGGGATTGAGATTTGAAAAGGTTGCTTCTTTCTTCGTCTAGTTTTGTGAGTTATGAATGCTGTAGCAGATATTTAGTTATTAAGACCACTCGCAAGTTTCTGGTGAATTTAGCTCCTTCTTGAATATTATCTTTGACTCTACACCTGAATTTGAGAATTTTAGATTGTTGTCTGATCAGCAATTTAGATATGGTTATAGGTCAAGAGACTCTCTTTGCATATAATGGTGTTAGAAACTCCCACTTTGTTGGTTCTTTATCTTGTGTGTCTCGTTTATGCAGATGATGGAATCAGAAGTTGATGACTACGATGACTCTGAGATGAAAATGGCACAGAGATATTACCCTGAAGGGATGTACGTTGATGAGGATGGTCAGCTCTCATGGTTCAATGCAGGTGTCAGAGTCGGAGTTGGGATAGGCCTTGGGATGTGTCTTGGTGTAGGCATTGGAGTTGGATTACTCATGCGTTCGTATCAAGCAACAACTAGTAACCTTCGTAGGAGGTTTCTCTGATGATCATCACCTACCATAAACTAAAAACCCACTGATACATGTCGAGATCTAAGAATGTTGGCGACATAGTGGGTTATAAAAGAATAGAATTTTGGTAGATAGATGTATAGAGCTTTTGGTTTTCACCAGTTTGTGTCCCTCTTTTCCGTATATATAATCGGCTCTGTTCATATACTTTAGTAGCACAAGAGAGAGTTCATATACTCTAGTCATGTTCTTTTGTTTTTTCGTTTCTTTAATTTGTCTATGTCGTTGCTCTTGTGTAGAAAGAGATTTCGTGTTGTTGTTGTCAAACTCAAACTCTGGAGTTTGTCTTTCGGTTTCTGGTCAGGAAATAATGTGGCATAGGGAATGTACATGTTTTTTTTTTTTTTTTGTTAATTGCTTGCATTAAATTTAAACGTGGCAAGAAGGCCATAATGTGTTACAAAGCCCATTCTAGTACCCTTACACAAATACAAACTAAACCCAATTAAAGAATTAGCCCATTTACGACAATTAGAGAAGAGAAAATTTTCCAGCCGACGAACTCGTTCTGGAATTGATCAGATCAAACGAGAGACGACCACAGTTGCATGTATTCACTGGCGACTTGAGGATTCTGGCTGCGAAAAGATGAAATTCGATTCTTGATGATGCTTTCAATGAGGCGAATAATTGAATCAGTTGACCGGTGAGTTTGCCGATGAAGTCTATTGTTCCGCTCCTTCCAAATTTCATAGATCGTGATTTGCCAAGCCAACAGAAGGAATGTACATGTTTCACCTGTATTACTTTGTTTGCAATTAGTTTGTAATTAAATTAAGATATATACGGCGTCAGCAAGAAGACGGCGTCATTGAGCCTAAATGTCAAAACGCTGCTACGAAAAATTCTGGGAAAACGTCAACGACTGCTGGCTTATTTGTCAAAAAAAACGCGAGCATCAGCATTCAGCAGCATTGGACCAAATAAATATGCCTTTCAATTTGTGAAAATTGTATTTTAGCCCCTGAAAATTATTATAAATGCAATTTAGCCCCTTAATTTTGTCAGAGTTTACAACATTGAACCCTAAATCATTATGTTCCCAAAATCAAAATTTCACTCCTCGAGAGTAGCGAGAAGAAGAAGGAGATGAGCAAGATCCGTTCGTCTGCGACAATGCCACATCGCGACCAGCCGTCACCGGCGTCTCCTCACGTCGTTACACTCAACTGTATAGAGGATTGTGCGCTCGAGCAAGACTCCCTCGCCGGCGTTGCTGGTGTCGAATACGTCCCGCTCAGCCGCATCGCCGATGGTAAGATCGAGTCCGCCACCGCCGTTCTCCTCCATTCCCTCGCTTATCTTCCACGCGCAGCTCAACGCCGACTCCGTCCTCACCAGCTCATTCTCTGCCTTGGCTCTGCTGATCGCGCTGTCGATTCGACTCTCGCCGCCGACCTAGGTCTCCGACTTGTCCATGTCGATACTTCCCGAGCCGAGGAAATCGCGGATACTGTAATGGCGCTTATCCTTGGACTCCTTCGACGGACGCATTTACTCTCGCGACACGCTCTATCGGCGTCTGGATGGCTCGGATCGCTTCAGCCTCTTTGCCGGGGAATGAGACGGTGCCGTGGTATGGTTTTGGGTATCGTTGGCAGATCTGTATCCGCTCGGTATTTGGCTAGTAGAAGCTTAGCTTTCAAGATGAGTGTGCTATACTTCGATGTCCCAGAGGTATATATGTTGCCAATGTCTCGCTTAGCTTTTAGTATCTTAGTATAATCTGACTCTTTAGGGATCAAGAGGCCAAAAATGTGCTAAGTTCTTACTATGATGCCTTTCTATCAAGTTTCTTTCGCTTGGATGTTATATTTGTTGTCAATAGTTGCGTTTGCATCTGTTCAGGGAGATGAAGAACGAATCAGGCCCTCAAGATTCCCACGCGCTGCGCGAAGAATGGATACATTGAATGATCTTCTAGCAGCAAGTGATGTAATTTCGCTTCATTGTGCATTAACAAATGACACGGTTCAGATACTCAATGCAGAGTGTTTGCAGCATATAAAACCTGGTATGAGTTTTTCTTGTCTGGTCAGTTAAATGAAGTTTGATTCGCCATGAATGTAAATTGAAGATGAACTTCTGCTTTCTCTCATTCCTTTCAATTCTGGTTGATTTTATGTATTAGGGGCTTTTCTTGTAAATACTGGAAGCTGCCAGCTGTTGGATGATTGTGCTGTGAAACAACTTCTAATTGACGGCACTATCGCTGGCTGCGCCCTTGACGGTGCTGAAGGTCCGCAATGGATGGAAGCATGGGTATGAATTTCTTTTCCGGTGACTCAACTTCACATTTTTGCCTGCTTATTCTCTTGTTACATTATCTTCTCTCTTTCTGTTGTTTATCCTGCATCAACTATATCTTGTTTTCATTGCAGGTGAAGGAAATGCCAAATGTGTTAATTCTACCTCGCAGCGCAGACTACAGTGAGGAAGTATGGATGGAGATAAGGGAGAAGGCCATCTCTATCTTGCATTCATTTTTCTTAGATGGTGTCATACCAAGTAACACTGTTTCTGATGAGGAAGTTGAGGAAAGTGAAGCAAGTGAAGAAGAAGAACAATCACCTATCAAACACGAGAAATTAGCAATAGTGGAATCCACCAGTAGGCAACAGGTAGAAAGTTCTCTCACCAGCACTGAGATCGTTCATAGAGAGGCTAGTGAGTTAAAGGAATCTCTGAGCCCTGGTCAGCAACACCTTTCTCAAAATACTGCTGTAAAACCTGAAGGAAGACGTAGCAGATCCGGTAAGAAAGCCAAAAAGAGACATTCACAGCAAAAATACATGCAAAAAGCGGAGGGTTCCTCAGGGTTAAATGAAGAAAGTACTTCACGAAGAGATGATATTGCTATGAGTGACACGGAAGAAGTATTAAGTTCCAGTTCTAGATGTGCATCTCCTGAAGATTCCAGAAGTAGGAAAACACCTCTTGAAGTAATGCAAGAGTCTTCCCCAAGTCAGCTTGTAATGTCAAGTAAGAAGTTCATTGGAAAGTCTAGTGAGCTGCTGAAAGATGGATATGTTGTAGCCTTATATGCGAAAGACCTCTCGGGTCTTCACGTTTCCAGGCAAAGAACGAAAAATGGTGGTTGGTTCCTCGATACTTTGTCCAATGTATCCAAACGGGATCCTGCTGCACAATTCATCATCGCATACAGAAACAAGGTAAACCTTTTTTTTTTCTCTCTCTCTCTCTCTTCCTTTTCATTTATCTTGCTTACCATGCCAGATAGCCCGTTATAATTGGTTTTGGTGTATGAACTTGTTCTCCAGGACACTGTTGGTCTGAGATCATTTGCTGCTGGTGGGAAGTTACTGCAGGTACCTCTTACATTACAGATTGTTACTTCCATAGATAACTAGAAGGTGCTCTTGTGGAAACTAAGTGGTTGTGTGTGTGTGCAGATCAATAGAAGAATGGAGTTTGTGTTTGCTAGCCATAGTTTTGACGTGTGGGAGAGTTGGAGTCTAGAAGGTTATCTGGACGAATGCCGGCTTGTAAACTGCAGGAATTCCTCTGTAAGTCTCTGTCCTTATACAAAATGGTCCGAAATTGAAAAACCCTAATTCTTGGACAGCAGAAATAATTTGTGTAAATGTTAAAAACCAATGTTGTAGGCGGTGTTGGACGTTCGTGTGGAAATATTGGCAATGGTAGGAGATGATGGTATCACACGTTGGATCGATTAAAAAGGAAAACAGAGTCTCTCCATTTGTGAGTTTCTCTCTTTTAATTTCTCTTGTTACTTTAACATCCTTAGGATTCACAGACCAAAAACAAAGGCACCCAATTTTTGTGTTTTGAAACTGTCGTGTGTTGTGTAGTTGGTATCAACCAACTTATATCTGTAATCATTGTTTCTTTCTATTATTCTCGGATTGCAGCAACATCCGATGAGCTTGTCTTAGAGGGACGTTTGTTGTTGTTTTTCTGGGTCTGGTCGTGATGAACTTGAAAGTATTGTGTGTTTGGTTAGTATTTTGAAATAGATGTGTGTATTGTATTTGTATATGTTGCGTTTGTGTTTTAGAAATCATCGTACATTACTAAAACTTGAGCTAAACTACAAAAGAAAGCTAGACTACATTTTTCCGAACCAGGCTCCAGCTATCTCGGAAATATATGATTTGCTGCTTACGATCGTAATCCACGTGGCAATTTATCTGCCGTGGATTTTAAAGTTGTACGTGGCGTGAGTGTTAGTAGAATGTCCACATGGCTTGTAGTTGTTAGTCCCACGCTCTGAACTAGAGCAACCGGCTCCTTACACGTGTTTGGCTTGAATCCATTTTCCTTTGAGATTACGCTTCTACCCTTGTCTGCCTCTCCCGCTTATACCACCACCACGGCACCAGTCACACAACACATGTCTCACAAACTCTGTTTCAAACCAAAAGGGAACTTTGTGTGTGTTTTCAAGTTTTATGGTGACTGTAAACCCTAGCCAAGGTCATTGTTTACCCATGAGTATGAATCTACCGGGTTACAATACTCTTCCCCACGCGGCAACAACGATACCGGTTTCCATACGGAGCAATACGATGTCGTTTATTGAGGATCCAACAAAGAAGATTAGGAAGCCTTACACAATCACCAAGTCTAGAGAGAACTGGACGGAGCAAGAACACGACAAGTTTCTTGAAGCTCTTCATTTGTATGTTGACACGGATTTCACTTCTCTGCCTTCTTTATCTGTTTAATAATATCTTTCTTATTGAGATTTGTTCTTTCTTCTGATATGATCATTTCTATTTGATTACAGATTTGACCGGGATTGGAAGAAAATCGAGGCCTTTGTTGGATCAAAAACAGTGATACAGGTAATCAATCAAACATATGCATTTGATTCTTTTGTCTGAAATTACATTTTTTTTTAAGTAACTTTGTGAACTCTGTATCTAAGCTATATGTATCTCTATGTTGGATTGGTTTGGTAGATACGAAGCCACGCACAGAAATACTTTCTCAAAGTTCAGAAGAATGGGACTAAAGAACATCTCCCACCTCCTCGACCAAAGAGGAAAGCCAATCATCCCTATCCACAGAAGGCTCCTAAATGTAGTAACCTTTCATCTTTCTATTTGCGCTTTTGTTATCTTATCTCATTTTCTCATGGCTGTGTTTTTGCTGCAGTTGCTCTTACTTCTTCAAACGCATTGCTTCAACATGACTACTTATACAGCACTAATTCGCATCCCCGTAAGCATGGATTAGTGCCTTGCGATGTTAATATACCAACTACTGTGATCAAAGGTAAAATGTGTACTGAAGTTTGCTGTGTGTTAATGTAATAATCTGAAGATATGTTTGTTTGTTTGTTTGAGTTTTTAATAATGTTGAAGGGTAATGAATTTGTGATTGTAGAGGAAGTGGGTGGCTCAGAGAACTGTTGCAGCACTAGTAGTAGGAGTAGAGATAAGCAGAGGACTCGAACTGTTACAGAGCCAAATGACCAAGAAAATTGTGGAAAGCCACATAGAGGTAAACGATTTTAACTTTGTACAGAGCAAGTTTGTGATTCCTGTCTTTGCGACATTTACAGATTACGAGTTTGTTTGTTTGTTTGATGTTGGTTTTTCAATTCAGTGATGCCGAATTTCGCAGAAGTTTACAGCTTCATAGGAAGTGTATTTGATCCAAAAACAACAGGTCATGTCCAGAGATTAAAGGAAATGGATCCAATAAATCTAGAAACGGTATGAAAAACACAAACTCTCTGCTCAGGAACATGTCTGGAACCGAAAAATGTCGTTAACACGTTTTTTGTTCAGCAGGTCCTCTTACTGATGAGAAATTTATCTGTAAACCTGACGAGTCCCGAGTTTGAAGAACAAGTAAGAGCTAGTCATCTCTTTGTGACATTTTGACTCTTAGAATACTGAAAGAGAAAACAAACTATCTTGATGGGCTTACGGTATGATTGCTGTGTGCTTTATGCAGCGGAAGTTGATATCATACAACACCAGATAGAATGAGAAGATAGCTGTGGAAGTCTCTAATGGTAGTCTCACTGCCTAAGTGTCGGAGTTACATGTCGAGCTCTCGCTTTCTGTGAGTGGACTAAATGAATGAACCGGTTGTACATACAAGTCACAAAAGTTTGAAACATCTTAGGAGATAGACAAAGCCTGCGTAGAAAGACAGACATTAGCGTTTGTTTTGTAGTATTCAATGGTTACTTAGGTTTTTTTATACGGAATGGACTAATTAATAACAGTACTGGTTTTGAAAACTACTTAAGAAAGCTGAAGCTTGGTGGAATTATCGGACCAGTCTTTGACGTATATCATGACCAGTCATTGAACCGGTAGTAGAAAATCTCTCGCAGTACAAGTAAACAAAGTATGACATTAGGTGTATTCTTGTTTCAAAAACAGTTCCATATACGATTAACATGTAAGATCACAGTAATGAAAATAATAGAAAACTTCATATTATCATATAGCTTACTCATGTTCCAATTAAAAAACATCGAAGCTACAAAACACAGAATAACGAAAAGCTAGAAACAACAAACCAATTGACTCAAGACTTAATTAAAAGTCGGACAACACCAACATCAAAACAAAAAAAGAAAAAAGACACAACAAACTTATGGAGACATAAGGAGAGAGATAATCTAATAGTAACGAGGCCCATAATAAGGATGAACTTGTTTGAACTCCTGGTTTTGGATTTGGCAATTGTTGTACCCCGTTGGTGTGCGATTCATAGCACTAAATTCAAACGGCAGAGTTTGAACATGAGTAGGCATTCCATTTTGAGCAAAGAAACCCTGGTTTATGGAGATATTACCACCATTAACAGCTTCTGGAGCAACATGATTGCTAGAACTTCCGACGTAGAAGTTTGAGATTGAGTGATGAAACTGAGAGGCTCTCTCATTAACTTCCTTCTTCAAATCTTCAAGAGCACGTTTCATGGAAGTTAATTGAGTTAAGTTGTGTTCTTTTGGAGAGTTTGTCCACCACTCCTCAACTTTCTTGTTTTCTCTTTCATTTTGGACTAGCCACTCCTTCTTCCTTTGTTCTTTTTCTTTTTCAGCCATCGCCTAAGATAAAATTGTATTTTAAACAATTATATTCACGAATAATAAATGTGTTAAAAAAAAATAATCCATGAATATGTCTTAAACACAAATTGGAACCCACCAAAAATTATATTCTTAATTTACTTTGCTGAGGAAATAAATATATGACGAGACAATTTCTTCTACTGTATAACTTATTAAAAAAAAAAAATCTTGGATGTTAAATCAAAGAGAAATTGTGTGTACATCCCAAAGGAGGTTTACCAAAAAATTCCCAAATAAAAAACAACTGTGAAATACTTATATAATATTTATCATCAAAATTGAAAAATAAGAGAGAAAAAAATTAGAGATAAAATGTTGCCAACAATTGAAATTTACCTCAGTTAAGGACTCATTGAGCATTTGAAGATGGAGCTTTGTGTGGCTTTCATCAAAGTTTGAGTTGTTGTGTCTTAGAACACGTTCTGAAAATTGGTCAAGTAAAACGTTAACATTTGGATGACCAAAAGAGTATACTTTTCCAGATGGTGAAAAGACGACAATCGCAATTTTTGCATCACATAACGTGCAAAGTTCACTGGCTTTCTTAAAAAGACCAGATCTTCTCTTTGAAAATGTAACTTGAAGGTTTGATTCGTTGGTCATTTTCACAATCTCTATTTTTCTACGGCCAAGATTCTTTCTCGCCATTTTCTAGATGTTTTGAAAAAAAGATGAATTGATTTTATTAGTGACAATAGGTATCTGTATTTATAGACCAAATTTTACAAAATATGTTTGGAGTTTTATAAGTAAATATTTTTTTTCCTATTTTTATTATTAGAAATACAATTATAAGTTACCATTCTAGGAGTAAATAATGGTTTACACATTTTGTCAATAAGAGGTATATAATTATTATATTTTAGCTGTTACATTTTCATTTAATTATTATATTAGTTTACAACCTGTCATTTTATAAAAATAAATTTTGGGATATTATTTTTATTACCACCTCTCAAATATAGGTATTAATAATGATTGGGAAAAGGATATGCACAAATCTTTTTAATATGATTATCTTCCACTATTTTTTCTATAATCAATATCCTTTTTTGAATTTTTTTTATTAATCAAACTAATAAATTTTGAAATCTTTTGGTTTTATTTATTTGAAGTGTTCAAAAATTTATTTAGAATTAAAATAATACATAAATAAATTATTATGGCCAACTTAATTTTTTTAGAGCAAATTGACATAGTTTATTGTTGAGAAGTATGATTTAGTTTTGATAGTATAAATAGAAATTTAAGTTTAATCGCCGACTTTCGATAGTTTTTATTGCATATTTAGTAATAGTTGTTTGATATTTTAATTGTGATCGCCGACTTTTTAAGTTTTTTGTGAGATAAAAATAATTAAATTAGATACTTATCTAATATTTTGATCGCCGACTTTTCAAGGTTTTTTTTTGGATGTTTAAAAAAAGGTAGACTCACAAAAATGCCCCTTTTTCAATACTTCTTTTCAAAAATGCCCCCTTTGGCTGTCCATTTTTAAAAATACCCCTTTTTATGTACAAAATGACTAAATTACCCTTCTTTTAATAAATGATATCACAAATATATAAGGAAATATAACAAAATTAGGTCCACAAAATACAAAATATTTTTTAGCGGGAAAAGTGATCCCGCAATTTTTCCCGCCAAAACACTTGTAAAAACTTTAAAATACCTTGTAAAATTTTCCCGTAAAATTTTTTCCCGCCAAAAATTTTTTTTTGCGGAAAAAGTGATTCCGCAATTTTTTTGGCGTTAAATTTTTGGCGGGAAAAATTTACAAGGTATTTTACAGGGTATTTATAAGGTTTTACAATGTATTTTAAAAGGTTTTACAACGTATTTATAAGGTATTTATAAGATATTATAAGATTTTACAAGCTATTTTATAAGGTTTTACAAGTTATAAGGTTTTACAAGTTTTTTATAAGGTTTTACAAGTTATAAATACCTTATAAAACCTTATAAGTACCTTGTAAAACCTTTTAAAATACATTGTAAAACCTTACAAAACACTTGTAAATACTCTGTAAAACCTTTAAAATACCTTGTAAATTTTTCCCGCCAAAAAAATTGCGGAATCACTTTTCCCGCAAAAAAAAAATTTTGGCGGGAAAAATTTTTACGTGAAAATTTTACAAGGTATTTTAAAAGTTTTTTACAAGTGTTTTGGCGGGAAAATTGCGGAATCACTTTTCCCGCCAAAAAATATTTTGTATTTTGTGGACCTAATTTTGTTTCAAATAAGGGTAAAATGGTCATTAAAAATTAAAAGAGGGCAAACTTAAAAATGGACTCTCAAAGGGGGCATTTTTGAAAAAGGGTATTGAAAAAGGGTATTGAAAAAGGGGCATTTTTAACAATTTCTCTTAAAAAAATCCAACTATCCATATAAATTAGTTGTCTGATATTTTAAATTTTTATTACGTAAAACATATTTAACTTCTGACAACTCAAGACTTACAGACCAAAAGGACGTGATGCTAAGTCGAACTTGTTTTCAACGTTTTTAAACTTAACACTTAGTTTTGTTTTTAGTTATTAAGTTTATTTTTAGTTTTTAAGTTTTTTAAATTTTTTTACTTAAAATATTATTTTTGAAAACCGTTTAAAACAAAACTAAGTGTTAAATTGTCATTACGTGAAAACATGATAAATTTATGACACTTCAAGACTTACGGACCAAAAGGACGGGATGCTAAGTCGAACTTGTTTTCAACGTTTTTAAAATTTAACACTTAGTTTTGTTTTTAGTTATTTAGTTTATTTTTAGTTATTAAGTTTTTAAAAAAATTTTACTTAAAATATTATTTTAAAAAATCTTTTAAAACATAACTAAGTGTTAAATTTTCAGTACGTGAAAACATGTTAAACTTATGACACCTCAAGACTTACGGACCAAAAGGACGGGATGCTAAGTCGAACTTGTTTTCAACGTTTTTAAAATTTCACACTTAGTTTTGTTTTTAGTTATTAAGTTTATTTTTAGTTTTTAAATTTTTAAAATATAGTTTTAAATTAGAAAATTCAAAGTGAAAAATCAAAATCTTTATTAAAAAAAAGAAATAAAGAAAGTAATAGCTGGAGTTGGGCCGTCACAGCGAAGCCCATTGCCCAAACTCTGATTTTCTATCTTCTTCATCCTCCCTCAGCCGCGACTCCATTATTCTTCTAAAGCCATCGAAAGTCGAAACTACTAGCTTTTCATTGTCCCTCTCTTCGCTCTCCTCTTCTCCGTAATCTCCTTCGCCGCCGTCGACAGAACCCACCGGTGATGAATCCATGGTAACGAATTACCAAGAACGGTGAAATTAGTGGAGATCCGAAATGAAATTGTTCTCAATAATTGACTGAACCGCCGATCAATCTTACGGATTTGGTTCCGAGATGAAAGATGAAGTTTTTGCAGAGATCATCGACTAACTTCAGTGTCGGAATTGATCATCTGCTTCACGGTCTCGATCCTCTCTCCAAGACAATGGCAGAGCTTTGTTGCGGAAGAAACTACATGTATTCAAAAGAAAAAGATGAATGATGATTTTTTTTTTGTTATCGTTTCGAAGAAGATGAATAGAGAGAATTATGATTTCTCAAGAAGAAGATTTGAGTGAGTATTTATAAGCAACAAAGGTTCTTCAAAAAAAAAGGCAACTTTCAACCGTTTTTTTTGTTGCCAATATTTCCTTTTTTCTAAGAGTTTGGTTGTTTCCTTTTTTCGACGAATTTGATTGTTTCCTTTTTTACATATTTGAACTTGTTTTGTCAAAGTTGTTTTAGAATATTCTAAGTGGTTTGTATTAAAAATTGTGTTGCAGGCAATGTTGGCTTCTCCAAAAGCATAATAACCAGTTTTTGAAGCAGAAGCAGATTATGAGAACTAGATCCAAACAGACGTTGACATCAGGCTACCATTGCTAGTTCATATTTCGAGAGAGAAGCGGCCTGGTTACATTGATCCACAGATAACAAAGATTGGTGTTGTGTTTTGATCAGCTGAGAGTATTAATCAGAGATAAAGCAAGTATCAAGCTCACAAGTGAAAGGCAAGGAAAAAGAAGTGGAGCATAGTGAAGAAACACCATGTGACACAGATTTGGAACACTCCAGCTCGGGAGTAAGGTCAGAGACCAACACATGAAAACATAAGCATCTTTTGAAACGAGAATATGTATTTCTGTTGATCAAACTATAGTCATACACGTCAATCTAAAATTACACAAAAATTCTGATACAAATAGGAGCAGCAACTTGTTGTGACTTTGACACTCCACTAGTGTTCATCAAAATCCAATGTAAAACCCCTTTTAGTCCCAAGCAATGCTATTCACTTTCTCCAGCAACCAAGCTGACATAAACTTGTCAATGGAACACGGAAGCATCACTGAATTGGGATCGAATCAAAGAGTCTTTATAAGATGTAATAAATGTCAAACACACGGGATGGCATTACAAAGAGATTAACAAAATAATCACTGCCGAACAAGATTGAATGTAAACAAGTTGGGATGGGTCAGATGCATCAACACAAAAGACACGAGATGATCCACATGAGAAGTCATTTCAACACGAGAAGCAAGTCAATAAACCCTGCACAAGAACAACATGATACGAAAAACAGAGTAATCAATAAGGTTAAAACAAAAACAAAACCAGAGATTGATAAATAGGATGTAAACAGGTCTTAAACACTGTATTTCAGATTTGCAGACGTATGGAATTATATCCTCACTCCTCCTCTTCAAAATATTCAAAAACTTTGAAACAGATACCATAAGACCAAAGAAAGAAACACCAACCCTATTATTTAAAGAGGTCATTGACTTGTTGGAATACAAATTTATTGTAATTTCTTTACATTACTACTTGTTTGGAGCAATAATGGGTTTTCTCTTTTAGCCCCCACCTAAACCCTTTTTAGGAGGAAACCTAGATTATTCGTGGCCACACTAAAAAATTATTCTCTCATTAATTGGTCTAGTTTTAAAAGCAAACCAAACTTTTTGAAAACAAATACGTCTACTCGTATTATGAAACATTAATTTGACCTCCGACATTTCAACGAATGATTTACGATCCATCTTGTTGGAGATACCAATTTTTGATCCACCATTAAAACTGTAACTTTTTGAGGATGAATGATGATCGTGGACTTCTCACCTTGACTTTCAGTTTCAATCTTGTATTTACTTACATGAATAAATCAAATACTGCACATATTATCAGATTTGTGTGTTAATATTATGACATAACAAAATGTTCTTCCTAGGCATATATAAAAACAAATAGTATTTTTTATGAACCAATAATAATGTGTACCATAAGCAAACAAATGATTTTGGTGCACTCATGTTCCCATAACGAAAGTAAACTCAATAATTATTCCATGAGTATGTTTATATCCATATAAAATTTGCAATTAAATAATCAAACGTTAAGTTTCAATTATAGTCAAAACAAGAACTAAAACGCTAACCAATGTGTAACCCACAGATTGGTTAATAACACTGAACCGTACCTTATCATACCACCCCAACGGCTATCGACATTGATCTATTACCAAAAACTCCTCAAAACTATATAAAAGGCTCTACCATCTTCCACTTTCCCGAAAAGGGTAACATCGTCATTTCAGGTAACCTTCTCTCACCGTCACCACACATGCAATTACAACACTCAGACAGGAACTCAAAAAGACAGCTCATTCAATACATCAACACAGATCACTCCAAAGCCTTTCTCTTTCTCTTTAAATTCTTTCGTTTTTTTTTTATTTTATCAATTTAATCTTTTATTTGTTTTTCCTCGATTCCTTGTTTTCGATTCAACATTCGATGCGGTGACAAAACACAGATTTTGGCCGGAAAGTTTTGTGTTTTCCGGCGAGATATGCGAATAAACCGGAAGAATCTGTAACGGAATCTAAGGAAAAGTTAAAGTACGATGTCGGTGTACGACGCTGCTTTCCTAAATACTGAGCTTTCGAAACCGACTTCGATCTTCGGTCTCCGGCTATGGGTCGTTATCGGAATCTTACTCGGATCTCTAATTGTCATTGCCCTCTTTCTTCTCTCCCTCTGTCTAACTTCTCGCCGGAAAAATCGAAAGCCGAGAGCCGATTTCGCTTCCGCCGCCATCGCGACACCGCCAATTTCTAAGGAGATTAAAGAGATCGTTCCTTCGCAGACGCAGTCTGTTCCGGCGGAGATCCAGGTCGATATCGGGAAGATCGAACATCGAGTGGTGTTTTCAGATCGAGTATCGAGTGGTGAGAGTAGAGGAACAGCGAGTGCAAGTGAAACGGCGTCGTATTCTGGCAGTGGAAATTGTGGGCCGGAGGTTTCGCATCTTGGATGGGGACGATGGTATACTCTAAGAGAGCTTGAAGCGGCCACGAATGGCCTTTGTGAAGAGAATGTAATCGGAGAAGGTGGTTACGGGATTGTGTATCGTGGCATTTTAACTGATGGAACCAAAGTCGCTGTCAAGAACTTGCTTAACAATAGGTAAAGCAAAATCTTCAATTTTGATTCTAAAGATTGGTCCTTTTACTCGTTTCTCAATTTGGGTTTTAGGTATTCTTTGATTTTGTATTGGTTTCAACTAAAGATTCATCCTTTACTCATTCTCATTCGAAAGTTTGATCCTTTACTCGATTCTAGATTGGGGTTATAGGTATTACCAATTGGGGGTTTTGCAGTTTTGCGTAATTAAGGACTTTTACTTGTAATTTTGCTCTGTATTGAAGTTTGTCTCTGATTCTGTACTTCGTCCTGTAATGTGCTTAGATCCATTAAGTAAATGTTTCTGGATATTTATGTAGATGGTTAAGAGTGATCGTGATCAGAGTCCTTCTCTTATTTAACTGCATTGCCTATGAGTTGTTGTTATTATTGAATTTTATGTATGTATAGGTTATGTCATGGGTCACATGTGGTTTGGATGGGTAAACGTCTTTACTAATAATGGCACTATGCTTCTGGATTTTTATCTCTGTGATCTGTAGTAACATTTGTAGTTGGTGTGTCTTTTAATTGCCAGGGGCCAAGCAGAGAAGGAATTCAAAGTAGAAGTGGAGGTCATTGGGCGTGTACGGCACAAGAATCTCGTTAGGCTTTTAGGGTATTGTGTCGAAGGTGCATACAGGTATATATACCGCTGCTCGTATTTCTTTTCCTGTGTTACGAAAGGAATGTTGTGATCTAAAACCGGGTTCGTGACTACAGGATGCTCGTGTATGACTTTGTCGATAATGGTAATTTGGAGCAATGGATTCACGGTGATGTTGGTGATGTCAGCCCGCTGACTTGGGATATCCGTATGAATATTATACTCGGGATGGCCAAAGGGTAAGAATACCTTTTGAGTTGTTAGATTCATCTTGCTATCCGCTATGGTTTATAGGCTGTTAGTTTATGTAAATCTTTGTTATATCTGCAGATTGGCGTATCTACACGAGGGTCTTGAACCGAAAGTTGTTCATCGGGATATAAAATCAAGCAATATCTTGCTTGATCGCCAATGGAATGCTAAGGTTTCGGATTTTGGACTTGCTAAGCTCTTGGGTTCCGAGAGCAGTTATGTTACTACCCGTGTTATGGGAACTTTCGGGTAAAGTCTTAAACTCATTCACTCTCTCCTGCAATCTGCAAGACAGTCTTTAGGAATCTGAATATTAGGAAATAACTTTTACTTTGCGGGTTGATTTGTTTAGTTATGTAGCACCGGAATATGCTTGCACCGGAATGTTAAACGAGAAGAGTGATATCTATAGCTTCGGAATATTAATCATGGAGATAATCACAGGAAGAAACCCGGTTGATTATAGTCGGCCTCAAGGAGAGGTATTTAATTAGCAGATTGAACCAGCCTTGTTTTAATCCCCTCTATATTTTTGTAAACGGTCTTATTTTCTGCGTGTGGTTGTAGACAAATCTAGTGGATTGGCTGAAATCAATGGTAGGAAACCGAAGATCAGAAGAAGTAGTTGATCCGAAAATACCTGAACCACCATCCTCAAAGGCTCTTAAACGAGTGTTGCTCGTAGCTTTGCGTTGCGTGGATCCTGATGCAAACAAGAGACCTAAAATGGGTCATATCATACATATGCTTGAAGCCGAAGATCTACTCTATCGCGATGTATACAAAGCATTTTGCCTTTACGTTTTTACATTTCTTTAGGAGTTCGAAAAATGTCTAAAGCTTGGATGATATCTTTGCAGGAACGTCGAACAACTAGGGACCATGGAAGCCGGGAGAGACAAGAGACAGCTGTAGTTGCTGCGGGTAGTGAAAGCGGCGAGAACGGTTCACGGCATCATCAGCAAAAGCTAAGATGAAAAAAAGAGAGTCACTTAGGTTAAGTGACTTTCCATCTCACACGACCATTATATTTCAATTTTTTTCCGGTATATTATTGTCTCACTTACATAATATTTTCATTCTTTGGCTCTTCGAGTCTTGGCCTTACGAATTAACTTTCTTCTTCTTTGTAACCTTTTGTCAACAATCACATTCACATGTCACTTGCTAGATATTGTAAAATGTAATGTTTGGACCGCCCTGAAGCTATGTTCGGCCCATAGCACGAGCACGGGATTGGTCGATGGATCAAACTTATCGCTTTAGAACTGGTATGGGACAAGATGGACCCAGAAGGATTCTTTTATTTAGCTCACGTGATTGTGTTTCCAAACAATTGTTATTCATAAATTATCTTGATTATGGATGGACCTAGTTGTGGTTATCATCTTGAAAATTGTCAAGTTGCAAGAATTTAAAAACAGGTAGAATATTAAATTCATAATCAAAGTTGGGTAACTTGCTTGTCTCGTTAACACAAGATAAGTGCACACTTGTCCTCGACCGACGACCGGAATCTATATTCTCGTGTAGGAGAAAAACGTAGACTTAGAGATAACTATTTTCCTATATTAAAAATTGTAGAAAGTAACATTACGAATACATATATAGTTATCCAAGTCATTCCGTTTTATGATACATTGCTATTTCTTAAAGAAAAACTAAACCACCCAAACAAAGCTTTTTGTGAGAGGAGAAAGAGTAAAACATGTGTATGTATTGCGTACACAAACGTCAAAATGTATACATACATGTATCTTTTGATATAGTTGACAAAAATATTGTATGAAGGAGATTATCATCACTAACAAAAACATTGCATGTTTAGCATATATTGCGTTTGATTAAAAAGATAGATACATATAAATTGTTGCATTAAAAAAAACAATAAAATCATAAAACGATAGTTAATATGTCAACATGCCGTTGTTTAATCTAACATGAGAGATATTTTTCATTTCATTTAAGATAATGTCACTTACAAATACATAGGTCTTTTCCAATGGGCCACTAAGCTAATTACTCTTTGAAAAGTCATTATAGAAAAAATCATTAACAAATAGTATGAAGAAAATACCACTAAAGCTAAATATTGAATGATTGAATTTTCACACTGAAGATCAGAACCTTTTGAGCCGTTGGATCCGCTGGCTATAATTGACTTTTTCCTCTAGTGTACAAGTAGGCCTGAATTGAACAACACATCGTAACCGTACACGCATAGATCTGTCATATAGTGTTCCGTCACAGCTCCGTAACGGAAACATAATCTCTTCCTATCACTATCGACTACCAAATCAACGTCAAAACCTAATTACTTATTTTGTTCCCATTGTTTTCTTTAATGGTTTGTTTATCTGCAGAAATAAGGCAACTTTGTGTTTAGTCATATAAGAACAACGCGTTACAAACTTCTCTCATCTTTCCTGGAAATTTCTGTCCACAAAATTCATTTTCGGTATGAACACTGACCCTTGATCTCATGATCTTGTCCTAGTTTATCTATTAATTAAGATTCTCTCTCTATTACACGACTCTTTTGATTTTTTTGTCTCTTTAATTTTCCTCCGTCTCTTATTTCTTATCTTCTTTGCTCAGAAACTTCTATCAGGCTAATTAAAGTTTCATAGTTTTTTAGTTTTTTGTCCACGGATCTATCTCTTTAGGTGAGTTTGGATTACTCTACGCTTCATGTTGTTGTTGTTGTTTTTATGATTATCTTGTGTTGGATTTGATGTCTTTGATCTGTTTTCTTTGTGAATTTCGATATTGGTTACTCAGATTTCAGATTTTTAAGATATCTGTTTTGCTTTGTATACAGAAGAAAATGGTTTTCTTTTTTTGTGAACCCTTAAATTGGAGTTAGCTCTTACCTCGTAGGCTTGAGTCTTGGATCTGTTGATTTGAAAAAAAAATTAGATCTTGGGACAATTTATTGTGTTGGTTGACTTTTATTTGAGTTTCGATTTGATGTTGTTTGTGTTTCTATATATTTAGAGGTTTCATTACCTTTGTTGTTAGATCTGTTGAGAAAAGAAAGATCCATACTTGAAATTCCAAAAGACGAGAGAATTTGAAAACATTTGATCTTTGTATTGGATATGTTGTATGGATCCAGAATATAATCAATGTAATAATGGTGTTTTGTTTTATGGTATGTGACAATTGATGTGTTATCTTTTTCTTCTTCTTTCTTTTGTTTTCAGTTGATACTTACCTGAATGGCTCGTCCACAAGACCCTCCACGCGGTTTCTTCCCTTTTGGAAACCCTTTCAAGAATCTATCTTCAAAGAACTCGGTACTCTCCCCAAAGCTTCTCTCACTCTTGAACAATTTTGAGACCAACTTAGCATCTTCTATTAGTAAGCTTGTACCTAAGGAAAAGAGCGAAATCCTGACTGTTTCATGGATGAAACAAGCGATGGAATCTCTTTGCGAGACACACAATTGTATCAAGACCCTTATAACCGATCTAGAGCTTCCAGTTTCAGATTGGGAGGATAAATGGGTTGATGTCTATCTTGACATTAGTGTGAAGCTTCTTGATCTCTGCAATGCCTTTAGCTCAGAGCTAACTCGTCTCAACCAAGGTCATCTCTTACTCCAGTTTGCTTTGCATAACTTGGAGGCAAACTCTCCTCAGAATCTGTCGAAAGCTCAATCATCACTTGACAGCTGGAAGCAACACATTGTTTCCAAGAACCCAAGAATTGAAAATTGCCGCGCAATCTTGAGCAGCCTTGTTCAGACCTTGAATCTCCCCAAGGTGAAAAACTCGGCTAAAGGGAAAGTCTTGATGAGAGCTCTATACGGTGTAAAGGTTAAGACCTTATACATCTCTGGTGTTTTTGCTGCAGCATTCTCAGGTTCATCGCAGAATCTGTTGTACCTTACCGTCTCACACGAGCTTCCATGGGCACAATCCTTCATGGAAATGCAGAACACCATGAACGCGGAATTCAAGAACATATTTTTATCAGATGGGTTGACGGTTCTGAAAGAGCTAGAGGCAGTTGATTCAGGTGTTAAGAAACTCTACCCTGCGATCCAACTAGGATCAATAGATCCCATATCCCTTCAGCCACTGAAGGACTCGGTCACAGAATTATCGAATGGGCTGGATCTTGTTTCAAAAGAAGTCGATTGTTTCTTCAAGATTCTGTTAACGGGGCGAGACACATTACTAGAGAACCTAAGGTCGATAGGTGCATCAACTCTACAGGCAACATCGCCAAAAAAGGCTGCCGGAAAAAATTACAGAGGATTCTGATAAACAAGTATTGTGTGTATAGATGGTTTAACTTTAAGTGTTCCATCTTCTTGGTATTGAATGTATTATTATTATTATTAGGTGTTTGTGATATCTTCTTAGTCGTTTGTATGAGATGCTTTGAAAGTACCAACTTACCTAAATATATTATGAATATCTTGAAGCAATGAAATCCGATCATTTTCAACTGCTGATAAATCGTAGAATCGACAGTTAGGTCGAAAATGTGAGTATTTGGTTTATAGAATTATACTGCATAATCAGATGAGCGAGTTAAATACGTTTTTCGGTTTGAATACGTTTAGACTATATTACAGGTTTGATTTTCTTATTAGCTAGATTATTATTCAGTTACGGTTTATTCTCGGTTGTGTAAAAGTGAAGTTGAATTTGAGTTATTTCTTTCAGGTTCGGTTTGGTATTTGGATTGAGGTTTCCGGTTACATTGACTTATAGACCAACAATATCAAGTCGTCGTCGTACTCAGAGAAAAGACGAAGAAAAAAGCAAATGTCGTGTGTTGATTTTCACTCACGGGTCGTCCGAGAAGACGAAGACTCTTCTTCTTCTGATTTGCCCTTCAAAAGATCCAAACTTTCACACGTTTTCCTTTTCCCTCTTTTTAAACTCCACATTCAAAGAAGTCTCAACACGCCAAAATCTCCTCCTACTCCTCCTCCTTTTTTACGCCTTTCTCTTCCCGCGTTATAGCTCTCTGTTTTCATCTAAGATTAGTTCAATTCATAATCTTTGAGTTTTAATTTTTGTTGGAAGGAAAAGAGAAATGTCGGTAGAGACAACATTCTTCGGTGATGACAGCAACAGAGGAGTGAGTATCAACGGTGGTCGTTATGTTCAGTATAATGTCTATGGAAACCTCTTCGAAGTTTCAAAAAAATATGTTCCTCCTCTTCGTCCTATCGGCAGAGGCGCTTCTGGCATCGTCTGGTTAGTTAGTACCTAAAAATCTGATTTTGAGTTTTTGTAATACATCTATGTGATGAAATATGTTTTGGTTGACCAAAAGAAAGAATTATTATTTGGTGGGTTTTGAAACTTTGCTACTTATCTCATAGTTCATTAAGAGATCATTGTGGTAAATACAAGTTTTGAAGGATCATTTTCTTGATCTGTATATTTGATTTAGTGCTGCATGGAATTCGGAGACGGGTGAGGAAGTAGCGATCAAGAAGATTGGTAATGCTTTTGGCAACATTATTGACGCTAAGAGAACTTTGAGAGAGATTAAGCTTCTTAAGCATATGGATCATGACAATGTAAAGCTTTGTGTTATTTATTCTCCACATGTTTTCACCTTTTTCTTGTAAATTATCTGATTGTAGAGTTTATCATGTTTCATCTCATAGGTCATTGCCATTAAAGACATAATAAGACCACCGGAGCCAGACAACTTCAATGATGTTCACATTGTCTATGAGTTAATGGACACTGATCTTCACCACATTATACGCTCTAACCAACCGTTAACTGATGATCATTCACGGGTACGCATAAACCTCTTCGTGCTTCTTATACTCTAGCTCAAGTATCTTCTATATAGTTCAAAGTTTCAATCTTTAGAAAGATTTAGTTATACTCGGAGGTTGGGGTATCAGAATCTTTTTGGTTCGAAGGCTATGAAGTTGTGGTTTTGATGTATAATCATACACTCCATGTTTGTGCAGTTTTTCCTGTATCAGTTGTTGAGAGGACTCAAGTATGTGCATTCAGCTAATGTATTGCATCGTGATTTAAAACCAAGTAACTTGCTCCTGAATGCAAATTGTGACCTCAAGATTGGGGATTTTGGGCTTGCGAGGACTAAATCAGAGACAGACTTCATGACAGAATATGTCGTTACACGTTGGTACCGTGCTCCAGAGTTGCTCCTTAATTGCTCAGAATACACTGCAGCTATCGATATTTGGTCTGTCGGTTGTATACTCGGTGAAATAATGACCAGAGAGCCGTTATTTCCGGGCAGAGATTATGTTCAGCAGCTTAGACTCATCACTGAGGTAAACTTCTTACTTCATCACTTGTAAAGACCGCATATGTTTCCGATTCTTTGTTTTCTTCAACATTGAAGTATTCTGTTACTCTGTTTGTTCTGTTTTGGTTCTGCTTTTTGTAGTTTTATGAACAAACTCATATATGGTTTATCTTTTTCATACACAGCTTATAGGCTCACCAGATGATTCAAGCCTAGGATTCTTAAGAAGCGACAACGCTAGAAGATACGTAAGACAGCTTCCACAGTATCCAAGACAAAACTTTGCCGCTAGGTTCCCAAACATGTCGGTTAATGCAGTTGATTTGCTGCAGAAAATGCTCGTCTTTGACCCAAACAGACGCATTACAGGTAAAGAAGACGAAAACCTATATATGTTGCTTTTCTCTTTTGATTTTCTTTTTATGATAGTTATGAACTTCTTTGAGTTGCAGTCGATGAAGCTTTGTCCCACCCTTACTTAGCACCGCTACACGAAAATAACGAGGAACCTGTGTGTGTGAGACCGTTCCATTTCGATTTCGAGCAACCTTCATTGACGGAAGAGAACATCAAGGAGCTTATATATCGTGAATCAGTCAAGTTTAACCCTCAAGATTCTTAGTGTGTGAGACTTTAAGAGAATCTTGCAAAGAAACTCAAAAGAAGCTTTTACTTTCTCTGTTTGTTCATTGAATTTCTGATATAGTAAAGTCTGTAATATAAAATCAAAAGAGTCTGTAATATGAAACAAATAAAGTTTTTACCTCGACCTTGTTTTGCAGACATAAGCCTTCTCTCTCAAGTTACAAAATACAAATTATGAACAAAGAAGAAACATTTCAAATAAATTTTGGCCCAACACTAGTCTTAGTACTGAAATTATTTAATCTCATGCCTTAAATCCTGTTTTTCAGATTTAATTTCAGCTCTTATTGACTACTTTTTGTTATTTTCTTCAACATAACACGACTAATAAAAAAGAAAAAACATATCACGAATATGAAGTAGGTTATGGTACGGCTAAAACAAGAGAGTAGGTAATGGGTATCACCTAGATATTTCTATCTTTTTCTTTTTAAAATTTACTCGTGAACAGTTGAATGTACCTTACCTAACTTATCGGTTTATTATGAAAAGTGAAATAGATATTGATACAAAATCAAATAAATTATAATCAAACATAACTAAAAATATCAAGCAATTACCAAAATAAGCATTGATCATTCGCATATGGTAGATTTGACCGGTGATAATAGATACAGTCAAATATTTTCATGCCATTTCTTTGTTTGTAAATAACTAAATAGTTGTTGCCTCATTGAGATTTTGTCTTGTTCTTCGTTGTTAGCTAGAAATTTTCATTTACACTAATCAAATCTTTGTTCTGTTTCAGTTTGCACTTTTTTCAAGAAGCCAACGAAAAGTAAAAACATTAGGAAAAGAGCGATTGATGCAGATGAAGAAGATGGAGATTCGAAAAAGCTCTATTTTACAAAATCTAAAGAAAGTTGCAAAACCTGATAGCAAGTTGTACTTTTCGTCTGGACCAGCTAAGAGCTCTACTACGATTGAAGCTGCTGAGAGACCCGTCTTTCACTACGATTCATCCAAGGAGATCCAGGTTCAAAACGACAGTAGAGCAACAGCTACTCTAGAAACTGAAACTGACTTCAATCAGGACGCACGAGCTATCCGTGAGAGAGTTCTTAAAAAAGCAGACGAAACATTGAAAGGGAATAAGAAAAAGGCTTTAGATGAGAAGCTGTACAAAGGAATTCATGGATATACAGATCACAAAGCTGAGCGAGAAAGCTGGAGGCTCACACGGGCCATTAAGAGCTTCTGCTCACATCAGAGTATCAGCTAGATTCGATTACCAGCCAGAAATTTGCAAGGATTACAAAGAAACGGGATACTGTGGATATGGAGATTCGTGTAAGTTCTTGCATGACCGTTGGGATTACAAACCAGGATGGCAGATAGAGAAAGAATGGGAAGAAGCAGAGAAAGTTAGGAAGAGAAATAAAGCTATGGGAGTTGAGGATGAAGACGATGAGACTATCGCGGGTGGCCAAGAGGGCCCACTTGGAGACTTGGGATCTCAGCAGGAAATGCGAAGGTTGCAACAAGCCGGCCGGCCGATAGGTAAACGTGAGACGTAAGTGAATAAAAAGTTGGCATCTTCTAGCTAAGCATACGGTACATAATTATAATAGGAGAGCTCTCTCCATGAGCTCTCTCAAATTTTTTATTATAAATTTTGAGAAAGTGTTAGATGAGAACCTTTGATTTTTTTTTTGATTTTTTTGTGTCCAATGGTAGGTTCTCTAATGGGGTTCTTAGGAAAAAAAAATTATAAAAATTATATATCATAAAAATTAATAATTATTGCAATTCATAAAATATTAAACATACATTATTTTCAAACATTTTAAAAAAAAGTGGAATACTACACTTATACATACAGTTGACCATTGCAATATTTTTGCCATATATTTTTGATTGAAATATTCAGTAAAATATTCATCCATTGTATCGCCGAGCGGATTACGGGAAGAACCATTGTTCTTCAATTTATTTTACGATCACCTAAATTTAGTCTTGTTCTATACATTTTTTTTTTGTATAGAACAATGGTATTTTTGGTTGGTGTTCCTTGTAAATTTTGGAGTAACAAGAAAAAAAAAGAAGAAGAACAATGATAATTTTTGTTGTTGTTCTGCGTAAAGAAGAATAATAAGAAGAAGAACAATGGTTTGTGTACGAATAAGAAGAAGAAGAACAATGGTTTGTGTTGTAATAAGAAGAAGAAGAACAATGGTTTGTGTGTTGTAATAAGAACAATGATATTGTTATATATAGCAATAATAAACGCCTATGGAAAACATACTTGTGGTTCACAATCAGTCATAGAAAAAGAAAAACTTGTGGTGTCTTTACATTAACTTGTGACTTGTATAAGCTATGGTCGTGGTGTCTTCAGTTAACTTGTGACTTGCTTCTTTGTCTTCTTTTCACCATCTTTGTCTTCTTTTCACCATCTGGGAATTCAATTATGTCACAAACATCTTTTGTCTCTGACCCACCATTCCATTCAACCTGCAATTGTATCACTTTTATGTTCTTTTGTCTACGGATGATCAAACTCAGCCTGAGCTTTAAACAGCTCAAGTAACAGTTTTAGAGAGTAAAAACATGTTTCACTCTTTCACAAAATCTTACCTCAACATCATGAAGCTTTGCTTCAAGCTTTTGCTGATGCTCCGAGTAGCAGCCCAATCCTCACTATGAGTAACTAGTGATGAAGAATGAGTACCCTTCTTCTTAATTGGAACCTTTTGGTTTCACAGCACTAGTTTTTTTCTGTCACAAAGAATACTTTTATAAACACAATTCAACGTTTTGTTTAATGCCAATGTAATGAAACACATACCTTCTCGCTCTTGACGGTTCCTTGTTTACTTTTCTTCAATCTAACTATTGCCTTATTACTCAACACAACAAAGATCATCACTTTGACTCTCACTTATCATTGACACATGTAAGCAAAAACAGAGAGTAAAACAAAAGTGGAATCTTTGAGTTTAAAAGATTGACCTCTAATGGAGACGACAGGGATGATGAGATGATGAGAATTGGTGGCAATGAGGTGAGAGAGATTAGTGGAACATGATTTGAGATTAGAGATTAGAGATTAGTGTAATACAATTTAGTATTCCCATTGACAATCGAAAATCTAATAATCTCAATGCCACAGTCCCATAATCAATAGATCTGTATGTTTCTCATCATACACTACCAAACATGATTTGTTCAAACTTTTGAATCAATAACAAGAACATCAAATCCACAACTCTAAACACTTCAAATTGACAAAATTAAAAGGCGACAAAGTTGAATTAAGCTCGATTGATGAAGAAATATGGAATGGAGAGTGAGTGAGTCTTACCTTGTAAGCTGTTGCAATTCTCAGCTTCCTTTCAAACAACGCCGAGCATAAAATTGATCAATTCAGCTCTCTTAGATGGAGTCGGAATAATCGTGTGAGGAGAAGATCCATGGCTATTGGGGATTGAAGAGACGGTTGGTGAATCAGGATAAGAGCCATCGCGAAGAGCAATCAACGGATCAAGGAAATCTCCAGTCAATCGCAACCGGCGGAGCCGAGAAAGAGAGAGAGAGTCGAGAAAGAATTTGGGAAGAGAGAACAGAACAAGGGTTTTTTTTTCTTTTTTTTTTTTTTTGTTAAAAATCGTTACCCAAGTTGACACGTATGCGTCTCTCTCTGATTCTCAAATTTCTCTAGAAAGAGACGGTTCTCTTATTATTTAGCATTTTTGATTTATTTTAATTATACTTAAATGAGAGAAACCCTCAAATTTAATGAGAGAACCTCCCATTGGAGGTGCTCTTAGAGATTATATCTCTACGGTTTAGTGTTGAATATAGTGCGGTTATCTTCGGTTATCTATCATGTGTATAGTTGGTTATCTCTCTTAGTATTTAAGCTTTCTCTGTATCACATTTTACATTTTAATGAAGGTTTCATGATTGTTGATATGGTATCAGAGCAAATTCCCCAACCTTCATTCACTTCTTCCGCTTAATTCGATTCTCTGATTCATTGTTGTTCTTTTTCAATTTCGTCACTCGATTTTCTTTGAGATTTTGCTTCTTCGTTTGATTTCGTATCGCTTGATCCGTTTGTTTCTCCGATTGATTGATTTTTCCGATCAATCCATCGTGTTCTCCGATCTGTTTCTTCGTTTTTGTTCTTCGATCGGTTTCTTCTCCGATTGAAGTATATACTTTGTTCTATATCCAGTCGATTCATCAAAATCGATTGTGTTTCTTCACCGGCGATCTTGTTTCGATTCCGGATCATTTTTTCTTTTTTTTTTTTCCTTTTTTTTCTTTCATCTATTTCTGTTTCCGATCAAAGCTGATCGTGTTCATCTTCTTTCCGATCATAATTGATCGTGTTATCATCGATCTTGATCATCAATCATCGATCTTGATCTATTTTCTTCCGATCGTGTTTTCTTCCGATCGTTTCATCAAAATCGATCGTGATTCTGTTATATCATATTCATTGTCTTCGTCTTCATTCCGATCAAGTTGATCGCGTTTATCGTAGTCACATTCGACTATTTTTTTCTGGATCAGATTGATCTTTTATCATACGATTGATTCATCAATATTGATCGTGTTTATCTTCGAATCGAGCTCTGTTTCGTCAAAAGCGAGCTTCGTATATCTCAATTTGAGCTTCAATTGCTCAATTTCAGTTTCTCTTATCCGATTTGACTATCTCAGCTTCTAGATTGAGCTTGATTTCATCAGTTTCAGTCGATATGCGTTTGAGATTTGGTATAATGGTGACATCTTCTCAGCTGATGCTCATTCCAGCTCATGATTCTGCTAAATCAACATGATTTGGTATAATGGTTACATTTTTGGATCTCTTACGCGACCACCGGAAAGTCATTCATACTCTGGTTCATGTTTGATGTTATATGTTCATGGATACTGCCATTTCTCAGTATGAATTTAGCTTCTGGAATGATATTTGTAGATTCTGGAATTGTCTTCGTTGGTGATGATGTTGAGCTTCAGTTAGAACGGTTTAGGCAGAACTATTATATTGATGATTGATACATGATGCTTCGACCTAGCTGCATCTGTGGTTGATTTTCTTGCGTTTTGCCGTGTTAGCGAAAGAGCTTCTTCATTGGAAATGGTCTCAACATTACCAACCATTCTTGAAGTTTGCTATGACTTTCTACTTTTAATCGCCATGGATTATGAGATTGTTGTCATGTTTTCGCTGAACTTTGGAGGATTGCAAGTGATAGCTCCTCCTATAGCTGGTTTTGTTTCCATGCCATTGTGATTGATGTACAGACTCTGCAATTCTTTCTACAATCATCACTTGTTCACGACAAGCTTTCTCATGTAAGTGGGATTCACAGAACGGACAAGCCGACTCCATTGTTTATAATTTCGGATCACATTCTGGTGGTGCTATGAAATTAAGAACTATTGGTTCCTCTTTGGATCATTGCTATGGCTGGTTTGTGATGTTACTTGGCTACAAACTCATGGAGACTTCAAGGTTCTTTGAGCAGTATTCTTCACTTTTGATACTTAACAGTTTTATCAAGCTCATCTTGGATTCAAGCCACTCACGGCAAAGAAGATCTCTCAAGTTCTCATGGCTATTGAAGAAGAGGACGACATGTGATTCATTTCTCTATAATCCAGTTTATGAAGGTGTCAAGTCTTTCTACATGGAGGAAAATGAGACTGTTGCTTTCTCATAAAAGTCCTTTTGAGCACATAAATTCTTCAAATCCAAGATGTCATACTTCCATCTTGCGGGGGCGTATTAGAGATTATATCTCTACGGTTTAGTGTTGAATATAGTGCGGTTATCTTCGGTTATCTATCATGTGTATAGTTGGTTATCTCTCTTAGTATTTAAGCTTTCTCTGTATCACATTTTACATTTTAATGAAGGTTTCATGATTGTTGATAGAGACTGACAACGATAGCGACGAAGACGAAAATGCATTGCCCTTTGCTTGTTTCATTTGCAGAGAACCTTTCGTTGATCCAGTTGTCACCAAATGCAAGCATTACTTCTGTGAGCATTGTGCTTTAAAGGTATGATCGTAACTTAAATCACAATGATGACTCTGTTTTTTGGTTTGTGAAGAAATTTGTGAAACTAAGTGAGTTTTGTTTAATGTAATGATGCAGCATCACACGAAGAACAAGAAGTGCTTTGTGTGTAACCAACCAACAATGGGGATTTTCAATGCAGCACATGAGATCAAGAAGAGAATGGCTGAAGAACGGAGTAAAGCTGAACAAGGATTGTGAAGTTCTTCTTTCACAGGACAAAAACTATATTTATTCTTTGCTTGAAGAAACCTTTTTGTTTGTTGTACTATCTGGCCTAATATATATTCTGGTGAAAATTGTTGTTTCAAACTTCCTCGTAAATTAGTAATAAGTCATCGTTAGAATAATAGTCGTCAAATTCAATATCTTTATCATTGTTTGAGCTCATCATCATCATGAATTGATGATACCATCAGTATCATCATTACCGTATAAAAATTATCATTATGGTTATGATAAAACCATGAGCATAAACACTAACTCTAGAAGGTTCTCTCTGGAAGCGTGGGAGGTGGGTGATTTAACGGTGTCAATCTCGAATTTTTCCGATCTTCTAGATCAAAGACATAACTGCGATGAAGGCAAAGGCTGTGGGTGAGGCTGAGGCTAAGGCTGTAACACGCGTCTGGTGGGACATCAACAGGTGTCCGGTTCCCAGTAACGTTGATGTTCGTCGGGTGGGTCCGTGTATAAAACGGGCGTTGGAGAAATTAGGATACTCTGGTCCTCTCACCATCACTGCCGTTGGCATACTAACAGACGTCCCTCATGACTTCCTCAGACAAGTCCATTCCTCTGGAATCGCTCTTCATCACGTTCCCACCGGTTAATATCTCTTCTCATCCTTAATTTTACAAAATTAGGGTTTAGATTCAACTGGTTGCCTTTTTCTTGTTTTTAAAGTCTTTTAGTTTCTGAAACAGATATCTCAGGCCTTGGGTGGGCTGTGCTCAAGTGGACCTGGTATAATCAACCTCCGGCTAATTTAATGCTCATATCGTATGAGCCAATCTTCTTGGGCACTCTTGGCAAGCTAGGTGGGATCGGATACAAATGATCCTCAACAAGCCGCATCCTCCGCCTCCGCTTCCTCTTCTGCAGGGTGTTTCCTCTGGGAAAGCTTACTGGCAAGCTTACCAGCAGGTCTTTGTCCTCTCTCTCTCTCTCGGTACAGTGTTGAATTAATTAAGCTGTTTCTGAACTAATTAGCTTTTGTTTCCCCCACGGATGCAGATGATATGGATTCAGGGGCACCTCAGGAGGACAAGTGCGGCGAGACGGGTGAACCTGCCTTGCTTTGTGAGCAATGCGGAGTTGCTGTCCAAGGCTTTGAAAATTTCTCCACGCATCTCAAGAGTGAAGAACATGCTCAGGAAGTAAGCATCCTAACGGTAACCGAAAAGGACAGACTTGTTGTGTCAATACATTTGTCATTGTGTAACTACATATATACTGTATAGGGTCCATTTGAGTCCACATCCTTCTACCGCAAGTTTCCCTTTCTCACTTCTTCCAGTTATGTTTTGCCTAAATTTGACCCCATATTTTGTTTTTTTGGTTGTCAACGAGCAGTCGCAATACTACCGTAACATAGATGAAGAAAACGACGAAGAAGACTACGAAGACGACGACGAGGAAGAGTAGTAAGAGTTGTGTGTGTTAATGTTAATCTTAACTTAAGCTATCTAATCCTTTTTACTATCAACATCTTCTAAATCCTCATAAACTCTGGTTTTCTTTTTGTGTTAATAATGATGTTATCTTAAGCTAGGAGCTAGGAGTAGTAAGAGTTGTGTGTGTTAATGTTAATGATTTCACCAACGAATTTACTTTTCCGGAGATTTTGTCCCAATGAGCTGCAACAACAAAAGCAACTGATGAGAAAATGATGACTTCTTTGAACTGTGACAGAGTTCCAGATACATCTGCGAGAGATGCAACTAGAAACGGGTCATATACCGTGATAGAGAAATTGTGTGCGATCGCTACTGATTTATATATGATTCTTCGCTTTGTCTGATCTTGCAAACCTGACCTTTTTTATGCATCGTTTGATCTACAATATGATTCTGTATGATTTGCTTGCTTAAATTTGGAAAGAATCTATTTCAAGTAGCAGTTGATCGTGTTTTTCTCCTGGTCATCCTAATTCTTTCCAAGTTTATGATTTGAATTCCTACAAATGATCTTGTTGTTGTTTGACTCTGGTTCTGTGTTTGTAACTTTTCAGCTTTTATCCCGTTGAGTGAATTCTCTGATGCTGCTGTGATGAAGAAGTATGCAGTGAAGCCAGATGCTGAAACTCTTGACATTGTCAACACTGCCGCTAGGAAAACGGTAAGCTTCTTCTTATGTCCCTTGTTTGGAAGAAAAACCGTAAAACCTGTCTGCAACTTTAAACTTTACTAATGAATACCTGAATTTGAATATCAAGTTTATGATTCCAAATGGTGGTGATCTTCTAGTTGTGGATAGTTAGTGAATATGCATCAGTAAAGAGTACCGATAACTTGTATAAAACAGTTTGTCTATCTCTGGTGTTGTAGAAAAATTAATCTGAGGACTGGTGAGACTATACTCTATTGAATAACCTAAAACGGTACTGAAAATAGAATATGTTACACCTATCATAGTGTTATTCAGAAGTTCATTCAAAGCTTTATGTTACCTTGTTAGTTGTGACAAAGATGACCAAGAAGTTAAACATTGTTAATTCATATGAATGAGACTTTCTTTACAACAAGTGTTTGATTTTGTGTTAAACGATGATCCAACTATTGTGAAACATGTGTTTGGCAGGTTACAGTAGTGGTGAAGATATATTGGGGAGATCCTCGTGAGAAGATTTGTGCAGCAGCTAAACAGATTCCTCTCTCAAGCCTTGTGATGGGTAACAGAGGCCTTGGTGGTCTTAAGAGGATGATTATGGGAAGTGTAAGCAACCATGTGGTCAACAACGTTGCATGCCCTGTGACCGTTGCCAAGGCTCACACCTGAGTTTGCTCGCAGAACTCTAAATAACCATCGTATATTCTATGATTTGTGTTTGTGGTCGAAATTTGTATTGTTAACTGTTGTGTGACTGGAGTATTGTTCATCTGTATGGGTAAAAAACACTTCACCTTCTAATAAATACAGAATCTTGTGAGTTTTGGACCTAACTCCAATAATGTCAATGTGTTTTTTAGCATTATGATTGTCCCTTTATTTCTATGTTTGCAGAGAAGACGAATTAAACTTGACAAGTAACAACATAGATAGTTTTTTGCATAATAATCTTACAACGAAGTTCACGACATTAGTAGTTCTACAGAAAATACAAGCTAAAGAGTTTCAGGGAAATTAACAAACACACAAAACAGAACAAATGTCTCCATAGATAAGAAAGCACAAGCACTTAACATTGTATTCCTCAATCGATCATGTAGTGATCGATGTCCTCTCTGGTCTTCTTGGAGGTAAGAAGGACGAACTCGAAGGGTTTGATGAGCTTGAAGGTGCATTTGTCACCAACCATTAAAGGATATTCTCTTGCCAATTTCGGATATCCACGTGAGAAGATTGTCTTCCGATTCTTCAAGCAAAGCACCTTCCATGAACCAATCCCATTCGGGTGACGAACCGTGAAAAACGTAGACTTAATCGGCATATGAGCATCCCAAAAATGTGCTGGGATTGACTGAAATAGAAAAACCAGAGACTATCATTATCACAAATACAGAGACTGTGTTCTTCTTTTGGTTATGTGTTTTGGTTTGAATCTTACCAGGAGCGTGAGGTGTGATTTACATATGGTGATTTTAAATTCTGGAACACCATTCAGCACTTCTTTGCTCATGCTGTTGCTCTTGCTCTTTCTCTTCTTCTTCTTGGATGTATTGTAACCCTCAGCTTTCTTCTTCCTAGCTTTGAGCTCACTTCCTCGAGAAGATTCACCTGTTTCCACACCATTCTTCACTTTCTTTCTCTCCATCTTCTTCTTGGATGATTTGGATTCCTCAGTCTTCCTCTTTCTAACTATGAACTCAGCTCGTCCCGCGGATTCATCAGTTTCCTCTTCCTTCTTCACATCTTTGAAGCTACTCTCTCCTTCTTTCTTGATCCCACCTGTATTCATCATCAAAGTAAGAGAATTAGTCTTCTTCTTTCTCCATCTTCTCTGTTTCATAAAGCATTAAAAGCACAAAGGCTTACTAGAAGAATCCATTGTCTGGAACTTACGAGGTGTGAGCATCTCTACACCATTCTGCTCGTAGATGTTGATATGAAAGACCATATTTCCTCTGTGAGTGAAGGTAATGAACTCGTTTTCTCCTAAAGCGTTGTCACTCACAAACTGATCCCAGCCACGCTTCTCAATGTAGTAGTATCTCGGGTTCTTGGAGATTTCTAGATGCCATGTCTTTCCCCAGTGCGCTCTTATCACCATCTTGTCAGAGAAGTCTTTCCTAGAGAGACTGCTTATGAAGTTGTAAGAAAACGCTCTCTGGTTTGAACAAAACAATGAAGAGTGTTAAGAAATAGTTTAAAAAAGCTTTATGTCTCAAGCACTTGAAAGAAAAAGTTTCAATCTTTCACCTCTAATTATCAAGTTGGTCTTATCATAAACAAACCTAGCATCAAGAAATCGAAAAAGCAAAGAGGAAAGATCTGAACATAGAAAGACAGAGAAGCAACAAACTTTATGTTCTTGAGGGAAGAATAAAGAAAAGAGTGAACAAAAGAAGACACTTCCTTAAACATGAAAAGCAGTGGAAACTGGAAAGATTCAATCTTTCATTAAACACATGCAACCAAAAGATTCTACCTTCTAAACAAAAGCTAAAAAAATTGAACTTTTAAAGCACAGAGAATTTAACAGTTGAGACCGTGAAGATTCAGAGATTTAACCTTTCATAAAACAAAGACAACGAAATGATTCTACCATTTAACTTTTCAAACACAGTAAACCTAAAGATTCAACCGTTGAGACCCACAAAACACCAGAGAAACAACAGATTCAACGTTTCAGACATGGAGAAAGTAAAGATTCAGAAATTTAACAGATTCAAGCTTTCATTTAACAAAGAAAACCAAAAGATTCTACCATTTAACAAAGCTAACAAGATTTTAACTTTTCAAACACAGAGAACCTAAAGATTCAACCCTTGAAACCCATAAAACAACAAACACAGAGAACGTAAAAGATTCAGAGGAAAAACAGATGCAACCTTTAAAACAAAGAGAACCGAAAGATGAAACCGTAAACATGAAACCCATTATTGAACACAAAGAACAAAAAGATTCCACTTTTCAAACAAAGCTATTTCAAGAACAAAGTTACCATGCATTCAGAAGATAAATCTGAACTCTGAAAGAACTTGAAAAAGCTCAACATCTTCCGTTCTTCTATAATCTTATCAAAACCAATGTTCATGCTTCTACCCATCTCTCTTTCTTCTTCTATCCCACTCAGAAACTCTCCTTCAACTTTCTAGTACTTCTGTGTGTGTCTCTCTCTCTATACCTATATATCTCACTCTCTCTCTCTGGTGTTATAAATGGGCAAAAGTGAGTATCCAAATATTTATGCTTCTTTCGTTATAAACGAGATAAGATTATAATTGTGAAAAAAGCAGTCACATATAATTAATCAATGTGTTTATTTATTTTTTATAGTAATAGACAGATGAAAACATTAGCTGTCATAAAAAAAAAAAAAAAAAAAACATTAGCTGTTATAGACCGACTTCAAAGACACGCAAAAGCAGTGTTTGCTAGTTTTAGTACCTGAGGATCCCTGAGCAATAAGGACTGATAGACTTCAAACTTGCTTCTTTTGTGTCTTTATCAAATTCGTATTTATATTATACGATCAACTTCATTTATTAAATTTGAACCTTCGGTAACTTTTTCTCTTTTTTTTTTAACGTTATAGTCAAAGGTTAAAGTTGATAACTTTTTCTAAACTGAAAAGTGAAAAACTAATTAAGGTACAAGATGAGATCACATTGTCTATCACACCAAATTAATGTGTCTGATTTATAAAGAAAATACACCAAATTAATCGGTCTCTGTAATTTATAATGAAAATACACACAAATATACACCAAAGGACTCACTACATGTGTATGCATATATGATCAACACTTATTATATTGTTAAACTTGTGAATCTTGACCATGAAATCTATTGGTTTTGAAAAATTTGGAAACTTGATGCTTATCTCAACACATAAATTCATTTAAGACATCATGTACTCAAAATGAGAAATAGTTAAGAACATATTGGAGGTAATCAACTTCTATTAATAAAAGCATCAGTGTATTGATAAAAAGGTCGTCAGTGTTTACTTCCAAAATACATATTGTTAACTTCGCCACACGCTATAGAATCTATCAACTAAGTTGCAAGACAATGTCACACACAATTATTTACCCCATTATGCACTTTAATCATATTTATAAATATTAAACAACGAAACCCCATTTCCCAATAGCAGCGTTGACGTTCCTTCATCGATCAACTTTGACTATTGCCATCTGGTTTGGTTTGGATCGACGTATGTTCATCAGAGTTCAAGACTGATCCACAAACCCAGCACCATAACCACTTGATCTTATGAACTTCTTCAGGAGAAGAACTACGATAGCGATTGTGAGCCCAACCGCCGCCCATGTGAAGAGTCTGTCATCGACTGGCTTCCAAAACCGTAAACCCGCATTTTCCCACCAAAACCGCAAACCCGCGTTTTTTCCGCCAAAACAGTAAATCCACGTTTTTCCGCCAAAACCGTAAACTCGCGTTTTCTCGCAAAAACCGTGAACCCGTGTTTTTCCGCCATAATCGCAAAATTGCGTTTTATAGCCAAAAAATATCATACCGTATAATGAAGTTTTCCCGCCAAAATTTGTAAATCCGCGTTTTCCCGCCAAAATCGCATAACCATACACTACAAAAAAAGCGCCCTTTAACGTCATTCATTTTGAAGGTTAACGTCGGTATTTAACTGACTTAATTATTATGGCGTCAGTTTTTAAAGCGACGTGTTATCCTCCGACGTTAAAATAATTAACTTCGGTTACAGAAACGACGTGAACTTTAACGACACAAAATTAACGTCAGTTTTCTAATAATTAACGTCAGTTATAAACCGACACCATTGGAATAGTTAATGTCACTAAATAAACCGACGCTATGTGCCTTTGGTTTTATTGCCAGTTTATTATATTTATTTATTAGTATATAAATTAAAATCGGAAGATACTTAAAATTAAGAAAGACAAATGGCCCATATAGAAAATTTCTTTTATAAATATTTTTTTTTTTACATGAACTTTGTCCTAAAAAATACGAAAATCCTTGAAAACAATTCACAATATGCCCATTATCTGTTCTTCAAAGTTTCAAACTGTCGTCTCTGAAAGTCTTAGGTTATTTACCTGAAATCAAATGTAAATTACAAAATCAGATTATAGAATTTTTAAGTAAAAAAATGTTGTTAAAAGAAAATATAATCTATAACTTGATAACTAGAGAGATTTTAGAAGCTTTATTACAAGAACAAAATAGTTTAGGAAAAAAGATACTCAGCTACACGAAGTATAACAGAATACATGGCTACACATGCCAAGTTTAAAAATGTACAACCAACTACACGAACTAAATGTATTGCATGCCCACATATACCAACTATATGACGACATGTAGTCAACATCACAAACATTTTATTCTTGTACACTAATCATCAAAATCCGCCGTTGACCATCGTTGACCGGTATTGACCGGCATTGACCAACAAAAATATTCAAAAATATATATTTTTAATTATTTTAAATATTTTTAAAAATAATTATTCTTTTAAATCGTTTATGGTATTGTATAATAAAAAAAACACATTCTATATTTTAAAAAAATATATTTTGTATGATTAAATAATTAGTTAATTTTTTCAATTTTAAACCGAAACTAAAAGTGAAATAAATAAAATTTTATTAGAAAAATTTGAGTATATGACTCTTTAGTCTAAAGTTTGCATGGTAAAAAAATATAACTTTTTTTGCTAAAATCAAAATCATAATACATAAATAAAAATATAGAAAATTTTATATACTCTGTAGTCTAAATTTAATATATTGTGAATTTTTGTAATTAAAATTATTAAAACAAATTCTTGTAATAACGCGTAAACAACAAAAAATTCGCAATATTTCTTTTTAATATATAGAAAATAGAAAATCTAATGATATTGATTTTAGCAAAAGCATTTGTAATTACAAAAAACTAACTAATTATAATAATCAATGTATTAAATATATATACAAAATATCTTTATGTTGAATATAGAATGTGTTAGTTTTGTTTTTAATATTAAAATAAATAAAACTAATTTTTTGAATATTTTTGATGGTCAATGCCGGTCAACGCTGGATTTCAACGATTGGTGTACCGGAATAAGATGTTCGTGATGTTGACTACATGTCGTTATATAGTTGGTATATGTGGGCATGCAATACATCTAGTTCGTGTAGTTGGTTATACATTTCTAAACTTGGCATGTGTACCCATGTATTCCGTTATACTTCGTGTAGCTGAATATCTTTTTTCCAATAGTTTATCATCATCAATACTCTGAAATATTTGCTTCTCGTAAGCTTGTAAAAAATGTAAGAAAACCAAAGTTATCAAAAGTATCGGGAAATGACCAACTTACATCTGCATTCGGATTGGAGACAAGCACTGTACATGATTTTGGCGATATCTTGACTAATCTAGACCAAAAGAGTTGCTAAAAATTTGGAAGCCATTAAGACACTATAAAAGGATACAAAAAAATATGGAAGTCATGGCACATGATCCATACCTAGAATCGTTGTTGTAATTTACTTGCAAGCTTGCAGCTCCTCAAGGCTGAAAATGATATACAGATCAATACTAACAACACTAGAGCAAAACAAAAAGAGTAGAAAGTAACAAATAACAAAGTCTTTGCCCTTCTTCTTGCTATACAATGTGTGTCTATATCATGTCTCTATATATCTGTAATTTCACCAACATATATTAGATTTTACATATAAAGCATGTTAAACGGCTGAGAAATCACTAATATACTCTCTTTATCCATAGAACATATCACACATTCTCCACAAAAGTTTCACTAGTTAATCAAAATAAGAAAGGATTTGATTACAAAGTTGCAACTTTATCTCTCACTTAGAGAGTAAGATCAAGAACTGTAACCATTTACTTTCTATTTTAACTTACAGTATATTGATGTGGTAAACTAGTCAATTACTATCTTCACCCTTGAGCTTGTCCACCCAACATCAATGCTCTTCTGTGTTACATTTTTAATCCTTTCACGGCTGAGAATGTTGCCATCACAATGAAGCTGATAGCTAAAAGGAAAGTCTGAACAAATAAAAAAGACAAGAAAGTAGGATTGAGTCAAAAGTATGGTAATCCAACCGGAAGGGTCGTTTTGAGTATGACGATTGCAATTCAAGTAAAACAGAGTAATGTTTTATAAAACCAACCAAAACAAAATCAAATTTTGTTTCTTCATACCTTCTAATCCCATACCAACATATGAAAACAATGTAGTAAGCCATAATTCCGGAAGACAGAAGTCCTCTACTCACCTTTCATGGAAAGCATCACAACACATTTGAATTCCACACATTTGTGTTATCATTGATCAAAACTCAGGAAATGCATCTCTTCCTGAAATGTATGTAAATGATCCAAATTAGTTTTCACCTAACTATCAATGCGATGAGTCAAACTTAGATAGAGAGAGATCGAAATAAACTGAAATATGAAAATAAGAAATACCATAAACTCAATTTCAGATTCGTCTCCAAAACCTACCGAGAAACATTTGTAAGAATCCTATTCAACTAAATTCATAATCCTTGTTAAAATCAAGCAATTTCATCCGAAACACAACACATTTCTAAGAAATTTCTATCATACTAACCTTTCTGAGCGATTAGACAAAAAGAGAGATTGAGAGCTGAAGAAAACCACAAAATCAAGTTGAAATACGATTATACGTTTCGATATGAATCTCGACGATCAATTTCGTCGAAATCAGAGATGCAGAGCGACGAGAATTGGAGAAGGAGAGCGACGACGAAGAATCGGAGATGCAGAGCGACGAGAATCGGAGATGCAGAGCGAAGAGAATCAGAGATGCAGAGCGTGGAGAATCGAAGATGGAGAGCGACGGCGAAGAATTGGAGATGGAGAACGACGACGAAGAATTTTGACCTGGGAAATTCAGAAAAGGGGATAATCTCACATTAATACGCGTTAAAACTAATCTGCGAAATTATCTAGATAATTAATAAACGAAATAATAAATTACTAAACTTTAACGTCGTTTTATTAAACGACGCTAAATGACCGCTTATTTTTACGTTTTAAGTCGGTTCCGAAAACGACGTTAAAAAAATGACGTATCCTACCGTATTTGTTGTAGTGATATTATAAGAGACATGGTTTTACGTTTTGTTTTAAATATTTAAATCAAAAATTGAATTTAAGTAGAATATTAGTTTTAAATATATTTAATATTTTGTTTTTTTTTTTATTTTAGTTATTACGATATTAACAATTTTAATAAAAATAACTAATATAAAATAAAACATAAATATACTTAAATGGGTATCCATTTATTTGTGTGAAACCCCATTTAATAAATGAGTTTAATTGGGGTAACCCATTTAACCCCATTTAATATTTTTGCCTAAATAGGTCTAAATGGGTTAATTTTTTTTGTACATACCTATTTTGAATTACATTTGGTAACTGGGGATAAGAGAACTACGTATCATGCTTATCGGATCAATTTTCTTTCTTCAACAATTTTGAATCTGATACCTGACAAAGACGATATTCACTATGCAGTATATCCAGTCTCTTTCTGTGACATTTTGGATGATGAACTCATAAGATCTTACTTGATAAGTAAGTATATATAATATGCTTTGATTGTGTTCATGTATTCTGCTTTTTAATTTTTATTTTCATTTTCTCTTTTTACCACTAGATTTGATTGGATATGTGGTTGATATCGACGACATAAAATACTCTGACCCAAATAAGCAAAACGCTGATTATGCGATGACGTCTTTCAAAATTAAGGACGCAAAGTGAGACTTATTAATTTTACCTATATTCGTATCATTCCTACGTGTATAGAGAGGGTAATGTTTACATTGGTGTGTTGTAGCAATATTGTACTGCCGTGTGTTGCTATCGGAGATCTTGGTGAGCATTTCCACGATGAATGGAGAAGGACTAGGAGTTCGCGGGTTGTTTGTGTTTTGCGGTGGTGGGGAATCTATCAAGTTTCGGGTATGTATCTAACTTATATTTTGTTTAATTGTAACGGTCGTTTGTCTGTATAGCTCCTGTAAAATGGTTTAAGTTTTATGATTTTGATAATTTGATCATGAAATAAGTTCGATGTAACGTCTTAATTCAGGACATATGGTTATCCAATCGGTTGGTAGATGCAGTCGTTTGGATCTGAATCCTGATATGCCTGAGGTTGCTGATTTTCGAGGAAAGTAAGAAGTTTGTTGTTAATCTTAGATTATTCAACGTTTGAAGTTGTTTAGGGCTGGTAATTGATTTATAACTACTATTGTAGGTTGTCTGTTGCGACAGGGTCTTCGCGGTCTAGAGACTGAGAGGAAGTTCATACATTCCGGAGCAGTGCTTGAAAGGGATCAACTTTGGATCTCCTGTTTAACTTAAATGTTTGTTGTTTTTAATTTGTATCTTTTTTGTTTCCAATTTCTAAAAACAATCGGGTTTGGATAATGAAAAATCTTGACTGAAAGATTAGGCTTTGTCACTCTTGCATTAATTAATTTCAACCATTTACACTTTATACACGATGTGATTATTGGAATAACAAAAAAAAAAAAAAAAATAACGGTCGTTCATACCTAATCTTATTGGGAATAAAAAAAGCTTAAATAAACAGCTAATCAATAAATTCCTTCTTTTGATGTATGTGATAGCACACTACTGTTCGTTAATAGTAGATTTTCCAATTCTGAGAAGGCAATAACCCCTTTGGAGTAAACACACGATACTTGAACTTTAAATATATTTGTGATTTTTTAGTATTTGTGTTCTTATCTCCTTTTGATCTCTAAATTATAGAAAAGGAAATATCAGTATTTTATAAACATGACTGCTACATTAAAATTTGCTGATCTAAACGTCGGACAAGATAAGTGTGTTGTGTGTGTTAAGATCATTGCTTTGTGGATCCCTAATGAGAACAAGCTCGGCCGTGTTTGCAGAATGATTCTAGCTGACGAGGAGGTATTTCATCTATAACATCAATTTTCTTAATCTGTTGGTAACTTTGTTTGCAAACTTGGAACTTAAGTTGGAATCTGTTTTAAAATTTACTCGTGAACAGTTGAATATACCTTACCTAACTTATCGGTTTATTATGAAAAGTGAACTAGATATCGATACAAAATCAAATAAATTATAATCAAACATAACTAAAAATATCAAGTAATTACCAAAAATAAAGCATTGATCATTCGCATATGGTAGATTTGACCGGTGCTAATAGATACAGTCAAATATTTTCATGCCATTTCTTTGTTTGTAAATAACTAAATAATTATTCTTATTCTGTTAATTAAAAATAAATTAAAAGTTGACACGAATAACGACTAAATATTTATTTTTCCATAGGATAAAGACTTAAATAATGATAACAAATTAAAATAAATAATCGTTTCATCTGCTCCATCTCCTTTAAGAGCTTTTAATCTCTTCTCTGAAACCTCCCCACAGTGACTCACCACCACGACAAAAAAAAAAACGAAAAACCAAAACCCAAATAAAACGGCGTAGTTTCGGTTACTTCGTCGTCGTCTTTCTCATTCGCCGAGAGTTATAGTTTTTTTCCGCCATGGGAGAGGATAAGAAAGATCAAAAGCTTTCTTCATACTTGAAAGCTAAAAACATTTCATGTAATTCACATTATTCATTTTATTGGCTAATGTCGAAGCTAATCTTCTTAATTCTCGCCATTCTTTTCTCTCTTCAATTCGTTTTCTACCCTTTAAATTTCATCTCTTCTTCTTCTCAACCTCGATCTCTGATCAAATTCTCTGTTTCACCCGTCGGATCCGGATTCGGGTCGGTTCATGAACCGGAACAAACCGAACTCAAGCACGTCGTTTTCGGAATCGCCGCCTCTGCGAAATTCTGGAAACACCGAAGAGACTACGTGAAGCTCTGGTGGAAACGGAACGGTGAAATGAACGGCGTCGTTTGGTTGGACCAACACATTGACCAAAACGACAACGTTTCGAACACATTACCTCCGCTCAGAATCTCCTCCGACACGTCGAGGTTTAAGTATCGATACCCGAAGGGTCTCCGATCGGCGATAAGAATCACGAGAATCGTCTCGGAGACAGTGAGGCTCTTGAACGGAACAGAGCCTGAGAAAAACGTGAGGTGGATTGTGATGGGAGACGACGACACTGTGTTTTTCCCGGAGAATCTTGTTAAGGTTTTGAGAAAGTACGATCATAATCAGTTTTATTACATCGGAAGCTCGTCGGAGAGTCATATTCAGAATCTGAAGTTCTCTTACGGAATGGCTTATGGAGGAGGAGGGTTCGCGATTAGCTATCCGTTGGCTAAAGCATTGGAGAAGATGCAAGATCGTTGTATTCAGAGATATGCGGAATTGTACGGCTCCGATGATCGGATTCATGCTTGTATGTCAGAACTCGGTGTTCCTTTGACTAAAGAAGTTGGCTTCCATCAGGTTAGTCCTCTGTTTTTATTTTCCTTAAATTAAATTAAATTTCCATTTGAAGATTTTTCATACATTGTCCTTTTTTTTGGGTGGAAATTTAAGTTTGATTTCCATTTTTTAACCTTTTCATAGACTGTTTTTATTTTAATGTTTTAAGGTCAAGATCTTAGGTAATTTTTGTTTAGGAAACAGAATAACTTAAAAATGCATTTATTATTTTAGGCAAAGTCTATAATTAAACTTCTAAATTTTTTTCATTAACACTCATATCTTTTAGTAGATATCAAATGCAAAAGCTGTTACAATCATTTATTTTGTTACTGCATTCTGATTTTTATTTGTTTTTTTTTTTTTTTTAACGTGATTTTTATTTGTTTTTGATAAGACTTTTAGTATATATCACATCAACATAAAATTAAAAACATTTGACATTTCTATAATTTTAGTAAAATGTATATTTTGTATGGCGATAATCTCGGCACTCATATAGATCTAGGCTTACATAAGTCATTGGGAGCACTAAAGCCTATTTAACTCTCAAGTCAAATATGTCGTTAGTAGTTTTTGTACGTGTTACACTTACATTCCTCCGTGCATTCACATTATTCATTTAAAATTTATTTATTCTAGTTTCTTTTCACATTTTTTTTTTTTGTTATTCCTATGATAGATCTAGGAACATCCTAACCGAAATCTTAACATAAATCATATCTAATATATCGATTTTTGGAATCTCTGTCCCCCACTATTTTCTCGATCTATACCTATCGCAGCATCGCTTATAGAATATCATTCTCGATAATTCTTATTCACATTGTTGTTTTGATTTTGTTGTGTTGTAACAGATTGATTTATATGGGAAACTTCTAGGCCTGCTATCGGCCCATCCTTTGGCTCCGCTAGTCTCGATCCACCATTTAGACTTAGTGGATCCAGTATTCCCAAACATGGGCCGAGTCAACGCCATGAGACGTTTCATGGTCTCCGCAAAACTGGACTCAGCGAGCCTCGCGCAGCAGTCAATCTGCTACGACGTGGACCACCGATGGACCGTGTCTGTCTCGTGGGGTTACACAGTCCAGATCATACGTGGCGTGTTGTCAGCTAAAGAGATGGTGATCCCCACGCGCACGTTCATCGACTGGTACAAACAAGCTGACGAGAGAAGCTACGCTTTTAACACGCGTCCTATCGCCAAGAGCGCGTGTCAGCGTCCGCGAGTGTATTACCTATCCAACGCGCTTCCGGATTTGGCTTTGCATAGAACTGCTAGTGAGTACGTGAGGTATGACATGTGGGAGCCTGAATGTGACTGGGATATGTCGGATCCTTCGGAAATTGAACGGGTCATTGTTCATAAGAAACCCGACCCGGATAGATGGAATAAACATAGGGTAAGTAACTATATTTTAATTCTAAGTTTTGTGTCTCTATTGGTTTATTGGTGAAATTGATTCATTTTTTTGGTGGTGATAATTTCAGGCTCCGAGAAGAGATTGTTGTAGAGTATTGCCTACGAAGAAGAATGGGACGATGGTAATCGATGTAGGAGCTTGTAAAGATGATGAATTTGTTGAATTCCCTGTCAAATAGAATTTATTATCCTTTTTTAGATTTTTCTTGTTACCAATCTACTTAGAGTTTGTTTCACTTCACACAAGTTAGTTATAGAGAACTGATAATTTTTTTGAAATTTCGAGCTTTTATATACAATTTAAACTTTTTAATTTTAACCTTTGTTGACCTAGACGGTTTTTAGCCGAAAATGTATTGGGTTAGTGGGCTTGGCCCATTAATATTCACGATTTAAGAGAGAGAGGGAACATAACACAGCTAGGATGACGCGTTTGACTCAGTCTCAACTCGGCCAAACCCAATCGAGAATGCCGTGAAGCTTTCAGAAGTTAAAGCTAAATAACTTATTCTCGGGTAACGATCATCAATACACTCTGATTATATATGTTGCAAAAGGGTGTTGATGTTACTGTTATATACTACTATATAGAGACATTGATGGTGTGTGTATATCTTTGGTGATACCTGGAGTTTGTCGACATGCATGAATTCATTAGATTTTCAAAGCCACTATTGTTCTTTTTTTGACGTCAATGCTCTTTGTTTTTGTTTGGTGGCTCTCTCGGGAATTGATATCTTTTGTGTTTGTATTTGAGTCGACCGAGTGGGATAATCGAAGTGAATTTCTTAGTAACTTATTAAAGTGTGAATTCGAAAATGTAAAAGCTTTTTTTTTTTTTTTTGTCGACAAATGTAAAAACTTTTAAGATATAAATCATATTCGATGCTGAAAGGAATATGAATTGTTCGAATAAAACAAAAATTATAATTATAAAAAGAAAGTCAAAACATAATAAGTGTGATGAATGTAATGATGATGAGGAAGAAAAGAAGAGGAATGGGAATGGGCCTGATTTTCATCTTTTCCTCGTTGGCTTTAAAATTGACATATTTTGTTGACACGCGTGAGATTCGTGGACGGAGGAGACAATGACACTCATAAGCCGACATATGACACGTGTCTTTTACACACGTACGTAGTACGGTCACGAACCGGCGAACCTACCAAAACCGAACACGAACCAGATTCCTTACAACCATCCAATTTGGGAGGTCTCATATCTTTCTTTAGTCCGTCGTCGCTTTTTCTTAGTTCTAGAGCAACTTTTATGCTATCTTTTAATCATTATTGCGTCATTAATATATATATTTTGTTGTATGACTCTTGTACCTAATTTTCATTTATATTTGATTTAAGTTTTAGCAAATTACAATCAGTTTTCAAATTAAAAATACAAAAGCTTAAATGTGAAAGTAAATTAATTATTTAAGACAAATTCTTTAAATATTAGGCAAAATCTATATGTTGATTTTAAAATCAATAAATTGATATTAAATTTTTAATTCTTATAAAGTACACAACCAATAACCTCTTAAAGTTAAATATTATGTTTAGAATGTATTTGGACATATTTTATCCGATTAATACCAAGCAGAATAGTTAATTAACAAGTACACGCTATGAGCGATATAAGGTAGCATGGTCCTTGGCCTCTTTCTCAAGTCAAAATGTATTTTAATAATCCTACATGCTATAAACTTCAAATTCCTACTTTTTCAGAGTTAAAACAGAAATCGTAAACATATCCCCATCGCTGAATACTAAATTGTTTGACATTAAGAGTATACACAAAAAGATCTAGATTGATCAGGCATATATAATATTCGGTAATATATATTGCAATTATCATTACCAGAATTAACTAGCTAGTTGACATCTTACGACTTATGAGTGATTTTCTAAACGCAAAAGATTTAAGTTAGGTAGGGTTCGATCATGCATGTCTTTTTTATGCGCGGGGTAACGCATGTTCAATACAAATTTGAAACTAGTTCGAATCCAACAAAAAAAAAAGTTTATAATTTGGCTTCCAAAATATATATTGTTACCATAAATTCATAATTTTTATTCAAATTTAACGTGATTTGTACATTAGTATATTCAAATATCGATAAACTTAATGATAAATTTGGAGGAAATTTTAGTAGTAGAATAGTTTCTCTCAATTTTATTCATTAGCCAATAGGCTTATTTATACAAAGATATTACTTGCATAGCAAGTTCTTTACATTTATGATAATGGTAAATCTACCTATTTAACAATAAGAAGATATACACAAATGTTAACTTTCCCAATAATAATAAGGAAATATATTCAACTCGATCTCGTAATCCCGAGATCTCTCATCCACCGTCGATCTCTCGATCTACGCTTCTCTTTCTCCCAATACTTAATTTTCTAATCATATCGTATATTCTTTTATACCTGTTTTTTTACGTCATCTCGCCAAATAACAACAAATAGATGTAAAATAATGAAAGAAAACAAAAAAACAAGATCCATGGGGAAGAGTCACATGCATGGAGCATGCAACTAGCTTACTTCATCCAATTCCCACTCAAAATTCTCTCTTTATATACACTTTTCTCTACCACTACTTCCCTCAAAACAAGCTAAGCTAGCTCGATCCTTCTCACTAAAGCGATCGTATCTCTTAAGATCTTTAGCGAGCGAGAGAGAGAGAGAGAGGGAGAAAAAATCTGAGAAGAGAGAGAGGATGGAGATCACCAAAAGCAATAACGGTGGTTCGAACCCATCTGCAGGAGAAGAGTTTAAGGATATGATTAAGGGAGTGACTAAGTTCTTGATGATGTTGATTTTCCTTGGAACTATCATGCTTTGGATCATGATGCCAACACTAACCTACCGAACCAAGTGGTTGCCACATATGCGTATCAAGTTTGGAACATCAACTTACTTTGGTGCCACAGGTAACTGAATGATCAATAATTTCCAAATTTTAACTCTATATAAACCAATTATTAATCATGCAGACTTTTGTGCTTATACGCATCTTTTTTTCATCATCACCCTGTTATTTTTAGCAATATTATCGTTTGTCTTTCGCATTTACATTCTTTGGATGAAATTTGATTAAAAATGAAGTTCTAAATATCATTTTTCTTGGTTTGCACGGCAGGGACGACGCTTTTCATGTATATGTTCCCAATGATGGTCGTAGCTTGTTTGGGATGTGTCTATCTTCACTTCAAGAATCGAAAGTCGTCAGACCATATCGATAGGTACAAATTATTCAGTTCACTTAGGTATATAAACTGCATCACTTTCTTTAATTACAACTTGTTTCTCTTAATCGGAAAAAGGGAGACGAATGGAGGAGTGTGGAGTAAACTAAGAAAGCCAATGTTAGTGAAGGGACCATTAGGAATAGTCTCAGTGACTGAGATCACCTTCTTGGCGATGTTTGTGGCTCTTCTTCTTTGGTGCTTTATCACTTATTTGCGCAATAGCTTCGCCACTATCACTCCTAAATCAGCTGCCGCACATGACGAATCTTTGTAAGCTTTTCTTTCATTTCTTTCGCCATCTAAAATATATAATTAGTCCAATAATTTCGCTTTGTTAGTCGAAATTATGGATCAGTTTTTATTTATTACGTGAACATATACCGCAAGATTAATAAGTCCATCAACAGTAGACTATGTGTTTGATTTAATTTTAAAATCTATGACAAATTCATTAAAAAAAGTCTTTTTTAAAGGATTCTCTGTAAAATACTTATCATGGTTAATTGGTTTATCACATATGAATTAAGGTGGCAAGCGAAGCTGGAATCAGCGGCGCTAAGGTTAGGACTTATCGGAAACATATGTTTAGCGTTCTTGTTCTTACCGGTGGCTCGTGGATCATCGTTGCTACCGGCAATGGGATTAACCTCGGAGTCAAGCATCAAATACCATATTTGGCTCGGACACATGGTCATGGCCCTTTTCACGGTTCATGGTCTCTGTTACATCATTTACTGGGCCTCTATGCATGAAATCTCCCAGGTATACTTTTTTTTTTTTTTTCTTGAAGATTTAATTAAAGCGGTACGTACGGTTCATATATAGATAGATTCGATTGTGGCCTAAAATAGTCCACTATTGGGTCCCATCAAAAAGTCAACGGCTCTAAAGTAGTCACTCTGAATGGAGCAGCTTCAAATTTAATATTTTGGGTCTTCACATGGCATAAATGTGTAGATAACGCAATTCATTTTGTTGATCCGAAATTAATTGCATCACGCATTTTAAGGTGGTAATTATTTGGATTAATGTTCCTTTTCTCTTTTAAAAAATCGTATACTCCAAAATATACGACTCGTAGTACTCCGGTAAATTAATTAATGTGATAGCTTCGAAATACTGCATTTCATTTCACACTAGGACTACAAGAATCGAAATTTAAACGGTATATAGTAAATATAATCTGACGTGGAATTAATTAATATTTGATCACAGATGATCATGTGGGATACGAAAGGTGTCTCGAATTTGGCCGGAGAAATAGCTCTGGTGGCCGGACTTATGATGTGGGCCACCACATATCCGAAGATAAGGAGAAGATTCTTCGAAGTCTTCTTCTACACTCACTATCTCTACATCATCTTCATGCTCTTCTTCGTCCTCCACGTCGGCATAACCTTCTCCTTCATCGCCCTCCCTGGATTCTACATCTTCTTAGTCGATCGTTTCCTTAGGTTTCTTCAGTCACGTGAAAATGTTCGCTTGCTCTCTGCTCGGATTCTTCCTTCCGACACTATGGAGCTCACTTTCTCCAAAAACTCTAGTGAGTACTTTTTGTCCAATTCGCTAAGTATATATGATTAAGTTCACCCTTACTGGATGGTCCAATTCTAAACAATTATTTTTGTTTTATAGAGTTGGTTTATAGCCCGACGAGCATAATGTTTGTGAACATACCGAGCATTTCAAAGCTGCAATGGCATCCATTTACGATAACGTCTAGTATCAAACTCGAACCAGAGAAGCTAAGTGTTGTCATCAAGAAAGAAGGCAAATGGTCAACTAAGCTTCACCACAGGCTTTCTTCTTCTGATCAGATCGACCGACTTGCTGTTTCTGTAGAAGGTCCTTACGGCCCTGCTTCCACCGATTTCTTAAGGTGATTTATTTATATACACTTTCTCAAGAACCTATCTAATAACTTGATATTCAGATTTGTTAAGAGTCCCGAAAACTTGATTGACTTGCATTTCAAGAAACATTGATTTCATAAGTTTTTTTTGGGCATTCTAGGCATGAAGCTTTGGTTATGGTGTGCGGAGGAAGTGGGATAACTCCGTTTATCTCTGTTATTCGTGATTTGATCGCCACAAGCCAAAAGGAAACATGCAAAATCCCAAAAATAACTCTGATTTGTGCGTTTAAGAAGTCTTCAGAGATCTCCATGCTCGATCTTGTCTTGCCATTATCCGGTCTAGAGACTAAACTATCCTCCAACATAAACATCAAAATCGAAGCCTTCATAACCCGAGAGAAAGAAGCAGGAGTCGAAGCAACAGCTGGGAAAATCAAAACTCTCTGGTTCAAACCAAGTCTTTCAGACCAATCCATCTCATCAATCCTCGGACCAAACTCATGGCTTTGGCTCGGTGCAATTCTCGCATCTTCGTTCTTGATCTTCATGATAATTATTGGTATCATCAGTAGGTATTACATTTACCCGATCGACCACAACACTAACAAGATCTATTCATTGACTTCAAAGACCATCATATATATCTTAGTCATCTCCGTGAGCATAATGGCGACTTCTAGTGCGGCTATGCTGTGGAACAAGAAGAAGTACGGTAACGTTGAAAGTAAACAGGTCCAGAACGTCGACCGTCCATCTCCAACATCTTCTCCTAACTCATGGGGTTACAATTCCTTGAGAGAAATCGAAAGTACGCCACAAGAATCGCTCGTACAACGCACCAACCTGCATTTCGGAGAAAGACCTAATCTCAAGAGTAATATATACTTGACCTTCTTTCAATTTCTCTATCTCTATAGTATGCATACATAAGTAATTGTTATTCTAATTATGTATTTTGTTGGTTTATATGAGCAGAACTTCTACTTGATGTGGAAGGTTCGAGTGTGGGAGTTCTTGTCTGTGGTCCGAAGAAGATGAGACAAAAGGTTGCAGAGATATGTTCCTCTGGTTTGGCTGAGAATCTTCATTTTGAATCTATCAGTTTCAGCTGGTGATTGCGTATACAACTCTGTTTTTACTATGTGTTGTGGAATTTGCTTGAGTTGCAAGTTAATAAGGTGGGCCTGTGATTTGACCTATCTTTGTGTGCTTGTTACATTGACTTTTCCGGGGTTTTTTTTTTTTTTTTCTCTCTGTTTTTCTCTTCTAGGAATATATAGTGTGAAAAATCCCTCCCCCCTTCCGTTCCAAAGTTCAGTAACACGATGCATAAAGCATTTGTAAATTGTAAATTGTAAATGTTGAAATATAATAAACTCATGTTGGGTCATGTATAAGATATGATTGTATCTCTATTTTTGTTAAACTTACAAAAAAAAAAACAAATCAGTTTGCTCGAAACTAATTCGGTTATACATAAGAGATATAAATACTTGGATCTATCATAACTCATGTGTCAATGGTATCTTGCAGATAGCACAAATTACCTAATTAGTGGTTAAAAGAAGAAGAAAAAGTTACGTGAACATTTAAAAAATAAACCGTTTCAATTGACATATCACTAATAACTCGATTAAAGTAAAAGGGAGTAAAATAACAGACACCTCAAATACCTAATTGGCATATATACATCAACTTATTTAATATTTGTGTTATTATTATTATGCGACTCTCTGCTAGAATTTAGTGTGTAACTAACAAAAAGATCATGGTTAAAAATTCAGTGCTTCTGTGAAACAAACGTACAAAACTGACTTCAAATGTTTCTAAAGAAGTTTAATGTCAAATTCATAAATTTAAGCGTGATTTTCCGTATAATTGATTATTCAAAACTCACTACAAGGAATAAAATCGTTGACAAAAAAAGAAAAGAGAACAGAAATATTTTATATGTAAAATATACGTTTATTGTTTGGATAACCTAATTATATAAGAGTTTGTTTGACACGTGAAGATTCGTGTACAAATAGATCTACACACATCGGCGTACCAAAGACACACTCCAGAGGACTTGTAACGTGAAACTCAATTCTGCTTTCCGTTATTTTCTTAATTACAAGCCCATAATTATAGAATTTCGTTCTCAATGTGAAATGAGGAAAATTACACACGTTACAGTCGTTACTTGACTCTTCCACGAGTCAAGTCTATTTTCTAAGTCAGCAATAAAATGAAACTGTAAATCAGAAATTAATTATAAAAAGACTTAAATACAATTTCTCTAGATAATATTATCAATTTTAAATAATAACAATTAATTTATTCTTGAATTTTTTTCTGTATTCACCAGAACATATGTTTCAACTATAAATTTTATTAGTATTTTTAAAATAATAATATAATCCATAGAAATGACTTAAATATCATTTCTCTTATATAAGAGTAGTAGATAAAAGAATCTACTCTCTATATCTTTAAACATCTCAACATATTTAATTATTGGATCTTTTCTGCATTTATCATAAAACTACTAATTATATTGGTGTAATTAGCATATATATACATATGCTGGAAATATATTTCTATATATATATGCTGGAAAACATTAGCATATATATATATATATATATGGGTTTTGTAAAATTTAATGCAAACTCCATTTCACTTTGTTTTTTCTTCTCATTTCTTGGAGTTTCATCTCTTGTACCATGGGATTAGGAGAAATGAATAAGGAAGTGATTGAGAAGGTAATTAAGTTCGTAACGATGGTGATTTTGATGGGGACTATAGTTATCTGGATTATGATGCCAACTTCTACCTACAAGGAAATCTGGTTAACCCCCATGCGTGCCAAGCTCGGCAAAACGATTTACTATGGGAAACCAGGTAATTCACTCGATACAGATCTAAAATTATTTATACAAATCGATGTAATGGTTTTCTTTTATTAGGAGTGAACCTTTTGGTTTACATGTTCCCGATGATTCTACTGGCTTTTCTGGGATGTATCTACCTTCACTTGAAGAAACAAACAACTGTTACTCAATTTAACAGGTAACTAAAAGCTACCAACTGTCACTCTTTAGTTAACAGCTTTTTTAATTTTTTTTGTTAATATTAGATTCTTTCTATTTTTTTAATTTTTTTTGTAAAATTTGAAGCGGAGTGGAGAAGAAGAGAGCCAAGTTTGGTGCATTGAGAAGACCAATGTTAGTGAAGGGACCGTTAGGAATTGTGACAGTGACTGAGGTTATGTTCTTGACAATGTTCATGGCTCTTCTTCTTTGGAGCTTAACCAATTACATTTACAGGACGTTTGTCACCATCACTTCTGAATCAGCATCAACTGACGGAAATAGCCTGTAAGTTTAATTTAGTAGAATGATTTTTGTGCATGAACATAATTATTTTGTATATATATATATATATAAATTTAGTGATCAATCTTAGTATTTGCAGGGAATTTTTTTCTGATAATATTGTGAGATATATGATGAAAATAAGAGTATAAATGAACTTTTCTATTTTCACTAATATAATGATGCGTCTTAAAATTAGAAGTGACCTTATAATAATATAATTAGTTGAAAAGTTATGTAAGTTGAGGAACGTGGCACGTCCCTTTATTGTGTGTGAAGTTGGCTCCGGTGAATATAATTGAGTATAGTTGTTAAGACATGGAAGTTAGTATCAGCGAGAAGGATCTTCGTCTGGTAAGAAGATCTGAGAGACAAAGTCTTGAAAACGAGAAGAGTACATCTTGGGATGGACGGCTGAGATCGTCTTAGAGCTGTGTTGAATTGACTTGTAACAATGTTCAATGCGTTTTCTCACACCATAGTCTTGGAAAATGTCTATGATCCCAAGATACAATATCACATCGTACCATTCTTCTCCTCCTCCTCTGCTGTGTTTCCCCACCACACTTCCTGATTCTCCTCTCCCCACCCGTCTTGCTCGTCACGGTATCTTCATACCGAAGTTTGTGCTTGAGCTGCACGAAAGCCCATTTCATAAACCCTAGTTGTGTTTTTTTGGCAGTGAAGATTTGAAAACAAGGACATGGAATTCTTAAAAATTTTTACCTGTTTTGGAAGATGTTGGTGAGACTTGTTCTGGAAACAATGCTTCCATGTGGAGAATCAGAAGCGCTGGTTGGTGCTGGACTAGGGCTTATACTTGCTACTGATTGTTTATCCACTGAGTTCTCACTATCAACTGAATCTATGAGAATGAAAATGAAGAATGTTACGGCGCGACGGGGGTTTCTCTTTATAGAATTTTAGATTAGAAACTGAAGATCATTCAGGGAAAAAATTCAAAAATTACTTCTACTGGGAGTGCATGAATACATTGTAGAAGATCTATCTGGAGAGTTTGAAGCTGTCTTCATAAACTTAGAGCTATTGCTGTCAGCAGAGCCTGCGAGATTTGACAAGAAAGTGTATGTACCATTTCATATATATATTCTTTCTTGGTGAACTACAGTAAACAGAAGAAGACTGCTAGGGAGAGTTTTACCTCGTGATGTGAAACTGTCGTATACCGGGCTTAATTCATCAATTGAACCTGCAGGGCATTTGAAATGAGGGGTTTGATTTATAAGCTCTTAAGTATATTATCACTAATAATAATAAGGATAGAGAGACACAAGATGCTTAGACTCACCATGACACGAGCCTTTCACTTGTAAACCAAGCATTAAGCTATAATCCATTATGCCTTCACGATGAAAAAACCCCGTTGAACATTTAAATCATTCTCTACGACAAGAATCAAGATAGAAACAGAGGAAAAACTCACTTGATGAGGCGGTGTCTAGCCAAAGAATCCACATAGAAACAAAAATCAAGGTCTATATCCTTCAAAATGGTTTTATCTCTCACTTTGATCTTCTTGTTAGTCCGACCTTGTGAAGAGCCCTTTAAACAACCGAGATCTAATTATTCGTAATGATAAAATTTTGACAGGGAGATCGGAAAGGGAAAGATACCGTATCCGGGTTCTCTGAAAGCTAAGGACATGACGGCTCTTGATATTCCGGTGGTGGTGCCGTATAATATATACTGTTTAACCTGGCTCGAGACGTTGGTGTGGACTGGGACATTGACTACGAGCTCCAAATCGGTCTAACCATTGACCTTCCTGTAGTCGGGGAATTTACTATCCCTATTTCTAGTAAGGGTGAAATCAAACTTCCTACTTTTAAAGATTTCTTTTGATCTACGTAACCTATAAAGCCAACATCCAACATCGTTGTGATGGTGACGATGATAGTGTAATTGTAAGTGTATAACACTTGATGATCTTTCCATTGATCACACGAATTAGATATAAATACATGAGGATCATATCTATCGATATCGTAACTATACAGAGGATATACATTGAATATTCTAACAATACGATATGCATGAGAATATATCCCTACCTAACAGTAATAACTGGGTTTGCTTATATAATCAATCAATGTTATCTTGTCATATCATGTGATAAAAAATCTTTGGAGGATTTTCAACAAAAAGAAAATAATGTGTGGAGAACAATTCAGTTTATGATGGTTTTTTTTTTGTGTACCATTGAAGTTTTGTAAATTGCATAAAAACCAAACCAAATGCAAGGAAATCTTATTCAATTTGGTTAATTTGATATGAAAACCAATGGATCTGTTCTGTTCCGAGTGTTTTTTTTTGTTCTGTTTGGTCTGGTTTACAGTTTTGCTGAACTTTCTCATGTCTAAAATAAACCATACAATTTTTGGACGATTATCGAATATGTACTTGAAAAAATATGAAATATCAAAAATATAAACCAATAAACAAAAGTTAATCTCAGCAGATTCCTAAAAAGAAAAAACACCGTTCATAAATGTATATCGTTATCGTATAATTCAATTTTTTTTCTTTTGATTTTTTTTTCCAAACAAAAACTCAGAAAAATGCCAGCGGGAACGGGGTTCGGCGGGAGGCCAAGAGGTGTGATGGTGCTTGCCGGCGGGAGGCCAAAAAGTGTGATGGTGCTTGCTGGCGGGAGGCCAAAAGGTGTGATGGTGCTTGCCGGCGGGAGGCCAAAAGGTGTGATGGTGCTTGCCGGCGGGAGGCCAAAAGGTGTGATGGTGCTTGCCGGCGGGAGGCCAAAAGGTGTGATGGTGCTTGCCGGCGGGAGGCAGCTTGTCGGTCGGGTGGAGCTTACCGGATGGATGCAACGAGCCGGAGGGGTGGAGCGAACCGGCAGGGTGGAGCGAGCCGGAGGGGTGGAGCGAACCGGCAGGGTGGAGCGAACCGGACGGGTGGAGCGAGCCGGACGGGTGGAGCGAACCGGCAGGGTGGAGCTCACCGGCGGGATGGAGCTCACCGGCGGGGTGGAGCTCACCGGCGGGATGGAGCTCACCGGCGGGGTGGAGCTCACCGGCGGGATGGAGCTCACCGGCGGGGTGGAGCTCACCGGCAGGGTGGAGAGAACCGGCAGGGTGGAGAGAACCGGTGGGGAGGGAAGCAGCAGGAAGCGAGCCGGTGGAGTGGCGAGAAACGGAGGAAGATTTGGTGATATGAAAACCCATTGCAGCGATGGAGGAGGAGTGAAACGTTTGCTTTGAAGGCAAATAGATCACAAAACGTGAGACTTGTAAAAGTAGAGAAGTGCTCCTAATTCTATTATATAGGAAAAATAAAAGTAATATATCTAATTCAAATTTTATAATAGGAGAAGATAAATTTTATCCTACTTGGCCTTGGAGAACATCCCAGCAGATTCTTTTTTTTTCCACCAATCTCGGCAGAGTCCTAGGAAGGTAAACTTATCTAATTTTATTTTGGTTTCTATAGTTTTTTTTATAAACATTTGTACAATCAAATCTTTGTGAATATAAACGGCGGCTTTTTTTATATATATATAAACTCTAATACAACTATGAATGTGAAAGTTTTACAAAATTTACTTGAGATAGGATCAAGAGTTTTCTTTTGCAGCTGTGGCATACTATATACAACTCACCTAAAGGAGAAGACATTAAAGGTAAACAATCCATTCCGAATATACGTTGGTTTTCTCTGATTAAGAACTATACAAATATTAATTTCGGGACATGCTTTTTACATGAGGTTGACAAAATAAATATTAGGTTAAATGCATGATATACGTGAGCAGATATTGGAGAAATTCGGTAATTAATATCGAATTATAGAATATACTAGATAATGCATCCACACATTCTAATCCAAAATAGAAACTTGTAGTTTTCAAGTTTTAATAAGAAGTTTGTTCTTCTAAAACTCAGACTAGGAATATATAGCTGTTTGAGCTGAGGGTCGTTGCAAGAAAAAAATCCATGGTCGGTTCTATCACCGTTGAATCTCGGTGTTCTAATTGGTGGTGAGTCCATACATACAATTTACTAATTAATGGTTTGTAATTGCTTTTTCAACTTCAGTTTTGGATTTTATTAATATATAGATATAGATTCTAACTGTATAATTTAACATTACTTCAAAAAAAAAAAAAGTATGATCTTAACTGTGTAATATGATTGGTGCATGATGATGGAAAACAGGATTATATATTACGACATTTACATGAATTTCTTCATCATAGTCTTTGGTCTTGCATCGATTTGGTTCATGAGACACAACAATATCCACTTCTCCTCAAGTGATGAGCCATACATATATCTCTGGCCTGTCTACATCGTCTTTTGCATTATAGATTTGTTTATGTGGATCTTTGCCGTAGTATACTTTGCTTCAGAAGATGATCTTGCCGAATTCTTGAAGCGCAATATCTTGGGACGACTAAGTCACATCTTTGGCTTCACGATACTCATCCTCCTTCTCTGTTCTGTTTCTCGTATCTTAGCTCTATGTTTTGGATTACCCCTTTTCTTGTGGCTCCTGATGGCCTTACTATATTCTCTTTACATATGCGCATACGGAGAAAATATGGAAGATAAACCACTTCAAGGAATATACGCGTCATAAGTTTTTTTTTTTTAATCTTTTTTGTTTTGTATACATATTTTTCAAATATTTTGCTTGATTATAGGAAAAAAATATATGTTGTTTAATTATAGAAAAAAAGAAAGAAAAAGAGTTGCTGCTTTTAATTCCTTCATTTTTAGTGTAATATATTTCTTTTAATATTATGATTATAATATGCTGAGAGACAATGACTCAGGGAAAAATCGGTTTAGGCCATCTAATGAGTTGAAATTCAAAAGATGACTTTGGGCAATCTTGTGACCCAAAACAAAAAGAAAGTCATTAGACTTTTGGGCTTGACACATAAAATTCTCAACTTCTTACGGTTTCACTAATGAAATAAATTTTACGGCAGAAGAGCAGAAAGTGAATTTCATAACCACTGGACAACTGACTCTAAATGTATTTCATACATCGATTCATCATCATACGTGGCTTTTTTCTTATCATGATCAATTTATCAGTTCATATCCTATATCCTACAGGATCGTTCGTATATGGACTTTTGCCAGGGTCCTACAATATCTGCATCTCCATTTGTTGCATTGAATTTTTCAATTTTCTAAAACAGTGATGCTTAAATAAAAAATTAATGTTGTTCCTGTTTGCTCTCCCAACGCAATCATAGTGCTACAGCATAAAAATTACTTAAAAAGAATATATAAATATAAAATAAAACATAACTTCGATTCATAATAAACGTCCTTACAAGTGCTTAAACAATTAAAACATAAGAAAAGAGTACAAATAAAATAAGATAAAAATAAACAACAAGAGCTAAAAAGACAGACAATTTAAAAACCACATGTTCTACAAAACATTATGATTAAAAGAGAAAAAACGAGTTAACTTAGCTATCTTTTCCGGAATGAAATTTCTGAAGCACAACAAGTCACGAATAGAAATAGCTAACTGAGAATTCCTCCTAGAAAGGGATGGGTCGTTCTCGACCGACGAAGTTGAAAAATTGATTGATAATTAAATATGCAACCCTAACTCCAAGGACCACACTAAACCAGATTATCATGTATGTCGTGTATTTTTTGTCTGAAAAACTTGCACTCATTAAAACTAATGCAGCAAATCCTAGGGCCATGATTAGTTCGTCATATACCAAACGAATAAAACACCAGAACTTAGTTGCTCTAGGAAACGCATAGTACATGAAAAACCCCGCCAGGTAAGGGACAGCAACTAACTTGTAGAGATGGAGCGCATCTTTGTAGCGTTTAATATCTTCCTTTGGGACATTAGAACCAGCAGCAGTTGCTTTAGCTATTCCCGCCGATAAAAACACTCCAGCAATAGAAGTAACGGAAATGAGTGTCGCATGCACGGTGAGTGAATACTTAGTTCTACATAGAGATAAAGAAAGAAAAATGTTAGTTTTGTAAACACTATCACAGCAAAGTCAAACAAATATTTTACTAAGTTATACCGTATGGGAATCTTAGCGGCAGTGAGAGTAGGAGGAGGAGAACTCTCTTCAATAGGAGGAATAAAAATCTGACGAGCAACAGCAGGGGAAGCATGAACAGAACCCGAGAGAGGAACAGCACCGGCGGGATGAAGAGCACCGACGGGATGCAGAGCACCGGCGGGATGCAGAGCACCGGCGGGATGCAGAGAACCAGCGGGATGCAGAGAACCAGCGGGATGCAGAGAACCAGCGGGATGCAGAGAACCAGCGGGATGCAGAGAACCAGCGGGATGCACGTCGCCGGACGGATGCACGTCGCCGGACGGATGCACGTCGCCGGACGGATGCACGTCGCCGGACGGATGCACGTCGCCAGACGGATGCACGTCGCCAGACGGATGCACAACACCGGCCGGAGGAACATTGCCGCCGGAGTTAACAGTGTTTCTGGTATGAGACATTCGTGTATATTTGTTTATCTTTGGTGTAGGTTAAGATCAGTAGGCTCTTGTCTTGCAACCAAATAACTAGCTAGTAGTACTGTCTTATATAATAGTCCATCTAACCTAATTTGAGATTTTTATGCTACGATTTATTTTATGATATTTAATAGTATTAATTGATTTAATAGTCCTTTTATCTTTAAAATATTTTAAACACATCATATTTTAGTTATAAATATCAAAAATTTCTTTTATTTCATAAATAATATTTTGAACTAAATACCAAAAGAAGAGTTTCAGTGTCCATTTGGTGAAATTATGTTTTTCAAACTTACACGTCCAAGACTTCGAATTCACTATGAAAATACTGTTATCGATCAGATTGTATATAACATATTTTAAAAAAAAAATTAATCGTTCTGAGTATTTTACTATTGGTTAACCATTGTTTTTAGAGTGATACTTTAAAATCTATACTGTTCTAATTCTCTAAATAAATGTAAGAAGAAAAAAGAATAATTAAATAAAAAAAATGGAAATATTTGATTTTCTTTACTGAATATAATGGAGTCTGAAAAAGATTTTTTTTTTTTGATTTTCTTGTACTGTTGTGCTGTGCTGTATGAGACCGTTTTCTTTGCACGAAGAAGGTATACACTTTTATGTCTCTTTCATACATATGACATAAAAACATTTCTATATTATTTTTGTCTTTGCGCTCAAAAAAAGTTGTTCTTTTATTAGTACAGCTATTTTAATGATGAAAAGAAAAAAAAAAATAATAGTACAACTATTTGAATATCCCTAATTTATTAACATGTTATAATCAGTTAACCCTTGTTTTTTCATCTTAACATCTGTGAAAGAAAAAAAAAATACTAAGTCCTCTCCTTAGTGTCAGTTTGATAAAATCGTATTTAGTGATTATATTTTATAAAGCTAATCTCTCGATTTTGATTGTTATTTGATTTTTACTTGTTATAAGCTATAGTATATATAACTCGATTTTGTTTAGTTATGACAACAATTCTTCACTAATATAATAGATAAAATTCGTGTAATGAGAAAACAGGTTATCGGTTGTTTTTTCATCAATATCCTACGTAGTCGATCAAATTTGAACTCTAATTGCTTAACTTGCTCGTTAAATTGAAGGATCTTAGTAGTTACACAACTATTCAATTAGTCAACTAAGTGCTCGAGGTCTCAACGTTCAAACTTTCTAAAACCCTAATCGCTAAGGAAACTAAAAAGGGTACATATGTCAATTTCTTAACTCCTGCAAATATTCGAAGTGACAACTCGTAAGAGTGAGATAGTCGAAGCAATCTTATGACACATCTAGAGACACTTAGAACGGTCTTATTTCCGTTTTCATATAAGTAGAAATAAAATATCGCTTTAATTTAATCTTTTTTTATCACCTAGTATAAAATAATATTTTGCATATGATACGTGATTCGTTTGGTATGGAGTAATGCTAACATATTTTGTTTCCTGGAATTTTGGTTCCCCAACATGTGATTAATATCCCAACTCCCAAGTAAAATTGGTATTTATATGACAAATGAGGGAGATTTGAAGTTTGCATGTAGAAACCTAATTAAAACGAAGGTGACATAAACGGCAAATAACTAATGGATCTTAGCTAGACACCTGATTATGCGCAACAGCTATACTACTAAAAGGTTAGACTAGAGTAGAGACTAGAAGCAACCTTCTTAAACACACAACAGTCTTTTTGAGATAAATAAAAAGAATAAAAAAATTCTATATAATCAATTATCTTTTAGACTTTTTAAAGCTAAAGAATAATCGATTTAATATGTTTGGTATTTAGAGAATTATATATTTCAATTTAATACTTAGTCCACAGATTTTGGTTAATGTGTAAATAATATGCAAGTACTAGTTTGTTATTGCAAGTTCATTATTGAAATAGGGAAGCTCCGTTTACAAGGCAAAACCAGACCTTAACAGGTCAAAATAAGTCTAAACCAAAAACCTCGACTGTTATGATAGAAAATGAAAGAGTACCAAGTCGTTGATGCTTGAAGGAGCTACTCTTTGGATTCTTTAGCTAGCAACACTTCGATCAGCTCCTTCGTGATTGCTTCTGGCAATGCCGATGCTATCTTGGGAGCTACAGTAAATAAAAAAACATGACTACTTGATCTACAGAAAACAAAAAAACATGTTCAGAATCAGACTTATATAAGTGCTATGTATACCTGCGTTTCTAGTGTTGATGACACATCTAGAGACACTTAGAACGTTATGCTCAGGTACAGTAACCAACTAACATGCCATTATCACGTGTACAGATGATCAAACATTACATGAACTAAGCGTCAAAAACTGAATTGCCTATGTTACAAGAGCAGATTGTGAGACATAAAAATCGAAAAGTGCTTCCTTTTATATAGGAAGTAAAAATACATCTAATTCAAATTGGCTTCAAAAAAAAAGGAAAAAAATAAGAAGTGGTTATATAATTTGAATACGAAACAAAACTTTTATTAAACCCCATTTAAACTTGAGATAAAAGGAACTGGAACCCTATCTCTCTCTCTCTATATATCCACAACAATCCTATCACGAACACGATTTGGATTTCTTGCAAAACTATACAAATTTCAGTATTTTATCAAGCATAAATTTTATAATTTAACCAAAAAAAGCATAAATTTGATAGAGCAAGCGTTTGCACTTGTTTGATGTATATGTATTTAGTGATTATATTTTATAAAGCTAATCTCTCGATTTTGATTGTTATTTGATTTTTACTTGTTATAAGCTATAATATATATAACTCGATTTTGTTTAATTATGACAAACAATTCTTCACTAATATAATAGATAAAATTCGTGTAATGAGAAAACAGGTTATCGGTTGTTTTTTCATCAATATCCTACGTAGTCGATCAAATTTGAACTCTAATTGCTTAACTTGCTCGTTAAATTGAAGGATCTTAGTAGTTACACAACTATTCAATTAGTCAACTAAGTGCTCGAGGTCTCAACGTTCAAACTTTCTAAAACCCTAATCGCTAAGGAAACTAAAAAGGGTACATATGTCAATTTCTTAACTCCTGCAAATATTCGAAGTGACAACTCGTAAGAGTGAGATAGTCGAAGCAATCTTATGACACATCTAGAGACACTTAGAACGGTCTTATTTCCGTTTTCATATAAGTAGAAATAAAATATCGCTTTAATTTAATCTTTTTTTATCACCTAGTATAAAATAATATTTTGCATATGATACGTGATTCGTTTGGTATGGAGTAATGCTAACATATTTTGTTTCCTGGAATTTTGGTTCCCCAACATGTGATTAATATCCCAACTCCCAAGTAAAATTGGTATTTATATGACAAATGAGGGAGATTTGAAGTTTGCATGTAGAAACCTAATTAAAACGAAGGTGACATAAACGGCAAATAACTAATGGATCTTAGCTAGACACCTGATTATGCGCAACAGCTATACTACTAAAAGGTTAGACTAGAGTAGAGACTAGAAGCAACCTTCTTAAACACACAACAGTCTTTTTGAGATAAATAAAAAGAATAAAAAAATTCTATATAATCAATTATCTTTTAGACTTTTTAAAGCTAAAGAATAATCGATTTAATATGTTTGGTATTTAGAGAATTATATATTTCAATTTAATACTTAGTCCACAGATTTTGGTTAATGTGTAAATAATATGCAAGTACTAGTTTGTTATTGCAAGTTCATTATTGAAATAGGGAAGCTCCGTTTACAAGGCAAAACCAGACCTTAACAGGTCAAAATAAGTCTAAACCAAAAAACTCGACTGTTATGATAGAAAATGAAAGAGTACCAAGTCGTTGATGCTTGAAGGAGCTACTCTTTGGATTCTTTAGCTAGCAAAACTTCGATCAGCTCCTCCGTGGTTGCTTCTGGCAATGCCGATGCTATCTTGGGAGCTACAGTAAATAAAAAAACATGACTACTTGATCTACAGAAAACAAAAAAACATGTTCAGAATCAGACTCTTATAAGTGCTATGTATACCTGCGTTTCCAATGTTGATGATACGTTTCGCATGGTCCTCCGGAGCGATATCGAGGATTATTGTTTTGAAGTGACCATATCCGAAATCAGCGGAGATAAGCTGAAATTAAGTAACAAAGTGTGAGACAAATAAAGTGCTGATTCATTCCTGTAAGGCTCTTACTTCAAAGAAAAAAGGGCCTTACCTGGTTGAGCTTCTGGCTAACAGTATCAGCAATGTCATCCTTCTTCTGGAACAGTTCTAAGAAAGTGTTGATGGAGATGTTGGTTTTGAGAGCTAGAAAGAAAATATCATTAGTAAATTTAATAAGCTTATTATGACATTTAAAGAATGATGAGGTGAGACACTGACCATTAAAGGCATGTGCCTTAATTAGCTGTTCTGGATCACTATGCACATAGAAAGCTTTCTTTGCATTATTCACATCAGCAACATCCAAAATTTGGAAATGAATTGACGCAACCACATTGACAAACACATCATCCTACAAAGACATCAATAAAATACTCATTAATTCTCATCAGAAAATTGACTATTCTTTGCTTGATTAAAAAATCCCATAATACATACCTTTGTCCTCGATATACAAGACACATTGTAGCATTGAACTCTCATTGATACCCGGCCCACGATCCGGTAACCAAAGCACCAAGGTACACAATGGTGTCCTGGTTTGAGTTCTCTGCTGAATTTGCCTCTTTTTTCTTCAATGCCACGTGTGTACTCCCCAATTTCGAAGCAACCACAGATATTACCCATCCTATTTTGACAAAAATTTAACAAAAATGATTCCAAATGTTACAATCATTTCCTTCTCTCTCCAATTAAAGAAATCAATTGACAAATATGAATCATCACACCCTAGAAGACACCGGTTTCCTTCTCTCTCCAATTAAAGAAATCAATTGACAAATATGAATCATCACACCCTAGAAGACACCGCTCATACTAACTCTCTAGCAATGACAGAGCAAAATTAATCTTTCCAATATAAAAATGTGTTTCTATGTTTGAAGGAGAAATGGTTAATGATGAGCTTAAGTTTCGACAAAACGTTACCAAAAATAACTCCAAACTTTCAATCCTTTCCTTCTCACTCCAACTAAATAAATCAAATCATTCAATAAAGAAACTCCTAAGATTCACATATATATATCATACCTAGAGCAAGACACGGCTCATACTAACAAAACTCTAGCAATGAGATAGCAAAATTATTGAATAAACAATAAGAGAAAGCAAATGATTACCTGACTGACAGCACCCGCAAATATCGGCGGAAATGTCGACCACGTTCTTCTTGTTAGGGTTTTTACTTAGAGCCTTTATAGGCCTTCTTAGACACGTGTCTTTCTTATGGATGGGTTGGTCAAAATCATTGGACTCTCGGGCCTTTTTATAAGCCCAGTTGAATTATCACTCGTTGAATTAAAACCGCAATTAACTGATAAGTAGCTTACACGTGTGATAAAAGTTGGCGAAAGAGTCAAAACTTGATACTAATACTATTAACACGTTTTGATTTAGAATTTTGTTAACCCAAAAACTATGTGAAAGTAACATTAATGAAATTTCTCCTAACCATTATCCACTATCATATACTATTTTATTTTTAAAATGTGATTATTTAAATAATAATTTTTTTTTAAAAAAAAAGAGTTATTGGGGGTATGAATATTGATCTTATGACAAGTTTTTGCGGTGGGTACTAAGTAACGTATAATGAGTATATATAGGAGTTGAAACAGAAACCTTGAGGAGACCAAATAAAGTTGATGTGGGGTCCAATATAAAAGGAGTTAGGATTTGATGAAACAAGCAAACCAAGGAAAATCTCCACCCAAAACAATATTTCAAAACGTATTTTTGGTTACGATGAATTAAGGTGGTTGTGTTTTTGCTAGCACCAATCTCACTAGTATTAAACCTATAGTATTTCGAATTTGGTAGATTACGATGAATAAATTGGGTCTTACTCTAATAGTTTCGCATTGATTGATTTAAAAAAAAAAAAAAAAAAAAAAAAAAAAAAAAAAAAAGTTTCGCATTGATTTCCGTTGCATTATTAAAATCCATTGGGACTTATTGGTGGAAACGGAAAAATTATGTGTATTTATTTGAACCCAAGGCTATTTCTAAGCAACTTCTTAAGAAAAATGTTGACCTTAAACTAAGAAGTCATGCAAAAAAATAAGGTTAGTGCGTGCTGTTCTGGATCACTATGCACATAGAAAGCTTTCTTTGCATTATTCACATCAGCAACATCCAAAATTTGGAAATGAATTGACGCAACCACATTGACAAACACATCATCCTACAAAGACATCAATAAAATACTCATTAATTCTCATCAGAAAATTTAACAGGTAACTAAAAGCTACCAACTGTCACTCTTTAGTTAACAGCTTTTTTAATTTTTTTTGTTAATATTAGATTCTTTCTATTTTTTTAATTTTTTTTGTAAAATTTGAAGCGGAGTGGAGAAGAAGAGAGCCAAGTTTGGTGCATTGAGAAGACCAATGTTAGTGAAGGGACCGTTAGGAATTGTGACAGTGACTGAGGTTATGTTCTTGACAATGTTCATGGCTCTTCTTCTTTGGAGCTTAACCAATTACATTTACAGGACGTTTGTCACCATCACTTCTGAATCAGCATCAACTGACGGAAATAGCCTGTAAGTTTAATTTAGTAGAATGATTTTTGTGCATGAACATAATTATTTTGTATATATATATATATATAAATTTAGTGATCAATCTTAGTATTTGCAGGGAATTTTTTTCTGATAATATTGTGAGATATATGATGAAAATAAGAGTATAAATGAACTTTTCTATTTTCACTAATATAATGATGCGTCTTAAAATTAGAAGTGACCTTATAATATAATTAGTTGAAAAGTTATGTAAGTTGAGGAACGTGGCACGTCCCTTTATTGTGTGTGAAGTTGGCTCCGGTGAATATAATTGAGTATAGTTGTTAAGACATGGAAGTTAGTATCAGCGAGAAGGATCTTCGTCTGGTAAGAAGATCTGAGAGACAAAGTCTTGAAAACGAGAAGAGTACATCTTGGGATGGACGGCTGAGATCGTCTTAGAGCTGTGTTGAATTGACTTGTAACAATGTTCAATGCGTTTTCTCACACCATAGTCTTGGAAAATGTCTATGATCCCAAGATACAATATCACATCGTACCATTCTTCTCCTCCTCCTCTGCTGTGTTTCCCCACCACACTTCCTGATTCTCCTCTCCCCACCCGTCTTGCTCGTCCCGGTATCTTCATACCGAAGTTTGTGCTTGAGCTGCACGAAAGCCCATACTCTAGTTGTGTTTTTTTGGCAGTGTAGATTTGAAAACAAGGACATGGAATTCTTAAAATTGGTTACCTGTTTTGGAAGATGTTGGTGAGACTTGTTCTGGAAACAATGCTTCCATGTGGAGAATCAGAAGCGCTGGTTGGTACTGGACTAGTGCTTATACTTGCTACTGATTGTTTATCCACTGAGTTCTCACTATCAACTGAATCTATAAGAATGAAATGAAGAAAATTCCTATGTTATGGTGCGACGGGGGTTTCTCTTTATAGTATTTTAGATTAGATATTGAAGATCATTTAGAGAAGGATTCAAAGATTACTTCTGCTCGGCGTGCATGAATACATTGTAGAAGATCTATCTGGAGAGTTTGAAGCTGTCTTCATAAACTTAGAGCTATTGCTGTCAACAGAGCCTGGAAGATTGACCAAAAAGTGTTATGTACCATTTCATATATTATTTCTTGGTGATTACAGTAAACAGAAGAAGAATGCTAGGCAGAGTTTTACCTCGTGATGTGAAGCTATCGTATATCGGGCTTAATTCATCAATTGAACCTGCAGGGCGGTTGAAAGTTGACGGGTTTGATTTATATAAGGTATGAAGTTTGTTTATTATCACTAATGATAAGAATAGAGAAACATAAGATGCTTAACTCACCATGACACGAGCCTTTCACTTGTAAACCAAGCATTAAGCTATAATCCATTATGCCTTCATCTTCCAAAAGTTCACAATCTAGCTTCGTTTGCCTGCACGATGGAAAAACCCACTGAGAATCTAAATCATTCTCTACGACAAGAAACAAGATAGAAACAGAGGAAAAACTCACTTGATGAGGCGGTGTCTAGCCAAAGAATCCACATAGAAACAAAAATCAAGGTCTATATCCTTCAAAATGGTTTTATCTCTCACTTTGATCTTCTTATTAGTCCGACCTTGTGATGAACCCTTTAGATCATAGACCTTGTTCATAAAAACATCCGACTGTAGTATGTTCGACATGACGACAAAATATGTCTGCTCACAGCAAAAACAGAGACTTTAGGTTTAAGTAAAAGTTCAAAGCCAATCTTCAGATAAAAGATTAGTTCCACTACAATGGCATTCTGCAGTCTTTTATTGTCATACCTTAACACCTCCAATAGGCTTGACAGAATGAGCTCCATAATTCTTGGACAACAAGGTTGACCTGTATTTATGGATATGACGGAAGTAACCAGGCAACATCTCTAGTATTACCTACATTGTATAAGATTGTTACATAAAATGAGATGATAGAAGATAACATATATTTAGCAATAGCAATTAGTAAAGGTGGTACCTTGATTTCGGATTTGCGGAGAATCTTGATGAGAAAACGGTCATCTTTGGAGAGAAGAAACATGTTACCAACTTTGCCAGAAGAAAGCTTCCTTAATGTCTCATCATTACAGATAGACTTCATGTATTCGTCATGATTAATATCCTCAAGTTCTTGTATAAGTCTGCAACCAAAGTAGAGACAAAATGAATATGGAACCATTCAAAGAAAAAGAGAATGAAGAAGAAGAAGAAAAGATAACCTGAAACCCAAGGGACAATAATCCTTCCATTCAAATTCAGTAATGGTTCCAGGTGGAAGATGCTTAATGTGTTTGGAAGAGTATCGAATCCTGTTTTTCTCAGTCGCTTTCACGTCCTTTGCTGTTATCTCCCGCGTAAACATTTCCAAACTAACCTCTCTCTCTCTCTCAACTTCTCCTGATATCAAATCTCATCTATGCCCACATCTTTTGTATACTCCTATAGATGAAAGAATCCCACATTTTTCAATAAGAAATTGACATAAATCTGCAGATATTTCAAACCCTAGATCCAAAATTAACGAATTGAGGGACATCATAGCAATGTGAAAACAGAGAACCCTAAAATTGATCGGCTCAAAACCCTAGAAATCGAAAATCCAGACACAATAATTGATCACACCAACACAAATTTATATCATGTTCTAATTCTCGCATAAACATAAATGAGAGCAAGAGATTGTTGTTACCTGTTTCAGGAGCTGGGTAAACGAGAGAGGGAGGAGAAGAAGAAGAGGAGTGCGTTGGATTTTGAAAGAAACGAGAAATTTTAAGAATGAAGAAGAAGAAGATTTGTGTTTTGTTTCTTTATTTGTTGTGTTGAGAGGGAAAATAAAAAGAAAGAATGGTTTTTGCCAAATTTGGCCGTCCAAGTTCGCCGCTCGATCCAACTCATTTTCCTCTGTTTTCAAAGACTGAAAAAACCAATTCCCGCGTTCTGTTCCATTTTTTTCCGTTACCATTTTTATTTACTCGTTACTCAGAAAGCCTTATATGTAAACATAAGGCCCATAAAATAAAAACGGCCCAATTAAATGTTGTAGTTCAACTTAGCGAAATCTGGACCGTTGGTTTTTAAATGTACCTTGAAAGTCGACATGTGGCAAAGTGTAGGACGTGCCTCCCTCATGTGTTTAAACGTGTCGGCGATGACATGTATTTTATTTACCGACTAATGACGAGATGATCTTTCTTCATTTAGATAGATAGATTTGTTCATATAATCACTCAGGGCAGGGCCAGAGAATTTAAATAAAATTATAATTTTGCTTACAAAATATTATCTTCCATTTTTCAAAATGCATAATATCCACATAATCATCAGTTGTTGCATGCCTCTGCTATACAATCACATTTTAGCCAGAACTTTAGATAAAAAAATATTAGAGGTCAAACATACGAGCTGTATACTTTTCAGTTTTCATACATGGTCGTCACTACCTCAAACTAACGACCGGTCCATATATTGTGTCATCACAAAAGACACTTACGTACAACACAAGATAAGCAAACTGGAATTTAAACGCTGAGCACTTTGCATTTCATAAATCCAAACGGCACGCATGATGTTGAAGTAACGACGTGGGCACAGTTTCGAATTAATCATATAGATTCTTTCTTCGTTGCTGGTACGTAGAATCTAAAACCACCTACTCATAAATCTGTCATTTTTTGGAAACTTCTCAAAAAAGTTTTCATTCTGAAAACCTAATTAAGTGTTTTAGTTAGGGTTAACATGGATCAAAAGCGGCCAACCATCGCCGGCGATGAAGAAATGGCGGCTGAGGAACCGTTAAAACCAGCACTCCAAAAACCACCGGGGTTTCGTGATCAACAGAATCAACCATTAGCTCCGCCATCCGGAACAGCGACACTTCCACGTCGCCGTCCAAGGCCTATCCATCCGGCATCACTCTACCCGGAGAAGAAACGGCGGTGTAGTTTCTGCCGCGTTTTCTGTTGCTGCGTGTGTATCTTCTTGGCCGTGATTCTCCTCATCTTCCTCATCGCCGTGGCGGTTTTCTTCCTTTGGTACAGCCCGAAACTACCCGTCGTCCGCCTAGCCTCATTCAAAATCAGCAATTTCAACTTTTCCGACGGAAAATCCGACGACGGATGGTCATTTTTGACGGCGGATACAACAGCGGTGCTCGATTTCAGAAACCCTAACGGAAAGCTAACGTTTTATTACGGAGATGCTGACGTGGCTGTGATTCTCGGAGAGAAAGACTTTGAGACTAACCTAGGGTCAACGAAAGTCAAAGGCTTTATTGAGAAGCCAGGAAATCGGACGGCTGTGATTGTCCCGACGAGGGTGAGGAAACGACAGGTGGATGATCCAACGGCAAAGAGGCTACAGGCAGAGCTGAAGGGTAAGAAGCTGCTGGTGACAGTGACAGCTAAAACGAAGGTAGGATTAGCTGTGGGCAGTCGCAAGATTGTTACTGTGGGCGTTAGTCTCAGATGTGGAGGCGTTAGATTACAGACCCTTGATTCGCAAATGGCCAAATGCACCATCAAAATGCTGAAATGGTACGTAGCAACTACCAGCTCGAAACTATATAATTTGATAGAAATATTAGCTAAATAAACCATTGCAAAAAGGTATATAAAGCATAACGGTCGTATAATTAGCAAAATATTAACGAAGCCATTTGATTGCAGGATCACATTGCGGTCATGAAGCGAATGGTGTCGTTTTAGCGTACGGGAATTGTATTAATGCAGCCATTGTTCTAATTTTAATCCACACTCATTATATATATAGATGTTATACACACATGCATATGATCATTGTTAGTGGTTTTGTGTTGTGTCTTTGGCATTTAACAGTTCCAATATGTTATTGTCTTTTTGTTAAAGGATAAAGTCCCAAATTGTACTGCAATGTAATATTATTTGTCTAGTACGAAATGTTGATTCTAGTTCATAATTTTGAGTTGACACTGCAAATATATACGCTTTTAACTTGTGATTTGATTTTAATGAAAATCCACGGCAACAAAAAATAGAATCACCAATAGTAAAATTATAATTTGGTGAAATAATTAATACTGTGTAGCACAACTCACGGAATTATCAATTAATGAAATAACAAAAGTTGTTAATTCTGCTACTTTAACAAGAGCATATTATATGATCATTGTAGGTAGGAGAACGCGCGTTTGTTAAAAACCAATTTCAGTAAATAAAACAAACTACAATTGCCAAAAATAACTTCTTATCCGTATGATGTGTCCATACATCTCAGCTAGAGAATTTCTTACACAAATCGAGTCCTGTAATACGATTTTGTGTCTTGAGAATCTCGAGAGTTGCATGAGTATAATAACTTATAATTCAACTTTCAAAGGCACTGTGTAAAATGGAGCAATTTCGAGAGATAGGAGAGGTATTAGGAAGCATAAGAGCGTTAATGGTGTTCAAGGACAACATTCAAATCAACCAGCGTCAATGCTCCCTATTACTCGACCTCTTCACTGCGGCCTACGAGTCGATTTCCGAATCGATGAGATCGAATCTACGCTTCAAAGAGAAGAACACTAAATGGAAGATTCTAGAACAGCCTTTGAGGGAGCTTTTATGGGTGGTAAGAGAAGGAGAGGCTTATGTTAGAATGTCTTTAGAGCCTAAACTTGGGTTTTGGGCTAAGGCTATTGTGTTGCATTGCAATAGAGATTGCACAGAGCTTCACATACATAACTTGCTCTCTTGTCTACCGATCATTGTCGAGGCTATTGAGACAGCGGGTGAGGTTTCAGGGTGGGATGAAGAAGAGATGAGCAAGAAGAGGTTGGTGCATTCTAACAAGTATATGAAGCAATGGAATGACTCTCAGATGTTTACCTGGAAGTTCGGGAGAGAGTATTTGGTGACCGAAGATTTCTGCAACCGGTTCGAGAGTGCTTGGACAGAGGACCGTTGGATTCTAATCAAGGAGCTTCAGGAGAAAAAGCAGCCCGGTTCGAGCAAACATGATTGGAAGATGGCTGATTTCCTTTTGAAGCATTTGGGAGATGGAAATGAGAGTCCCAAGCTATTTCCGTCTTCTCTTCTGGTTAACACGAAAGATTACCAAGTGAAAAAAAGATTAGGGAATGGAAGTCAGTACAAGGAGATTACTTGGTTAGGCGAGAGCTTTGCGCTTAGGCATTTCTTTGGGGATATTGATGCTTTGCTTCCCAAGGTTACTCCATTGCTATCTCTTTCACACCCAAACATTGTTTATTACCTCTGCGGATTCACGGATGAGGAGAAGAAAGAATGTTTCTTAGTCATGGAACTGATGAGTAAAACCCTTGGTATGCACATCAAAGAGGTATGTGGTCCGAGGAAGAAGAACACTCTCTCCCTCCCGGTCGCGGTTGATCTGATGCTTCAGATAGCTTTGGGTATGGAATATCTTCACTCGAAGAGAATTTACCACGGAGAGCTGAATCCATCTAACATTCTTGTCAAACCAAGAAGTCACCAATCCGGAGATGGGTATCTGCTTGGGAAGATTTTTGGGTTCGGGTTGAATTCTGTCAAGGGTTTCTCTAGTAAAAGTGCTTCTTTGACGAGTCAGAATGAGAATTTTCCATTCATATGGTATTCTCCGGAAGTTCTAGAGGAGCAAGAACAGAGCGGAACTGTAGGAAGCCTCAAGCATACTGATAAATCTGACGTGTATAGCTTTGGGATGGTTTGCTTTGAGCTTCTGACTGGTAAAGTACCATTTGAAGACAGCCACCTGCAAGGAGATAAGATGAGTAGAAACATTAGGGCCGGGGAGAGACCGCTTTTTCCATTCAACTCACCTAAATTCATAACAAACCTGACAAAACGATGCTGGCATGCTGATCCCAATCAGCGTCCAACTTTCTCATCGGTAAGCAGAATTCTCCGGTATATCAAGCGATTTCTAGCTTTGAACCCCGAGTATCACAGTAGTAGCCAACAAGACCCGTCCATTGCTCCTCCTGTGGATTACTGCGAGATCGAGTCTAAGCTATTGCAGAAGCTTTCATGGGAATCTACAGAGTTAACTCAAGTTTCACAGGTTCCTTTTGAAATGTTTGCATATAGGGTAGTGGAACGGGCACAAACTTGTAAAAAGAATAATCTCCGGGAAACATCGGAATCAGGTAGTGAATGGGCTTCGTGTAGCGAGGATGAGGGTGGGGCAGGATCAGATGAGCAGGTGTCATATGAGAAGGAGAGAAGATTGTCATGCTCAAGTGATGTTGGTATGAGCAAGAAGCAAGTTTCAAATCTTCTGAAAAGAGCTTCTAGCCTGAAACCAATTCAAAAACCAGGTAAATTCATATAGAGGCTCCATATATATGAACTTTGTTACTTGTACTAAATTTTGTTGTGGCACTAGCCTTTGGATTTTGTTCAGGAACAACTCCGAGAGGACGATCAAGGCATCCGCCACTAAGCCCATGTGGGCAAAGCATGAGAGCAAACTCTGAGAGTCAACTGATATTGATAAGCCCAAGGATACGACGATCAAACTCTGGTCATGCCTCTGACTCTGAGCTTTCCTAGTCTGCAGGAAAAACAAAGTTCATAATGATGTACAAGTCAAAAGAATACTAACACCTGTTGTGACACACACTCCAGTAAATATAAGCGCTCCAAAACGATAATTCTTTATTCGAAGATTCCTACAGATAATAGGCTCATATATAGTTCAGGCAAGTGACTTATTGATTCAGCAGCTACAATATTATCATATGAGGCAAATTACGATGCCTAGCTAGACTAGTGTCAATATCTCAATAAGACAATAAGCAACCAAAAGTGATATCTATAATCTATCAAACATCATCAACTCACATTAATCAAATTAGGGTTCGGAATTTGGATCCCACAACATCAAATATAAGGAACGTTGATACCTTAACAAAGAAGGGAACAGCAACTAGTAACATGGCGGTTTGGCTTCCCATCACCTCTCGACAATTTCAATTTCTCCGCCGCAGACTCCGTCACTTCCATCGTACGAGCTTTTTTATCATGTCAATGATTGTGATATTACCAAAAAGTCCTTTATATGCTGTTTTTCTTTTCTCTCTTTTAATGAAACTTTGATTTGTTTTTGTTTTTTTGTGTACCCTTATTATGATTTTAATACCAACAGATTTGTCAAATCTCACATATGCTTATAAGCAAGTGGAGTAAACAAACTATCAGCTGATTTGTATAAAAATACTTTACAGCTAGTATATCATTTGTCATTGTCACCCTATATAAAATATATAATTCCAACAACTAAAACACATTTCTAAACTTTTAAGATGATGATGATAATAGCAAAAGAGAATTTGAATTTTTATTAAATCGACTATTTTAAGCATTGATCTATAAGAATTAGAATTAGAAAACAATTAAAGTTATGAGCACGTCTTGGAACATGGCACACCATCTATTTTGACAACATATATTATACTTACTCTTCGTTATAAACTAAATCCCCCATGGCCACGAATAATGTGTAATTCAAGTAATTGTTGGTTTTGGACAAGACACACATATCAAAGAACTAATTTAGTAAGTAGTATTTAAATTTCATCTTTCAAATGCAATTATGTCGACTCGATCCAACCAATTGTAACACTACTTTTATTTTGCATATAGAGTTGAAATATTTTTTGGTCGTCACGTTATCTCTTGGTCAACTTGACCTGGTAAGACCCATAGTTTCTACTTTCTAGATTATTATCTCTATCTCAAAATTCTCAAGTCCTTTTTGTTCTTAGTTTATCCGTTAAATGCTTCAAGTTCAAAGTCTTTTTTGATTATTTAAATTCCTCTGAAATTTTCAAAAACTCCTTTGATAAAAAAAAATGGCTGCGTCAAAGGCTTGATAATTGATTCTCACCGGAGACGAAGAACTTGCCCCAAAAAGTTCCATTCTCCAAACATAACCTAATCCTGGCTCCGGAATCACTCTTCTTCGAGGTGCGTTTTGATTTTCCTATATCTCTCTCTGTCATGGAAACTTCTGCCCAGAAACTCTTGAAACCATTACTTGGATAAATTAAGATTTGCTTTACAATGTTACTATTTCCTGATTTAAGATGATTCGATTAGAATAATATGTTGATAATTTTGGATTTTGTCTGAATTCGAGGATTATTGTTTCAGTTGCAGTCAAACGAGCAAAACCCTAGAAGCTAGTCTTCGTCGGAGATTTTTCTTTTTCCGATGAGGACAAGCGGTGACGTATATGGAGCAGATGCTGGTTCTTCAAGAAGTGATGAAGATAGAGGGTTTAAGGATGAGCTCAATGAACCCGCTAGCCCGATGAGAAATCGCCACGACGATTCGAATTCACGACCTGGGTCTCAGAGATCCGTCAAGAGCTTGAGAAAAGAGGACGAGACTGATTCAGATTCTTCTTCTTCTAAGACCAGAAACAACCCAATTCAGTACACCGATAAACAACAAGCCGAGCTTTTGAGAAAGCTTGATTCTATTAAAGATCATCTTCTCCGTGGTGGAGGTAATGCTAATGTGGCTGATCAGCCACCACCACCACCAATGGGTTTCCATGGTCATGGTCCTCCTTATTACAATCCATACCCTGAGCCATTTCCTTATGGAATGTATCCTACCGCGAGTAACCCGCCTCATGTTCCAGCTTATAGAGACCCTTATGGATTCCCAGTGCATAGAGTACCTCAAAACTTTTATCAAGGACCAGGTCATTACCCTAATCAGATGCCGCCTCGTCCTCCATATCCTCAAGGACAGTATGTAGACATTGGTCCTGATATACTTGACCCACAGTTACAGGACCCTAGATTCTTTCCGGGTACGCCGAGTAGGTACGGTGATGTCCCATTTAGCCCGGCTAAGCACCACGGTGAGAAAGTTGGACCCTTTAGTCCACATGGTGGTGTTCAAGGTCATCACACGAGGTGGCCTAGTGATATTGATTCTGAAATGGGTGGTGCTTTTGCTCGTGGGTATGTTCAAAAAGTTGTGTCGGATACTGATTCACGTCGTTGCCATCCTCTAGCAGGCGGTGCGCCTTTTATTGCTTGTCACAATTGCTTTGAGCTGCTCTATGTGCCTAAGAAGAAGCTTCTTGGTCAGGAAAGGCAACAAAAGCTGCAATGTGGTGCTTGTTCTGAGGTTATCAGTTTCACAGTTGTTGATAAGAAGCTTGTTTTTTCCTCTTCTGCCCTGGGGGAAACTACAAACCGGGTTTCTGTAGAGGTTGAAGATAGAAGCGCACCAAGCACTGTGGTAGATGATTATCCACTTAAGGATGAGGAACCAAGAATACACCAGGAAACGAAAATTCTCCATGCTGTATCGCCTAGTCAACACTCAGACGACGAAGACAGGTCAAGCATTTCTAGTGAGTCGCAGAAACAGGTCGTCAAGTCTGTTCGTCGCAGAGCCCAAGGCGCGAAAGTTCCTCCTCGTCCTCCTCCTGAAAATTCCAATCTTCTTGAGCTCTTTGAGTATTCTAATGTAAACCGAGCTGCAATCACTTACGGAATGGCGCAGTTAGGGTACAATAAGCAAGAATCCTACAGGAAACAAGACTCCCTGAATTCAGAATCAGTAGCTACTGAAACAGATGTTTCTTATAATGAGTACTATACTAACACTGAGGTGTCTGAAGATTCAAGGATCTCAAAAGCCAGCAAAGACGAGAGAAGACCAAGAAACCGAAAGCAGAGTAGTGAGTACAGTTTCCCAGAGGTCACAAATAAAATCAGCTCTAACGACCAAAACGACGAGCAGTTAGAGGTTTGGGTGAACGGGCATCTGATAGCGGAAGATCTGGTTATCAGCGCTGAGAAACAAGCTGGACCAGTTCAAGCTGGCAAATACTGGTATGTTTGGGGTTTCAGTTTGATTAATATAAGTCAAAAGAATTGATCAGTCGTTCTGAAAGAAACCATCTTTATGTATGATTCTGATCAGGTATGATTACCGTGCTGGGTTCTGGGGAGTGATGGGAAACCCGTGTCTCGGTATAATACCAGTAAGAACTTTCACATTTCTTCTATATTACTTTATATTCCAGTTCACTGTTTCATAATTCTTTGTATCGATTGGTACTTGATGAGGGAATGGGAAACAATTCTTGGTTGATGCAGCCATTTATCGAAGAGTTTAGTCGCCCAATGCCGGATAACTGCGGTGCAGGAAACACGAGCGTGTTTGTAAACGGAAGAGAGCTTCACGAGAGAGATCTAGAGTTACTTTCAAGAAGAGGTCTTCCTCGAGGCAAGAATCGTTCTTATATCATTGATATATCAGGAAGAGTTCTTGATGGAGACTCTGGTGAAGAACTTAAAAGCCTTGGCAGATTAGCTCCAACGTAAGCACAACACAAGTCTTTGTAATCAAAATTTAGATAAATCTTTTTAGTTGATTCTGAGATTTTATGACACATTGTTGAAAATTGAATCAGGGTTGACAAGGTTAAGCATGGATTTGGCATGAGAGTTCCAAGATCATTAGTTTCATGAAGCTTCATCAGCCTCTCTGGCTTGGATTAAAATGTAAATTGTTGTTTGTGATATAACACATCTTTGCTTTTATTCTGACCATCTTACTTACTTTTTTTTTCTTTCTTTTTTTTGTCTAAAAGATAAACCATATGTTTTTTTTTATCTTGTGATCTGGTTTATGTAAATTGATCAATTTTTATTGTGGATGATAACCTTTGGGGAAATGAAATAATATTTGTTTGGTTTTGGGTGACAAAAATAAATAAATATTTATAGATCTGGCCAGGCTGTGTTATCGTTTTCAAGAAAACAGATCAACAGACTGTGAAAGTTATTACGGTAGATCCAAAATCAACTTCAAGTAAGATAGGTCCACGTAGCAAAGATTTAAGCCCATGGAATAATTTATTCAGTATGGGCCTCGTGGTCGTGGTGTACCCTACTTCGTATAAATTCGATGCGTAGTTAAATTATTTCTTAAAAACAATCGATAATCTAGTCTGTCTAAAACGACTAATTCATGTCTAAAAATTAGTTTTATCATTTTATGTTAAATCACCGAACTAATTCTACCGTCTAGGTAGAACGTTTAAAACACAATTATCATGAATATTAACATCTAAACCGTATATTGACGAAGGTTATTAGAAGACAAAAATGTATTTTTTCGTCTAATTAGATGTGTAAAGCATAAACTAGATAATAATTTAAATCTAAGTGTGAGGTCTCTGTCTTTAGTTGAAAAAGAGAGAGAGAGAGAGAGGTCTCTATCATTGCTCCTGATAAGTGATAATTAATCAATAAATACTGTAGGACCATTCGGAAGTGACATCTATTCTTTCCTACAAATCTGAGTTTTTCTTTCAAAATATAGAGATTACAATAATCCTATCTACGTTGGAAATAATTAATGGTACCATTACCATGTCTCCGTAATCCGTAGAGCAATGGCTTAATCATGTTTAAAGAGACAAAGTACACGATTCGCTTTACAATTGCATAATTGTATCTTTAAAAATAATTAAGGATGCCTAATTATTAAATTTGTTTCTTCTTCTGAATAACTCTCTACAAATCTCACCAATTAAATTAAGCCACGACCGACATAAACAAAGTGGAAACAAATAATTCAAACACATGCAAACAAAAAAACTCGAGTTTAACTTTACATGTTTTAATAATTTTGGGGGAAAAAAACAAACAGAATCCGCTCTGTCTGTTTACCATGACGAAGTTCCTCGCTTTCAACGCCAACCAAAAACCTCCAGAAAGCTAATTCATTTAAAAGAACTCACTGATCTGTTCTTGTTTCTATATCTCTCTAATGGATTCGTTGAGATTAATATCTAAGAGCATCAAGATTGAAGGAAACCCATTTGGTTTCTCTCACCAACGCAATCAAATTTTCCTCAAATCCGTCGCTTTCTTCCTTTTGATCGGTCTCGCTTACCGTTTTATCATCACTGATTCCACCGTCTCTCCTGTTACCAACGTTCAAACCTTGCCGCCTGCGGATCCTTCTGGTCTCACTTCCATTGCTCAAGCTCAAGCCTCCGTTGATTCCCCAGTAAACATCACAACCATTATTCCTTCCCAAAATGGTAAGAGATTAGTAAAATTAGTCCTAAACTCTTGAAATCAATTCAATAGAGTAAGATCCAAGAAACGTGACTAAATTGGGTTTTTCTTCCAATCATATGAAAAACCTAGATTCTCCCGAAATTTTCGATGATCACCAAGTGTTTGATTAAATGTCTGTGTGAACAATTGTAGTTTCAACGAAGTGTGATATCTTTATTGGGAATTGGGTACCAGACCCATCAGGTCCAGCCTACACCAATGTCTCTTGCCGTCATATCCAAGATTACCAAAATTGCTTGAAAAACGGACGGCCAGATGTGAATTACCTTCAATGGAGATGGCAACCTCGCGATTGCGATCTCCCGAGGTTTGATCCTGAGCAATTTATTGACAATATGAGGAACAAATGGTTGGCTTTTATCGGTGATTCCATCTCTCGTAACCATGTCCAATCCCTCATCTGCATCCTCTCTCAGGTTTAACAATTCACTTTCTTCTCTAATTTGATTTCTCTGTTTGGATTTGATGTCAAATATACTTGCCTTTTTTAGGTAGAAGAAGTAGAAGATATCTACCATGACAAGGAATACAAATCCAAGATTTGGAGATTCCCTTCTTACAACTTCACACTCTCTGTCATTTGGTCTCCTTTCCTTCTACAAACTGAAACCTTTGAGAACAACGTCAATGGAGTTGACATTCAACTACACCTCGACAAGTTAGACCAAAAGTGGACAGATCAGTACATCAATTTCGACTACGTCGTCATCTCCGGTGGAAAATGGTTCCTCAAAACAACAATCTTTCATGAAAACAACACCGTAACCGGATGCCATTACTGCCAAGGGAAGAACAATATGACCGAACTCGGTTATCTCTACTCGTACCGAAAGGCTCTTCGTTTGGTTTTAGACTTTGTCGCTGAACCAAACCATAAAGCTCATGTTCTGTTCAGAACAACAACACCTGATCATTTCGAGAATGGAGAGTGGGACTCTGGTGGTTTCTGTAACCGAACAATGCCGTTTACGGAAAGCAACGAAGGAGAGATGAAGAGCGAGGATGTATCGATGCGTGATATCGAGCTTGAAGAGTTCTATAAGACTACTAAACAAGAAGGTTCCAATTCAAACATTGGATTACTTGACACAACTTCAATGTCGCTTCTCCGACCAGATGGACATCCCGGACCATACCGGTATCCGAATCCTTTCGCTGGGGTGAAGAACAAGGAGCTGAATCAGGTTCAGAACGATTGTCTTCACTGGTGCTTACCCGGTCCGATTGATTCATGGAATGATCTAATGGTGGAGGTGATGCTTAACCGGGAACGGCAAAGACGAGAATAGCCTTGAATTCACGTGCTATTAGAAGTGCAGAGATTGTTTTCAAGCCAACAAGTTATGGATAATGCTGTTCTAATGCTGCTAGATCTCTAAAATGTGTTCTACGTTAAGTGCATAATGTTATGGCTTATTAAAAGCAGGGAGCAATGATGACTCATGACCGGTCATCCTCGCATTGCAAATATTGCACCAAAAGAGTTGAATCTTTTTAGTTATCCCTATAATTGTATCTGTTGGTGCTATTACTGGTCCATTCGCTCTTGAGGTTAACAGTTTGCTGTTGAAAGATAGGCATTACAAAACACTGATACCAAGTGGAGAGATCAGTGAGGCCTGAGAAAGAGAGACATGACCAGGAAGAGACTGGGAAGCAGTAGGATAAGCCCTGAGAAAGAGAGACATGACCAGGAAGAGACTGGGAAGCAGTAGGATAAGCCCCAGTGGGCTTCTGATACTTAGCACCTCATTTTTAGCCTTTTAGGCCCATTACTAAGATCTGCATAACAAAGGCCTATTAAATTATTGAGCCGCCCCTGACGAATTAGGCAATCTAGTAGTTATTTGTCTATTTCTTCTGACAATGACATTTTTATAAATCGCCAGAAAAGGATCAATAAATGAACCAAAACAAAATAAAAAATATCCCAAAAATTATTATTTTAATCCCTAGCAATATTTTGTTCAAAAAAAAAAAAATCCCTAGCAATATTAAAAAATTATTTGTAAAATAAATTTATCGGACGGGAGTCGACAAGAAAAATTAATATTTTTAGGTTAATTGATAATGCTATATAAGGCCACCACATACCAACCTTAGAATAAGTAAACACAAATAACAAGTACTATTAATCACACACACTCTCTAATCATTTGCAAAAATGGCAGAAGCAAACAGTTCACATGTAGCAATCATACCAAGTCCCGGTATAGGTCACCTCATCCCACTCGTCGAGTTAGCAAAGCGACTCGTTGACAATCACGGTTTCATCGTCACTTTCGTCATCCCCGGCGATTCTCCTCCGTCTAAGGCTCAAAGATCCGTTCTCAACTCTCTCCCTTCCTCCATAGCCTCCTTCTTCCTCCCTCCCGCCGATCTTTCCGACGTTCCATCAACGGCTCGAATTGAAACTCGGATATCGCTCACTGTGACTCGTTGCAACCCGGCGCTCCGGGACCTTTTTCGCTCGTTATCGGCGGAGAAACGTCTCCCGGCGGTTCTCGTCGTCGATCTATTTGGTACGGATGCGTTCGACGTGGCTACTGAGTTCCACGTGTCGCCATACATTTTCTATGCATCAAATGCCAACGTCCTCACGTTTCTGCTTCACTTGCCGAAGCTAGACGAAACGGTGTCGTGTGAGTTTAGGGACTTAACCGAACCGGTTATGATTCCCGGTTGTGTCCCTATAACCGGTAAAGATTTCGTCGATCCGTGTCAAGACAGAAACGATGACTCGTACAAATGGCTTATCCACAACGTCAAGAGATTCAAAGAAGCTGAAGGGATTCTAGTGAATTCCTTCATCGATTTAGAGCCTAACACTATAAAAATTTTACAAGAACCGGCTCCTGATAATCCACCGGTTTACCCCATTGGGCCGTTGGTTAACTCGGGTTCATACGATGCTAACGTGAACGATGAGTACACGTGTTTAAATTGGCTAGACAACCAACCATTCGGCTCGGTTCTATACGTATCATTTGGAAGCGGCGGAACACTCACGTGTGAACAGTTCAATGAACTCGCTCTTGGTCTTGCGGAGAGTGGAAAACGGTTTATTTGGGTCATACGAAGTCCAAGCGGGATAGCTAGTTCATCGTATTTTAATCCACATAGCCAAACTGATCCATTTTCGTTTTTACCACAAGGGTTCTTAGACCAAACCAAAGAAAAAGGTCTAGTGGTTGGGTCATGGGCTCCACAGTCTCAAATTCTGACTCATACATCTATAGGTGGATTTTTAACGCATTGTGGATGGAATTCGACTCTAGAAAGTATTGTTAACGGTGTACCGCTCATAGCATGGCCGTTATACGCAGAGCAAAAGATGAACAAATTGCTACTCGTGGAGGATGTTGGTGCGGCTCTAAGAGCACGATTGGGTGAAGATGGGATCGTAGGAAGGGAACAAGTGGTGAGAGTGGTCAAAAGATTGATAGAAGGAGAAGAAGGGAAAGCGGTAAGGAATAAAATGAAAGAGTTGAAAGAAGGAGCTGTTAGAGTCTTAAGGGACGATGGATTCTCTACGAAATCGCTTAATGAAGTTTCGTTGAAGTGGAAAGCCCACCAACGAAAGATCGACCAAGAATAGGAATGAGATTAATTGTATTAAAAAATCAAAAAATTCTTTAGTAGTAAAAATTATATGTAACACCCTACTAGGTGCAAATCCAAACTTTAAGATCGAATAGTTATATAAAAAAAAATTCACTAATTAACCCCAAAATCAAAAAAAAAAAAAAAAAAAAAAAAAAAACTGATTAAGCATCCAAAACTATGCAAAAAAAAACCCTAATTATTTCCTTGTGAAACAATTCGATCCTTCACCGTCTCTGTCTCTGAGTCGATGATAGCTACAATGTTTTCTCCAAGAGACCCGCGCAAGCTATCAAGTAAAGGATTCAACTTGTCAACAAGATCACCAAAGAAATCATCCCTATGTTCTTTGGCAAGTTCCAGAGTCTTTTTCAAAATGTTATTTCCATATTCATCATTAGCCAATCTCACCAACGTATCTTCATCACATTTGACAATCTCTATCATGATTAGAACCAAAGGCACCATCGAAATACGGTCATCGATAAGCATCTCCACAATTTTGCTTCCATGTTTCAGAAACGAAAGCTCTATGTAGTGACATTGAAGCCCACACGCGATGAATGTCGTACAATCCTGGTGGTGTAGATTAATGGCCCGTTGAACCGTGGAGTTTCCCACATCAAGGTCCTTTGTTAGGTAGAGAGCGTGGACTCCGATTAGGCGTAGGATTTGATCATACACTTTCAAATCACCTCTTTTCTTGAAAGCGTTTATGGTTCGTATCATGATGCGATAACCGTAAAAGTCGGTTGTAACATCGATGAACCTTTGCTTCACTGCTGCCAAAAGAACTTTGTCGATTTCTTCGGATTTTCCTAGGATAATCTGAATCATGAGCGAGCCTCGTCTTGTTGTGACAAACTCGACAAAGAGATCAGAATCTAACATTAGCTTCGAGGCAAGCTTATGGAGCTGATCATCTGCTATATCAGATGCAGAGAGAGCCTCATCAAACTCAGCCATTAGCTCGTGCAAGCGCGCGTCGTCTTGTGTGGTCTTCTTTGTAAAATCAAGCTCAAGCACGTGTTGGATTAGGGAGATTCCTAAGTCGTGCATGCTTAGCGAGTGAGCGTGCTGTGCGATTAGGTCAAGGAATTCATCTTTCCAGAAATCATCAGCTATTGTTATAACTTTCTTGAGTACGATGCAACCGTTTTCGTCACTCGACAAGACCAACAAGTGACGGTACGTGATATGGCAAAATAGTTTCTTGTGATGTACGTTGCAAACGTTTAGTACTTGTGACGCCAAATCAAAGCCGCGTTCATGAGTCATAATCTCATCGAATCTCATCATGATAGGGCAGAGAAGGATTGTGTTGATATCGTCTGATATTCCGAATATTTTCATGAAGCGACTCAAGCCTACTTCGTCTCTAATGATTTTGACGAAGAGATCCAAATCTAACGCTAGTATATTCGCAAACTTAGGGACTTCATCTGACCTAAAGAAGACCCTACGAAAATCGTGCATGTCAACTTCTTCGGAACTAGTCATTAGTCTATGCAAGCGCCTGGTATGTGGCTGAGTTTTGTCATAGATGTTCTCCATAATTTTAAGGAATTAATTAGTCAATTGTGTATGGAGATGAACTATGAATGTTGGATTGGTATTTATAGAGTTAGGGCTGTTTGTATTCCTAATTAGAATATCGAAGTTGGATTGATTTTCGCATTAAGATTTTGTAAATATTTTGTTCGTAACTACTTAGATAAGATTTTCCATTATAAAAGTTAAACAATATCCAATTGAAACAGAAAAAGAAAAATTACCAAAAGAAGTTCCATATATATATATATATATATATATATATATATATATATATATATATATATTTGTCATCAAATTATTCAAATACTGAATTAAATAAAAGTCGATACAGACCAAGTCACCAATTAAAGAAAAAACAGAGCCAAAATCAAAGACAAATTAAACTGCTCAGACGAAATCATTAATTGATTAGAATTCTCCCCTAAACCGGATCAGGTTTAGGCTCTACACGTATACCAAATTTAAGACAACCACTTGAAAAATTGCGTGACCCTACTAATTTTTAAAATTTGTATTTTATGATGTCTTTATAACTTTCAAAAATTGAATTTTTATCATTAGTTTTTTAAAAAGTTCCTTAATTTTTATCATTAATTTTTATCATCTCTGGTTTCACAAAGAAAAAAAAACAATAAACACATTTCGCACTTTTTGAATTAGAGGACACCCAAGTGCAATCTGATAATTGTACATAGAAACGTTCAAGGGAAAATAAATTATTAATTAAATTATCACGGATATTAATTAAATGAATGATCACGGAGCCTTTTATTAGTTTATTTTTTTCAGTTAGATGTGTATAAATAACACTGACACTTGACTCGTTTCCGTTTAAACTCTCATCTTTTTGTTCCCTCTTCTCTTCCGGAGCAAGCATCTTCTTCAAAGAAGCAAAGGCACGATCTTTATATTCCTATTTTGGTTCTTTCTTATGATTAGGTTATATTACGAGTTATCATCTTCGTCACCAGTTATGGTTCATGCGAAACTTGATTCTTAAGTACTCCTTTGTGATCGAATGGGTTTTGCTTTCTTCAAATCTTGATGATCCTGGGTTGAATCGGTTAGGATAGTTCCCGGTTTGTTCATGGTTAACTGATTTTAGGATCGGAATCTTTGCTTCTTCCTGATCAATGGTTATCGGAATCTTTGCTTCTTCTTGATCAGTCGTTGAATCTCTTTCGTAGATTATTATGCCTTTATCGTCAGAAATCTGAATCTTCGTGGTGGTACGTAATGGGATCTTGTAGGTTTCGCATATTCTTCTTCAAGTGCCTTGATGGACAACAACGAGCCATTTGTGAGGAACGAGGTGGATGACGTAACGCCAAAGAAACCAGATGGTAAGGTTCTTGTTTTTTGTATATTTCTTCTTTGTGTTTGTTCATATAACCAAAACCACTTCTTCTTTGTGTTTGTTCATCGTGCAGAATCCGCGTCTGCATCATCTCTCCATGGGTCTGACGAAACGCCAAAGCAGAGTACCCAAAGCAACCAAACGGTAAGTTTTGCTTCTTTTTTGGTGCTCTCTTAAGTTATTATGAAGAATCATATAACCACTTGTTTGTGTTTGTTCATCCTGTAGGATCAGGGATCACCACTTGTTCCGTTACAAGAATCTCCCAACGTTAAAGATGAATTTCCTAAGTTAACTGGCATAATTCAAAGCAAAAAGGACCTGAGGACCGCTTATCTCAAAGCTCCTAAAGCCACCCATGGTTCAATGCCAAAGCAGAGTCCTCAAATCAACAAGACCTTTCCCATGGTAAGGTTTCATTCCTAAAGCTTTCTGTATTCTCTCAAGTGCAGAGTCAAATATAACCAGCCACTTCTTTGTGTTTGTTCATCTGCAGGGTCAGAGTTCACTACATCTTCAATTACAAGAATCTCATCTCAGCAATTCCACAACCACCCACGGCTCCTCGCCTTCTGTCAATGTGACACCAAAACCAGACTTGTCTTCACTTTCTACAACAACAGCTACGCAAGAACCGTCAGCTTCTGCTGAACCCGGCTCTGCTCATACAAGATATAGAATAAGACTGCCAGTTTTCAAAGAGCTTTGCTCGGGTGTGGAGTTTCAATGGTATGGACAGCAAGAACCAGACTTGCCTTCTTCATCTGGAAAAGGAACCATGCCAGCAAACAGTCCGTGTGCACCAAAGGTTTTAACACTTTTTTGTATCACTAGCTACTCTGGATTTATCATATAAACAGAGTTCTCATCTGCTTTTACGACTTGTGTTCATTAGGTTTCTGCTGAACCATTCACCCTCAGTACGAGCTCTCCACCAAGACAAGCTTCCGAGCAACTCTCCTGTGATCATCAGAATTCAGGGGATGATGTAAGTAGATCTCAACCCAATTTTCCATGTATGATTGACCTTTTTGTTTCGAAAACCAAAAACTCAAAACAATAAGATTACTCTTTGTGTAATCATCCTGCAGAGTCGCACCAGTGAAGTAGCTTATCCTAAACTAAGCAGAGAAAGACAAAGGAAAAAGGATCTGAGGAGTGCTCACCTCAAAACTCCCACAGCCACTCACAGCAACACTACTACCACAACCACCCATGGCTCCACGCCTTCTGTTGATGTACCGGGAACAGTGACCCAAGAACCAGACATGTCATCAGCTTCTGATGATAAACGCCAAGATGATGAGATCACAGCACCTGATCAGGATCACTCAGCTTTGGATGACAATCTTTAGTAAAGTCGCCAAGAGTAAAAACTTTCCATAAAGACTTCATTTAGGTTTGGTTTGGTCTGCTTTGGTTTTTTTGAATTCCAAGATATATTATTCCATTTGTGTAGATTAGGTTAGTTCATATTGTTTTCATTGAAAATATTCGGTTCCATAAATTTTTGAGCTAGTTTCTATATTAAAGCAGCAAAACCATGAAAAACTCCACAATCAATCCCAAACTATTCAATGATCTAAATCCCATCTTTCCCAATTTAAAATTCTTTCCATTCTGTTTTCTTATTGCCTTTTTATTAAGTTTCTTGAGAAGCAAGCAACCATAAAAATATCTTAAAAAAGAAGACGTAGGCAACACAAGACAACTTACTACACCCAATCATACACCCAATCAAAGATCTATGGAGAGAGAGACAATAGGCAAGAGCTTTCTCGTTGTAAAATGAGCTAGTAAGTTGAAACGATTAAAGCAGAGAGTATTGTTCCAAAGTTGTATCAGATTGAGCAGAAATTGTATGGTCTTAAACAAGTTCTATGGATATCAATACTTTTTATACGAAGTTGATCACAATTTGGGCGAAACTTTGTGATAAAATTTCTCAACGACTGAGAATATCAGAGAGCAAATCATTATGTTGAATCCACCACCAGATCTACACAACACTCTCAATCCAAGGCAGGCACAAGTCAGATCTTATATGAGAATAGCTGAGAGCAAATCATTACTAGTTTTAATAGTAATATAAAAATGTAAATTTAAAAACATTTTAAAAAAAACAAGTGTTAAAAAATTTAATTATGTGTAAACTATATTGAACCTAGAACACCTCTTAGGGGTTTGGATGTTGTTTAAATTGGCTAGACAACCAACCATTCGGCTCGGTTCTATACGTATCATTTGGAAGCGGCGGAACACTCACGTGTGAACAGTTCAATGAACTCGCTCTTGGTCTTGCGGAGAGTGGAAAACGGTTTATTTGGGTCATACGAAGTCCAAGCGGGATAGCTAGTTCATCGTATTTTAATCCACATAGCCAAACTGATCCATTTTCGTTTTTACCACAAGGGTTCTTAGACCAAACCAAAGAAAAAGGTCTAGTGGTTGGGTCATGGGCTCCACAGTCTCAAATTCTGACTCATACATCTATAGGTGGATTTTTAACGCATTGTGGATGGAATTCGACTCTAGAAAGTATTGTTAACGGTGTACCGCTCATAGCATGGCCGTTATACGCAGAGCAAAAGATGAACAAATTGCTACTCGTGGAGGATGTTGGTGCGGCTCTAAGAGCACGATTGGGTGAAGATGGGATCGTAGGAAGGGAACAAGTGGTGAGAGTGGTCAAAAGATTGATAGAAGGAGAAGAAGGGAAAGCGGTAAGGAATAAAATGAAAGAGTTGAAAGAAGGAGCTGTTAGAGTCTTAAGGGACGATGGATTCTCTACGAAATCGCTTAATGAAGTTTCGTTGAAGTGGAAAGCCCACCAACGAAAGATCGACCAAGAATAGGAATGAGATTAATTGTATTAAAAAATCAAAAAATTCTTTAGTAGTAAAAATTATATGTAACACCCTACTAGGTGCAAATCCAAACTTTAAGATCGAATAGTTATATAAAAAAAAATTCACTAATTAACCCCAAAATCAAAAAAAAAAAAAAAAAAAAAAAAAAAACTGATTAAGCATCCAAAACTATGCAAAAAAAAACCCTAATTATTTCCTTGTGAAACAATTCGATCCTTCACCGTCTCTGTCTCTGAGTCGATGATAGCTACAATGTTTTCTCCAAGAGACCCGCGCAAGCTATCAAGTAAAGGATTCAACTTGTCAACAAGATCACCAAAGAAATCATCCCTATGTTCTTTGGCAAGTTCCAGAGTCTTTTTCAAAATGTTATTTCCATATTCATCATTAGCCAATCTCACCAACGTATCTTCATCACATTTGACAATCTCTATCATGATTAGAACCAAAGGCACCATCGAAATACGGTCATCGATAAGCATCTCCACAATTTTGCTTCCATGTTTCAGAAACGAAAGCTCTATGTAGTGACATTGAAGCCCACACGCGATGAATGTCGTACAATCCTGGTGGTGTAGATTAATGGCCCGTTGAACCGTGGAGTTTCCCACATCAAGGTCCTTTGTTAGGTAGAGAGCGTGGACTCCTATTAGGCGTAGGATTTGATCATACACTTTCAAATTACCTCTTTTCTTGAAAGCGTTTATGGTTCTTATCATGATGCGATAACCGTAAAAGTCGGTTGTAACATCGATGAACCTTTGCTTCACTGCTGCCAAAAGAACTTTGTCGATTTCTTCGGATTTTCCTAGGATAATCTGAATCATGAGCGAGCCTCGTCTTGTTGTGACAAACTCGACAAAGAGATCAGAATCTAACATTAGCTTCGAGGCAAGCTTATGGAGCTGATCATCAGCTATATCAGATGCAGAGAGAGCCTCATCAAACTCAGCCATTAGCTCGTGCAAGCGCGCGTCGTCTTGTGTGGTTTTCTTTGTAAAATCAAGCTCAAGCACGTGTTGGATTAGGGAGATTCCTAAGTCGTACATGCTTAGCGAATGAGCGTGCTGTGAGATTAGGTCAAGGAATTCATCTTTCCAGAAATCATCAGCTATTGTTATAACTTTCTTGAGTACGATGCAACCGTTTTCGTCACTCGACAAGACCAACAAGTGACGGTACGTGATATGGCAAAATAGTTTCTTGTGATGTACGTTGCAAACGTTTAGTACTTGTGACGCCAAATCATAGCCGCGTTCATGAGTCATAATCTCATCGAATCTCATCATGATAGGGCTGAGAAGGATTGTGTTGATATCGTCTGATATTCCGAATATTTTCATGAAGCGACTCAAGCCTACTTCGTCTCTAATGATTTTGACGAAGAGATCCAAATCTAACGCTAGTATATTCGCAAACTTAGGGACTTCATCTGACCTAAAGAAGGCCCTACGAAAATCGTGCATGTCAACTTCTTCGGAACTAGTCATTAGTCTCTGCAAGCGCCTGGTATGTGGCTGAGTTTTGTCATAGATGTTCTCCATAATTTTAAGGAATTAATTAGTCAATTGTGTATGGAGATGAACCATGAATGTTGGATTGGTATTTATAGAGTTAGGGCTTTTTGTATTCCTAACTAGAATATCAAAGTTGGATTGATTTTCGCATTTAGATTTTGTAAATATTTTGATCATAATTTCTTAAATAAGAATTTCCATTAAAACAATATCCAATTGAAAAAAATAAAAAATTACTAAAAGAAGTTCCATAATTTTAATTTTTTTTTGTCATCAAATTATTCAAATACTGAATTAAATAAAAGTCGGATACAAACCAAGTCACCAATTAAAGAAAAAACAGAGCTCAAAAACAGAGCCAAAATCAAAGACAAATGAAACTGCTCAGACGAAATCATTAATTGATTGGAATTCTCGTGTATTTAACATACTCCAAAATGTGTCTAAAGGACATGGAAGCTTCGAATCAAGTCTTAACCATGGCTTACCACTACCTTACCAATGAAGCAAACTCACAGGACCAATGAAGCAAAATCACGACAACTACCTCTAAATTTTGAAATTCGTCAGTTTGGGAGATTCTAGGTTTTGAATCTCTGAGGAGACGAGGAAGTGGAAGAAGACGCTTTGAGGATAAGTGTTGCAGGATTGAATTCACGGCTGCGATTGAGCCACGGAGGTAAACGATGTCGAGAGTGATGGCTACGTGGACGAGATTAGGGTTACAGACGCCGGAATCGTCGCCGGAGGATCTGCATTGTTCGACGTTACGGAATATTGAAGATTCTCTTAACAAACACCGGACTGCACTATTCCTTAATGGGCTGCTTTAAACTGATTCGAAAATAGTTATTTTTATTGTGTATTGGGCCAATTGGCTGAACTAGGCCTTATTGGCTAAATTGGGCCTTATTGGCATTGTATCATTTAATAGAAAATCCTTTCTCCAAAAAAAATAAAAAAAATCCACACAAATCCTTTTTTATTGGCTTGTACCAAATGGTACGTAGTAGCTTTATATAATCCACACAAAACGAACCAAAAAAAGATAAGAACCAAAAAAGGAAATTCCAAAGAACTATAACCACGAGCATGATCTATAAAGCTACTACGTACCATAAATAAAAGGAATGAGCATAAATATTTTTCAAGAAAACAAGAAATAAGAAGAAATTAGAAAATAATCCTATTGATTTCACACTCTTGAATCTTGCATTAATGGCGGACGCAAACACTCCACATATAGCCATCATACCGAGTCCCGGAATGGGTCACCTCATCCCATTCGTCGAGTTAGCTAAGCGACTCGTTGAGCACGACTGTTTCACCGTCACATTGATCATCTCCAGTGAATCTTCGCCGTCTAAGGCACAAAGATCCGTTCTCAACTCTCTCCCTTCCTCCATAGCCTCCGTATTTCTCCCTCCCGCCGATCTTTCCGATGTTCCCTCCACAGCACGAATCGAAACTCGGGTCATGCTCACCATGACTCGTTCCAATCCGGCGCTCCGGGAGCTTTTTGGCTCCTTATCAACGAAGAAACGTCTCCCGGCGGTTCTTGTCGTCGATATGTTTGGTACGGATGCTTTCGATGTGGCCGTTGACTTCCACGTGTCACCATACATTTTTTATGCATCAAATGCCAACGTCTTGTCGCTTTTTCTTCACTTGCCAAAACTTGACGAAACGGTGTCGTGTGAGTTTAGGTACTTAACCGAACCGGTTGAGATTCCCGGCTGTGTCCCGATAACCGGTAAGGACTTTCTTGATACGGTTCAAGACCGAAACGACGACGCTTACAAATTGCTTCTCCATAACACCAAGAGGTACAAAGAAGCTAAAGGGATTCTAGTGAATTCCTTCGTCGATTTAGAGCCGAATGCTATAAAGGCTTTACAAGAACCGGCTCCTGATAAACCATCGGTTTACCCGATTGGGCCACTGGTTAACACAAGTTCATCTGATGTTAACTTGGAAGACAAGTCCGAATGTTTAAATTGGCTAGACAACCAACCATTCGGCTCGGTTCTATACGTATCATTTGGAAGCGGCGGCACACTCACGTGTGAGCAGTTCAATGAGCTCGCTCTTGGTTTAGCAGAGAGCGATAAACGGTTTATTTGGGTCATACGAAGTCCAAGCGGGATAGCTAGTTCATCGTATTTCAATCCACACAGCCAAACCGACCCCTTTTCGTTTTTACCAATTGGATTCTTAGACCGAACCAAAGAGAAAGGTCTGGTGGTTCGGTCATGGGCTCCACAGATTCAAATCCTGGCTCATCCATCCACATGCGGGTTTTTAACACACTGTGGATGGAATTCGACCTTAGAAAGCATTGTAAACGGTGTACCGCTCATAGCATGGCCTTTATTCGCGGAGCAAAAGATGAATGCATTGCTACTCGTGGAGGATGTTGGAGCGGCTCTAAGAATCCATGCAGGTGGAGATGGGATTGTACGGAGGGAAGAAGTGGTGAGAGTGGTGAAGGGACTGATGGAAGGAGAAGAAGGAAAAGCCATAGGGAATAAAATGAAGGAGTTGAAACAAGGAGTTGTTAGAGTCTTGGGAGACGATGGATTCTCCACCAAGTCATTTAGTGAAGTTTTGTTAAAGTGGAAAGAACACCAGCGAGAAATCAACCAAGAGACGTCCCATTAAATGGTATAATATACTTAAAATATGTGAGTTTGAGCTACCCTACTAAGCTCAAGATCAAAATGTTTCAATTTATGCATTATGCTGCAAGGAGTCACCAACATATAATAAACTGTTCTTTGACCTTGTCAGAGTCAGAATGATCTTTGTACAACAGAAGATTCAGAAGATAGTTTCATCTGTTTAGTAGATTAGGTTATCTTTATTTAAAAATTAATATGATAATAAATGTTTGTATGCACTACTTGTAATCAATTTATATGTTTTGGATTTTGTTGTACTGTATATGAAACTACGACATATATTGAAACGGTTTCACATGCCTAGTTTTGTACATGGGAAACGGTTTTAGCACATGCCTAATTTGCATATGGGGTTTTTTTAAGGCCCAACAATCTCTCTTATGCCTCAGTGCTACAAGCATACAAATTATTTTATTGTTGATATTAATTTATTTCAAATTATTAAAGGTTCCATTCGTGATTTTATCAAATAACGTAGAAACACATCATATAAACCCCGAAATACAACCACTTCAAACTCACGAACAAAACTGCAGAATTACCAACGAATATATGTCGATCTATATTTCATTCTTTCTTTTTTCATTATTATAAAAATGATTAAAGAGTTGGCAATCAACGTAATTGAGATCTCCGATGATTCTTCATCACCCAAAACCTCTCGATCTCTTCTGCTGTTCTTCCTGGAATCCTCCCAGCTATTAAATCCCACCTTTACAAACAAAAAACTAATTTTAATTCCCTTATTATTTTTTTTTTGATAACCCAGTGTCCAGACCACACAGTGATCCGACTAGCCCACTGGGCCTAAGCCCGCGTGCCTGGGATTTTTAAGCCTCCACTTAAGGGCCCCCTGGAACTGGTGGTCTGGGACGCTGCGCCCCGCAGGTAAATTGCGCAGTGGCCGGGACTCGAAGCCGGGTGGCGGGTGCCTCAGCCGAGGGTCCTTTACCACCAGGAGACAAGCCCCGGTTTAATTAATTCCCTTATTAAAATCACATTTTGAAAGATTTACCAAAAAATAGTTAAGGAAAAAGAGAAAGAATGAAAAACCTTTCACCGACAAGCTTATACATCCTGCAAATCAAATCCTCTTCTTCTTGTGCCATTGCTATTTCTTCCCACTCAAGACTGCTCACTTCTATCCCACGTCATCATCCAAATTTCACATTTATTATTATTATTATAAAGTAAAATTAAAAACAGAATCAAAACGACACCGTATAGTGGAGATCATGAGTTAGCTGAGAAAGTTGTTACCTTCAGAAGAAGAGGCAACAATGGTTGGATTGGTCTTAAGATGCTTCGACTTACGCTGCGTATCCATCTTAAACGACACCGTACTATACCAGGATTTAATTTACGATCGTACCGTGCAAATCAATCAATACGGTTTGGTACAGTTTAAGGTAGAGAGAGAGAGAGAAAGAGAGAGAGAGAATGGTGGATTTTAAGGGAAGAACATGAAGTCTATTCTCTATTTATAGGGGCAAAGTTTAACGACCGGTTTGGTCGGTTTCCACATTAAGAAATCATGTATGATGTATATCGTACATTATTTTCCTTAAATCGGATTTAACTTAAATTATTAAATAATATTCTTATTAATTAATTTAGCAACTTATGGGTGGCAGCCAATATATGTCAGTGTGTGTGTGCCAATGCTTGAGTGATTACGTTGAGAACCAATGAGAATCATAAGACATGTTTCATTACATCATTTGCTTCGTCATGTTCTTGTCTAATTGCTTTTTAAAAATGATACGACTTGATGTTTTATATTTATACGCAAATAATTAAATTAAATCGTAATTAAATTCATATTAATCAACTATGTTACCTATATTCATCGATGTATATACATGAGCAAAGGTTGATTAGAGAGATGAAAACTAAAGAGTATGCATTAGGAGAAACACTTGATTTTAACATTTAAGAAGTCCAATCAATTTACAATTGAATAAAATTTTGTCAATTTAATGAAATATATTGTTAGAACTATCAAAAAGTAAGTTGAAAGTTAGTTAGGTTGAATATAAAATTAATTTAACGTCGTGGATATTCCCTTTATTCCTCTATTAAATCACGTCGCAAAATTTATTCCATGCTTTCTTTTTATTTTGTTCGGTTTATTATATTTATCAATCTAAAAAGGTTGAGCAACGTACTGATTACTGAACAAACTATGCAGTTGCAACTGAACATGACACGTGGATTTTATATTTCATTTAATTTGTTGGGACCATCGCATGATTCATGACGCCTTCGCTTGACCCTTCCAATTTTATTTTTTTATTATTGAAAAGTTAATTTTTCTTTCTGTCTTACTAATTACTATGAATTTTTATTTTTACGAATGAATTAGAGAAATCATAAACGATTAAATTTGTTGGGACCATTGCGTTGCATAATTCATGGGCGCATCCAACTTTAACCAGCCTTGATTCTGTTTATTTTTTTTCGGTCTGCATTGAATTTTTAAGAATGTACAGAAAGATCATAAAAGATGTCAAAAATAAAAAGAGACTATGGAGGAACCAAGATAAAGGAGAAACTATAAAGGTTTGCAAAAAAAAAAACTATACTTAAACAGTTGACAATGAAAATCATATTACTAAATTCGAAATTCCAGCTTTTAGAAGTTTATAATATGTTTTTTTAATGACAACACTATGATATCACAATTATGCGAATATCATTAAAAATCAATATGAATTATAAAATTTGAAGTGCTAAGGATATCTCAAACTTTTTAATATGCCTTCAAAAGTTGTAATTGGGAATCCACTAGTCAGAGAGATATTTCTACTAAAGCCCTCCCAAAACACATGTTCTTTCAAATCTTCCTCTTACTTTTTTTTTTCAATCACAACCCTTTCTAACTGAGGCTTATTATATACATGAACCATTGGAAGTTAGAACTTCACAAAAGAAACCGTGTTTTTGTCAAGTGAAATCTCAATGGAAAACAACCAAATCCAACGAAAAGCAGATAAGAAACACACATAGAGAAAGAAGTTTTACAACCTAGATATTGTAATCAAACCTAATTCGGGTTTCCAGTTATGTTTCACAAGTAGGTTTTGGTCAGATCATGAGGTAGAAAAAAGGATAAGCATCACGAGACATAAGGAGAGAATAAACTTATACAACCTACGACAAACTTGAGGCTAATTATTCGATCCTCACTTACAATGTAAGAGATGTGAACAATGAATGAGATTCTATCACCATGGTCTGCCTTTTCCTCCCAGCCGGCGTGCAAGCTCAAAGTCTTTTCTCACTGATATCAACAAAAAACAGATATGGATAAGCATATTATATATGATATTCAAGTAGTAACTAATGATTCAGCGGGATACAAAAGTATGCATGTAATTCCTAAATTTAGACTGAAAAATGTCTTCTTTTTGAGTACTTACTTAGAGTAACACGTCTCGCATGGATAGCACAGAGCATTGAATCTGAGAACAAACCAACCAAGTAATCTTCTGCCGCCTGCCACAAAGAATTTGCGATTAGGTTAATTGGTCATCAAGGGTAAATGACATTATTTGTGATGTGTGTGACTCTCTCTCTCTATTTCTATATTCAAACATTTGTATCAGGAAAAAAGTTGAAGGATTGGTACCTCTTGAAGAGCCACAAGAGCTTCAGCTGTCCAACGATTGATTTGGGGAGGGGCCAACGCATGAGTTATACTTCTCACCTGGAATTTTTTTTAAAATTAGTTTGTTTGGAACACAAATCAGCATTTCCATATCACTGATGATTAATGTTAAGTTATTGTTGTAGTTACAGAAATCATAAGGTTCTGAATCTATGAGCCAATAACCTCAAAGACAAACTAGATTACAAGCTCCTTACACGGAGGGTTGGCCTCATGATTCCTCTGAATTTGCTATATCACTATGTTCACTGCATTGATGCTCACAGATAGGATCCATGTTGAAAACAAGAAACAAGTACCAAGTTCGTTGCAATTTGTGTTGGTGTGCAAATCCTAAAACTAGCCACATCAAATACCAAAAGGCTTGTGTTCTCTCTTGGTATATATTGTTATGCTGTGAAACTTATTATGGCTGGTAAGCAAAAAGAAAAAGAGAGAAAAAGAGAAACTCACTTGTCTTATGAAGCTAGCAGCTGGAATAAGAAGGTTTGTCTGCTTCTGGAAATGTCGAATCTCTCTCAGAGCAACGGTTCCTGGCTTGTATCGATATGGCCTCTTCTGTGAACCTACAAGGACAACACGAAGATTAGTTTTAAACACAACAAATGTCCTGCATTATGAGGAATATCACAAGTGATGTTTAAAAAAAACTAACCTCGCGGCATAGCCTGTCTGGCTCTCCTAGGCCTCTTCACAAACCAAATTAGATTTGTCAGCATAACGAAATCCAAGTTCATAAGCAATGGTTAAAATATTACCCTTCCACCAGTAGCTGGCGAAGTTGTATTATCTCCACCTTCAGTGCCTCTTGTTGTCGGGGTCTACAATTTATTTGGATAAACAAATTTGACAAAATCATAACGTGATAAGGAAAATTTAAATCTGAAATTCGAAACCCTAAAAATGAAAAAGATGCCGTACCGTAGTCGGACCTGCCGCCTGAGAAGATGAAGCATTGGCATCTACAATTTCAGATTCGAAATCTAGGGTTAACACCGGAAAATCGGAAAACAAAAAACCCTAAAATTATGGGTAAAAACAGAAGTAAATTGAAAGAGAAAGCAGATTTAAGATACCAGTTCGATTCCCAGATCCTGACCTGGTAGCGAAATGCTTGGTTCTCGCCATTATTTACTGCCGAAGAAATCGCACCATGAGACGAATCGTAAAATCGGAAAGAGAGATCTAGAAAAGAACGAAAACTGCGATTATGAAACTCACCTGATGAGAAATTTCCCGCTAGATACGAAAAAGATTTAAAGATTGGAGCAGGTTTTTAATTTTCCCGCTCGACTATAAAATTTTGATTTTAAAATCGAATCTTCTTCACCAATGGTTTATGGTTTGTTTCAGTCCGACTCAGAAGAACTTATATTTGCACTAAACCTGCCGCTTCACATAGAGGGCTCGACACTCCAAAAGCGACACCGTTTTATCAGGAAGAAGATTTTTAGCCGACTGTCGTTCCTTATTTACCCCTGGACAGTGTACACTATTACATTCGAGATGAAAATTTGAAACTTGGGAATAGGGGGGAATGCGTTTTTACCGTTAAACCTCAATTCAAAATCTCTCCCTCTTGTGTGTTCAGCTTTTGAATTTGGTGAAATTGACACGACGTTTTCAACTTTCTACCACAGATTCTTTACATTTTCACAGCATCTAGTCATAGGTTCTGTTCAACAGAAAAGTAGAACCTGAACACCAAATCTTTTGTGAACTATATTATACATCATAAACCATTCACATTTACATTGTTTCTTCTTTTTTTACAAATAAAGCAAAGGGGTCACAAACCACCAGAAGATATCTTACATCAAAACTTCACCATTGGAAAATATATATACATCCTTTAAGAACTGGTCATTACCGAGGATATATATATATATATATTTCTAGACCAAACCAAAAAAATCCCGAAGAATATTGATTATATCACAAACTGGAATTGATACTTCACTTCACTGGCCTTCATTGATTATGTAGTGAATTGAGTTATGTCCTGAGAAGCCAATCTTTCAGAAACATCAGCTAATGACTTGAGATTACATCTGATAAGTGCTTCAACAAAGTAGCAAGTCTCATCCTTTGTGTTACCTTCAGGAACATCAACTACAAACGATTCAATCACCATTGTTCCTGCTCTTCCCTCGATTATCTCCGGATGCACAGTCACAATCGACGAGTAATTCTGCGAGAAAACCAACATTTTCAAAATCCTCATTTATCTAAACATAATCTGTATGTAAACAAACAAACAATGAGATTTGATTTCTCGTTATACCTTAAGTCTGTGATCACCACCGATGATTTTGATACCGAGGATGTGTTCTTCATCATCAAGAAGTTCTAATCTCTCAGTACTTGTTGTTGCAGGAAGACCAGATTTAACATTGACTTCTCTAAGACTACCGATTTCAGGATCACCGATTACTGTACATCTACTCACAAATGGTTTGTATTTCTGCGGCTGATCAAATCTCCGCACAAGTGACCAAACCTAAAAATTTCAATTCCAATCAATCGTTAAAACAGAGATTTGGGGAAAACCCTAAATCGATGGTTGGGATCAAAATTGACGGATCAAGATTAGAGAAAATGCTACGAAATCGGTGAAATTAGTGGTGAATTGGAGAGGCTTACGAGATGAACAGGAGCTTTGATGTGTTTGACAAGAGCAGAGGTACACTGGTTTTCTCTGCAGTGATGTTGATGATGCGTCCGTACGTATTGCATCGTCTCGAGACCACCGTACATCGCCGTTCCGCCTCCAACGCCGTCCATCATATCCTCTTCTTCCGATCAGAATCTTCTCTCTCTCTTTCGTTCTAAGGTATTATCTTTCTGTCTCTCGTAAGGGAATCTCTGGAAATGGATAATAAATAGAAGGAAAGTAAAACAAGAAGATGCTTCGTTATGCAAAAATAAATAAAACAAAATTACTTTTTTTTTTTTTTGTGTTACTTTCAATTATTAATGAACCCACCGACATAATAACTTTTTTATTTTGTACCTAAACTCTTTTTTATAGCTTCTTCTCCTTCACACATTTTCAACTTTTCAAACAAAAAAAAACAAGATAATAATGGGTTAGCTTTTTTAAATGTAACAAAACAACAAAAGATTAAGCAAGTGTTATGTAATGACGTTTTGCGACCTAATCCGAACAAAACAAACAGAATGCTTAGATATTTTGTTGATTAAATAAAATTTTAGACCATAGTCATTATAATATAGGTTATTCTTTTAGACCATAGTTGCACAAAATGTCGTTAATATACCAAAAAGTGATAACTATTTGTAAATTATTTTTGTGCTAATTAAAGAATTATGGTCGAAATCAAAGGATTTGTATATTGTTTGAAATGCTATTTACAGAATATGCGGAGTTATATTCTACATACAATAGTTGGTCTTCACAAATGAAAAAGATAGGTTCTTTGGTTTAATTGAGTGATTCTCCATGTATCAGGTCCCATATGTCTTAGACCATAAATGTACTGTATATAGTTCTTGTTGTTGTTTTCCTTAAAATCTTGTTGTTTAAACGTTAATTGTGTCAAGCTAAATGTCTAATACCATATCTTATTAGATATTGTTCATCAACAGTCTCATCCTATCACCCGTGACTGTTCCATGTAGTCATGTACGACACGTAAGGTGTTATTTCCCTTCTAGGAGGAGAAGGCATGTTTAAAAGACGATTACTAGCTAGAAGACATCCACAATCTAAAATCATGAAACAAGAACTTTAATCTGAAATCTATTCATGATATAGAGATAACGAGAGACCATAAACAATCTGCAATAAACCATAATTCGATTCATCTCAACTAGTCTAAAGTTGCTCATCCTCCATCTTCTTCGTGAAACTCGAGCTTTTGAAATCGATATATGGTGGAAGTCAATTTTGATTACCAACAGCGTTAATTACGCTTTCTAACCAGTAATTTATGCATTACTATTATAATTAGTGAATTCTACTTTTCTTTTCCTCAAAAGACTCATTTTATTTTTTATTTTTTTTCAACCCAAAAAACATAATCACGTCTTAGATAACTCCAATTAAATGATTACCTTATCGGCTTATCTTCTAACATATGAATTATGGTTTAAGGTTTCCGGAAAGAACAATCTTTAGATCTTGTAACCATTTTAACCAACACGTGTAATTATAACAGGAGGTTTTCTTGTTCAATATGAATATTGCTTCTTCTTAGCAAAATAAATAAATATGAATATTGCTTATGTTTACATATCTCATTAATTGTCTGTCTCAAATTGAATAAAAGAGGGATTTAGTTTATTTATAACATTTTCTGCAACTATTAACTATATAATAATTTTAATGTTAAGTGATAATAAAGTACTTAAAGAGCGGTAGTTGACGATAATTACAGTAACCTTATCAGATAAAAATTTACCAAAAAAAACTTATCGGATAGGATCACCTTTGGCACTCACTAGGAATGCAAACTTAACGCAAAAGATGACTTTAGCGAACTGCTCCAAGATAAAAACGACGAGCCTTTTTAGTGACAGCGACAATGCAGCTAAATATGGTTAAATTATAGGAATCCCATATACGTGTCATATTTTCATTGGTTTATTGTCTGACATTTTCATGTTCACTTATTGTGGCGTATCTCGTGAAATTGACACGTGTAATTCTTCTTTTTGCTTACTTGGATAACTTTTTTTGCCGGCCAATAGGTTCTCCATTCTGGTTGGATTAACAAATACCCAAAAAAAACAGAGGGAAGTGACAAAAAAAAGACAACTTTAAAAAGTTGGAAAACGAGATTCTTCAGATAATGCTTGCTGGCAGTAAAAAGTTATGTTTTTTTATCGTGTCATGAGAGTGAAACAAATCTAACTTTGACTGTTTCAACCAATTAACAAAAGAAAAAGCTTAAAATTTAGATGAACCAAAGAAAGCCCAATCTTTAAAGACCACACAATATGGGCTAACGAGTACAAACAAAAACAGCTTTGGCTTATAGATTACTAGAATTGAGAAAGAAGAAAGTCTATGCAACCATTGTTTGTTTCTGGTGGGGTTTGCGAAATCTAAGGTCTGAAAAACACACAAAACCATTGGGTTCAAACTTCAATGTTCTGTTGAATCTCTGATTTTACACTTAACTATTAGCCAGCTTGTTATGGTCTTTGTAGTTGTTTTAAGCTGAGTTATGACCAGTTTCTAGTTGCATCTCTAGCAGATGTATCTGGAACTCTGTCACAGTTCAAAGAAGTCATCATTTTCTCATCAGTTGCTTTTGTTGTTGCAGCTCATCGGGACAAAATCTCCGGAAAAGCAAATTCGTTGTTGAAATCATTAAATATTAACACACACAACTCTTACTACTCCTAGCTTAAGATAACATCATTATTAACACACAAAGAAAACCAGAGTTTATGAGGATTTAGAAGATGTTGATAGTAAAAAGGATTAGATAGCGTAAGTTAACATTAACATTAACATACACAACTCTTACTACTCATCTTCGTCGTCTTCTTCATCGTCGTCTTCGTAGTCTTCTTCGTCCTTTTCTTCATCTATGTTATGGTAGTATTGCGACTGCTCGTTGACAACCAAAAAAACAAAATATGGGGTCAAATTTAGGTAAAACATAACTGGAAGAAGTGAGAAAGGGAAACTTGCGGTAGGAGGTTGTGGACTCAAATGGACCCTATATATATATATGTAGTTAGACAATGACAAATGTATTGAAACAACAAGTCTGTCCTTTTCGGTTAGGATGCTTACTTCCTGTGCATGTTCTTCACTCTTGAGATGCGTGGAGAAATTTTCAAAGCCTTGGACAGCAACTCCGCATTGCTCACAAAGCAAGGCAGGTTCACCCGTCTCGCCGTACTTGTCCTCCTGAGGTGCCCCTGAATCCATATCATCTGCATCCGTGGGGGAAACAAAAGCTAATTAGTTCAGAAACAGCTTAATTAATTCAACACTGTATCGAGAAAGAGAGAGAGGACAAAGACCTGCTGGTAAGCTTGCCAGTAAGCTTTCCCAGAGGAAACACCCTGCAGAAGAGGAAGCGGAGGCGGAGGCCGAAGTGGCTTGTTGAGGATCATCTGGTAATATAGACCGAACAATGTTGTATCCGATCCCACCTAGCATGCCAAGAGTGTCCAAGAAGATTGGCTCATACGATATGAGCATTAAATTAGCCGGAGGTTGATTATACCAGGTCCACTTAAGCACAGCCCACCCAAGGCCTGAGATATCTGTTTCAGAAACTAAATGACTTAAAAAAAAGACAACCAGTTTGAATCTAAACCCTAATTTATAAAAAGTAAGGATGAGAGGATATTAACCGGTGGGAACGTGATGAAGAGCGATTCCAGAGGAATGGACTTGTCTGAGGAAGTCATGAGGGACGTCTGTTAGTATGCCAACGGCAGTGATGGTGAGAGGACCAGAGTAGCCTAATTTCTCCAACGCCCGTTTTATACACGGACCCACCCGACGAACATCAACGTCACTGGGAACCGGACACCTGTTGATGTCCCACCACACGCGTGTTACAGCCTTAGCCTCAGCCTCACCCACAGCCTTCGCCTTCATCGCAGTTAGGTCTTTAATCTAGAAGATCGGAAAAATTCGAGATTGACACCGTTAAATCACCCACTTCCCACGCTTCCAGAGAGAACCTTCTAGAGTTAGTTTGTATGCTCATGGTTTTATCATAACCATTATTATAATTTTGATACGGTAATGATGATACTGATGGTATCATCAATTCATGATGATGATGAGCTTAACAATGATAAGGATATTGAATTTGACGACTATAATTCTAACGATGACTTATTACTAGGGAGTTTGAAACAACAATTTTCACCAGAATATATATAGGCCAGATTAGTACAACAAGCAAAAAGGTTTCTTCAAGCAAAGAATAAATATAGTCTTTGTCCTGTGAAAGAAGAACTTCACAATCCTTCTTCAGCTTTAATCCGTTCTTCAGCCATTCTCTTCTTGATCTCATGTGCTGCATTGAAAATCCCCATTGTTGGTTGGTTACACACAAAACACTTCTTGTTCTTCGTGTGATGCTGCATCATGACATAGAACAAAACTCATTAGTTTCACAAATTTCTTCACAAACCAAAAAACAGAGTCATCATTGTGATTTAAGTTACGATCATACCTTTAAAGCACAGTGCTCACAGAAGTAATGCTTGCATTTGGTGACAACTGGATCAACAAAAGGCTCTCTGCAAATGAAGCAAGCAAAGGGCAATGCATTTTCGTCTTCGTCGCTATCGTTGTCAGCCTCATCATCTTCATCCTCAACTCCCATAGCTTTATTTCTCTTCCTAACTTTCTCTGCTTCTTCCCATTCTTTCTCTATCTGCCATCCTGGTTTGTAATCCCCACGGTCATGCAAGAACTTACATGAATCTCCATATCCACAGTATCCGGTTTCCTTGTAATCCTTACAAATGTCTGGCTGGTAATCGAATCTAGCTGATACTCTGATGTGAGCAGAAGCTCTTAATGGCCCGTGTGAGCCTCCAGCTTTCTCGCTCGAGATTGTTTGTTCTCTTCTAAACCCAGCTTTGTGATCTGTATATCCATGAATTCCGGTATACAGCTTCTCATCTGTACCCTTTTTCTTATTCCCTTTCAATGCTTCGTCTGCTTTTTTAAGAACTCTCTCACGGATAGCTCGTGCGTCCTGATTGAAGTCGGTTTCAGTTTCTAGAGTAGCTGTTGCTCTACTGTCGTTTTGGACCTGGATCTCCTTGGATGAATCGTAGTGAAAGACGGGTCTCTCAGCAGCTTCACTTGTAGTAGAGCTCTTAGATGGTCCAGACGAAAAGTACAACTTGCTATCGGGTTTTGCAACTTTCTTTAGATTTTGTAAAATAGAGCTTTCGCTTTTCGAATCTCCATCTTCTTCATCTGCATCAATGGCTCTTTTCCTTATGTTTTTACTTTTCGTTGGCTTCTTGAAAAAAGTGCAAACTGAAACAGAACAAAGATTTGATTAGTGTAAATGAAAATTTCTAGCTAACAACGAAGAACAAGACAAAATCTCAATGAAGAAAGTATATGTAACCTTGTTGAGACTGAGTTTCTTCCCCAGCAGGTTGAGGTTGAGATACTTCTTGCTGAGACGGTTTAGGTTCACCAGAATCTGACATTGTTAGATATATAATCAACAACACAATCACCCACTTGAAATTTGCTGCTTAGTGTTTCCCTGCAAAATTCAAGATATCTTCACGATTAATATTAAGTCAATTTCCTGAAAACTTTAAATTTAGTTCCTACTGATTCAAATAACAATCTTATCAAATTTTATCCAGATTCGATGACAACAATAGACAATGCAACATAAACCTGAATTCTTCATAAACATAAAAATCCATGGAGAAATTCAATTCCAAATTCATCTACGCGAGCTCATGAATAGTCAGTACAACACACTGAAGAAACCCTAGCTTATCATTATCTATCTAGACAGCAATTTCACCGACAGAGCAATCCAAAACACAGTTCGAAAAGTCGATGAGTCAACGGAAGCTACAAAATTTGGAATCTAGAAAACCCTTTATTGATTGAGATTGGAGAGAAAAGCTCTGAAGAACACTAACGAAAAAAACAAGAATGAAAGTAAATCAGAAGTATGGATTAAATACAAGGAATAATATGTTACCTTCAGAGAAACCTAAGAATCGTCGCCGGTGAGCTACACCGTCAAGAAGAACGACGACGCCGTTCGTGTTTTCCGACAGAAAAAAGAAAAATCAAAGTGAAGAGAGAAGAAATAAGGAAATATAAGATGCGGCGGTTAGTTGAATTTGGGTCATGGATCTAAATGGGCTCAATATTCATAATGGGCCCAATACTTAAAATTTAGCAACTCAAGATTATTATCGCTATCTGACTTTGACCAAGTCAATTCATCTGAATTTAATTGTTATAAGTTTTTGAAAGGACTTTTTAATCGAACAAAGACTTTATATTATTTTAATTGCATAATATTCCCATTTGGGCCATTTCCCTCTCTTTTGTCGTATAATTAAAGGAATTCCTCATACACACTTTTTCCAGGAAAGACTGTATACAGAGAGATACAAGTAACCGCCATATGGAAGGAGGAGCTTGAAGAAGACGAAGAAGACGAAGAAGACGAAGAAGACGAAGAAGACGAAGAAGAAGAATTAAAACGCTATTGACCTAATTCCGTAAACTTCAGTTCATTAGCGGAATCTTACTATCTCGCCGTTACTTACTTCGTTTGAGGTTGGTTTCGGATCAAATTTTGATTCCGATTTCCGTTTCTGGTTTTTTTTTTTTTTTTTTTTTGCTGTTTCTCAGAATCGAAACGCTTAGATATATGTGTGTAAACTATACCTTTCGTTAATGGTCAACTATTGGAATTTTGTATGGTTTGAAACTTAGCTTTCTTATCTTCGATGAACAGTGTTTATAAGTTCGTATGGTTTTTAATTATTGAGCAGGAATGGGTAGGAATTATTCAGGATTTGGTAAAATCATGTTAGGTAGGAATTGACTGATTCTATGTTTTCTAATTTACCTTTTCAAGAAATATTTTAAAAACACACACAACTGTTAGGTGTATGTATACTTGCATTTTTAATTGGTTTTGGGGATTATCACTATACGTAATCATGGAGAAGAATTCGTATGGTTTTAAATGTTTTGTTCTTATTATAATGTTAGGATTCGTCACTCTGTAAGCGAAAGATCAGTTGAAATATTTACAAGATTTGGCTGATGGCATTTAGCCATGATAATCGTCCAAGGTTGGTTGTGACATAAATCTTGAAAGGGTTCATAGTTGAATGATTTTATTGTATCTTAAACGATTCTCATTTTTATGATTTTGTTTAGGTTCAAAGATGATGAAGACAGATCATTATACTCTGAGTATGGTTATGGAAGAAAATCTAGACCTTCTTTAGATAGAGTTTTCAAAAATGTAAAGTGGGGATTCAAGAAGCCATTAAGTTTCCATTCACATAAGGATCCTGACCACAAGGAAACATCTAGTATTACTCGGAAGAACATCATAAACCCGCAAGATTCGTTTCTCCAGACCTGGAACAAAATATTTCTATTTGCTTGTGTGGTTGCTTTGGCTATTGATCCCTTGTTTTTCTACATTCCCATTGTCGATGGCGCAAGGCACTGTCTTGCTTTGGACAAAAATTTGGAGATAGCTGCAAGTTTTCTTCGGACACTCATCGATGCCTTTTACATTATTCACATTGTGTTTCAGTTCAGGACAGCTTACATCGCTCCTTCTTCGCGGGTTTTTGGAAGAGGTGAATTGGTAGATGATGCTAAGGCTATAGCTATAAAGTATCTCTCATCTTACTTCATCATTGATGTACTCTCTATCCTTCCTCTCCCACAGGTAAATGACTACTTTGATTACTCCTTCAAAATGATAACATATTTTTGAATTTTCTGGTTTCTTATCTTGCAGATAGTAGTTTTAGCCGTTATTCCAAGCGTCAACCAGCCAGTCTCTTTGTTCACAAAAGACTACCTTAAATATGTCATAATTGCTCAATATGTTCCTCGTATCCTCCGTATGTATCCGCTTTACACTGAAGTGACCAGAACATCTGGCATTGTTACTGAAACAGCATGGGCTGGAGCTGCTTGGAACCTCTCTCTCTATATGTTAGCCAGTCATGTGAGTTTTGGATCATTTGATGGCTGAATCTTTATACATGTAAATGCATTTTAAAGGTTATATGTTAAACTTACTAATTCAGGTATTTGGAGCTTTATGGTACTTAATCTCAGTAGAACGAGAAGACAGATGCTGGCAAGAGGCATGCGAGAAGACAAAAGGTTGTAATAAGAAATTTCTCTACTGTGCAAACGATCGCAATGTTAGCAACAATTTCCTGGCCAATTCTTGCCCATTTCTCGACCCTGGTGATATAACAAACTCAACCATCTTCAACTTTGGCATCTTCACTGATGCTCTAAAGAGTGGGGTTGTTGAATCACATGATTTCTGGAAGAAATTCTTCTACTGCTTCTGGTGGGGTCTGCGAAATCTGAGGTTTGTAAAACACACAAACCTATTGTTTTCTTGTTCCACTTGAAATCTCTGATCACACCAACTAAATAACTAGCCAGATTATTATATATGCCCTTTGTAGTTAGAAAAATGCGATTCTAAGCTGAGATATGACTAGTTACTAGATCTGAAACTCTGAACTCAAAGAAGTCATCATTCTCACTAGTTGCTTTTGTTGTTGCAGTGCATTGGGACAGAATCTCCAAACAAGCAAATTCGTTGGTGAAATCATATTTGCTATATCAATCTGCATATCTGGACTAGTCTTATTTGCGCTACTTATCGGCAATATGCAGGTAATAGACTCAAAGAACCGCTCCTCATAATCTTGAATTGTTCCATAACTTGATAAGTTATTCACGAAACTCATGTAACCTATGTATTACTGTTGTAGAAATACTTGGAATCAACAACAGTTCGAGAGGAGGAAATGAGAGTGAGAAAGAGAGATGCAGAGCAGTGGATGTCTCATAGAATGTTACCTGAAGACCTGAGGAAACGTATCAGAAGATATGAACAATATAGATGGCAAGAGACAAGAGGAGTCGAAGAAGAAACCCTTCTTCGTAACCTTCCTAAAGACCTTAGAAGAGACATTAAACGCCATCTCTGCCTTGATCTCCTCAAGAAAGTGAGTAACAAACTTTCTCTCTTTTTCTTCCATTAGCTGAACCAAGAATCATAGTGCAACCCTCAGAATCCAAATTATATGATTGTTTTTGGTAGGTACCTTTGTTTGAGATAATGGATGAGCAGTTACTTGACGCGGTTTGCGATAGGCTAAAACCTGTGCTATACACAGAGAACAGTTACGTGATCCGTGAAGGAGATCCTGTTGCGGAAATGCTGTTTGTGATGAGAGGAAGACTTGTAAGTGCCACCACTAATGGAGGAAGAAGTGGGTTCTTCAATGCCGTGAACCTAAAGGCAAGTGATTTCTGCGGAGAAGATCTTCTCCCATGGGCATTAGATCCTCAATCTTCTTCTCACTTTCCCATCTCGACGAGAACAGTTCAAGCTCTCACCGAAGTCGAAGCCTTTGCTCTTACGGCTGAAGATCTCAAGTCTGTCGCTTCACAATTCAGACGCCTCCATAGCAAGCAGCTCCAACATACTTTCAGGTTTGGTCTCTCCCATCAGCCTCTTTGGCTCTGTTTCCGGTTTTGGATCGGCTTAACCGGATCTTGATTATATATACAGGTTTTATTCAGTGCAATGGAGAACATGGAGCGTGTCTTTTATACAAGCAGCGTGGCGGAGATACTGTCGGAGGAAGTTAGCAAAGTCATTACGCGATGAAGAAGAGCGTCTCCGAGAAGCGCTCGCTAGTCAAGATAAAGAACGCAATGCTGCAACCGTGTCTTCGTCCTTGAGCCTTGGAGGTGCTTTTTACGCGTCGCGTTTCGCTTCAAACGCGCTTCATAATCTGAGGCACAATATATCCAACCTTCCTCCTCGCTACACTCTTCCTTTGTTACCTCAAAAACCCACCGAGCCTGACTTCAGCGCCAATCACACAACTGACCCTTAGATCTCTTACATGTGTATAGTGTGTGGAATAAAGTGTGAGCTATGTAAAAACAGTGTTGGTCTGAACCAAAAAATGTATAAATTTGTTTATTAACTAACAGAAATTGAAATAAAGGGTTTTGGCAAATCTTATGAGCCGCTTAACTTTGGCAACTTCAGTTCAGCATCACACTTGGAGGTAAAGTCAGAAAAGACTCGATCTGCATAGATTTGAATCAAATAAAAATGTGTGGCTCACTGAAACTAAATATAATGTTCTGGAGGTATGGGATTACACAGAGAGAGGAAGAGAAGTGCCTGGGAGGATCAGAACAGTGATGATCAATGCATTGAGCTCTTGTCTTTTTTTCTTTAATCTTGATTAAATTACAGAACAATTATGTTTCTTTAATCTTGTTTTGACTCCGACTTTTAAGAATTGTTTGCGTTTATGTCTCTTCTTGATGTGTAATATTGTTTTTCCTAAACAACAAATATACAATGGTAGCTCTCGAAACATAGACCAGCAATGGTAGCCTCCTGGTGCATCAAATTCTCAGAATCTGCTTCAAAGAAGACAAAGCTTGCCTCTTCTTCTTCCAAGTTGTTCTCGAGTTGCAGGATTGCAGGTTCAAAGATGGAAATCGGCTATTGATCCTTTTTACCTTTTGCAGCCCAATTATGAAAAAAGGAAACAATTTAAAGTTAACCAAAAAAAAGGAAACAAACAATCTAAAGTTTACAAACAAAAGGAAACAATCGAAAGTTTCCTTTTTGTTTTGGAAGAACCTAATACTTATAAATAAAAGCCTGAGAGAATGCTAATCTCCAACATCATTCATTCTCTCTTCTTCCTTGACAAATCAAAATTCACTCTCATTCTCTCTTCTTCTTCTTCTTCTTCTTCTTCTTCTTCGATACCATAACAAATCTTTCATTCTCTTATCTTTTCTAAACACAACTATCGTTTTTGATCTTACATTCTCTCGTCTTTTCAAAAAACAAACAACTATCGTAAGATTGATCTCCATCCTCTGTTGTAACTCATCTTCAATACGATCCAAACGATTTCAAATCCGGTCAACGACGGGCCACCGAAAAGCTTTCACCGACGGCCAAGGAGAGCACCAAGACAGCCAAGGAAAGAGGACAACGAAGAAAGAGACAAGGAGAGACGGTGTTTCCATGGCTGTGATCATGAAAGCGTCTCTTCAGCATGATCGTCGATTAGTCTCTGTTTTGGCCGAACAAGGTATTAGTCTTAATTTCCTTTTTTCTCTTTTCTCTTTAAGAAATATTTTGATTTTAGTATTTTGATTATTGTTTTTGTTTTTGTTTTTTTAATGTTTTTTTTGTTTTTTTATAAGTGTTAAATTTTTAATTTTGTGTAAACTAATTGGATACATCATCCAAACCCCTAAGAGGTGTTCTAGGTTCAATCTAGTTTACACATAATTAAATTTTTGACACTTGTTTTTTTTAAAAAATGTTTTGTTTTTTTTATAAGTGTTAAATTTTTTAATTTTGGGTAAACTAATTGGATACATCATCCAAACCCCTAAGAGGTGTTCTAGGTTCAATTTAGTTTACGTATAATTAATTTTTTAACACTTGTTTTTTTTAAATGTTTTTTTTTTTTTAAGTGTTAAATTTTTTAATTTTGTGTAAACTAATTGGATACAACATCAAAACCCGAGGTGTTCTAGGTTCAATATAGTTTACACATAATTAAATTTTTAACACTTGTTTTTTTCTAAATGTTTTGTTTTTCTATAAGTGTTAGATTTTTTAATTTTGTGTAAACTAATTGGATACAACATCCAAACCCCTAAGAAGTGTTAGGTTCAATACGGTTTACACATAATTAAATTTTTAACATTTTGTTTTTATTAGAAAACATTTTTTAAAAATTATAATTTTATATTTCTATTAAAACTTTAAGGTTTTCCAAATTTTTAGATAAGATTTTGGATATATTTTTTTTTTATAAGTGTTAAATTTTTAAATTTTGTGTAAACTAATTGGACAGAACATCCAAAGTCCTAAGAGGTGTTTTAGTTTTAAAAACAAAATTAAGTGTTAAATTTAAATATGTTGAAAACAAGTTGGACTTAGCATCCCGTCCTTTGATCTGTAGGTCTTGAGATGTCATAAGTTCAACATGTTTTCACGTCATGAAAATTTAACATTTAGTTATGTTTTAAACGGTTTTTTAAAATAACATTTAGTTATTTAAATATTTTCAATTTGAACGATTTACTAGTTCATTTTTCTTATGTCCATATTAGTCCATTCTATTAGTCCATTTCTTTTTTTTGTTAAATTCTGTTAGTCCATTTCATTGTTCATTTTTATGGTCAATAAAATTATAATCATCTAGTTTCATGCTAAAATTTCGTATAGATATTATTTATAAGGAATGATAGTTACAGAATATTCAATATATTTACAAGTATTGACGAGTAGTGAAAAGATAAATACGTTATTTTGAAAGGGAAATAAGAATTACAGAATTGATGGACAAATTGGCCATTTCGTTTGGTTACTTGTGGAATAGGATAACGGGAGGAGGCAGATTTACGTGGTCCATCTAGCACCGTCCGATTGTAGTCAGATTAAGAAAGTGTGCGGTTCTGATTCGTCGAAGTACCCATTTTACGTGGGACCCATTTAAGACAAATGGTCCCGCTCTTTGTTTCTTTCCACTTGTGACCTCTGCCATTGCCAACATTACTGTACGACAAAATCGCCTGCGCTTTCTTCATACATACATACTTTTTTTTTTAATAGACTTTTTTTAATTTTATAAAATGAGAAAATTTCTATTTTTAATCATATTTTTAGCTTAATGCTTACAAAAACGTGTTTGACTTATATCTTGTTAAGAATCCTTAATGATAATTGTGATAAAACTAATGATCAAAGAACGTGTGATTGTTTGAACTAATTACTAGCTTGATTTAATTATATGAATACATACAAAAATATCTGGACGACAAGCTCGTAATTCAAAAAAAGAAAAACACATTTTTGTACCAGTGTTGGTGAGCCATAAACCTACTAACGTGATTTCTTAGACTCTTGGACAGTTTTCTTCCAGTTTTGTGAATAATATTATCAGACAATTTCGAATACATAAATTCAGTTTAAAATATTTTATTTTCGGAGAAAAAATATATTACATCATAGCAAAAGAAATTAACAATTTAATTTTTAATTTTTTGAAAACTGGTTCGGACGCAGAGAGCATGAACTTGTTATAGAAATAGAAGGGGGGCACAAATAGAATAATCCAGAAAGCGTAGAAATAAGAGAATCCATTCAGGCCCATTAACGGCTTAAAAGGCCTTAAAAAGGTGATAAATCATTCTGAAACAAGGAAGGAAATTTCGAACAAGACAAAAAGACTTAAAAGTCCATGGAAAGAAAAGATAATTACAGGAAAATGCCATGGACGTCCATAAAAAGCCACTCTAGCCATCTGACTATTGAATCTCCGCCCTTCCTTCCTTATCACTCTCAAACTTTTTTTTACACACACTCTCTCTCTCTCTCTCACCGTTTCTCCAGTTTCAGCTTTTTTTCGAACCACTAAACAAACTCTCTTATAAACTCTTTATCATCATTATTATAATTCTCCTTTTTAAATTTTCATATTTTCTTTGGTAGCTCAATAAACTTAGCTCCCGCTCTTCCACCACACTCGGTAATTATAACAATTTTATTATGTTTTCTTAAGTTCGTGTCATGTTAAGAGATATTTAAAAAAACGGTATTGTTTTGGATAAGATTTTGTACGTTTTCTTTAGTTTATTGTTCTTTGGTTTTTGTTGTATAATGGGTTCTTCATGAGGTTTGAGTGGTTATATAACTTACAAAATTGTACATTTGAATGCATTTTGACAATGGGATTATTGTAATTAACTTATGAATTTGTTTTCAGGCTATATATTATTTGTTTATTTCAATTAAAGAAAAAGAAAAAAAGCTCTAGAAGAAATGGCTCCCAAGAACAACCGTGGAAAGACAAAAGGAGACAAGAAGAAGAAGGAAGAGAAAGGTACCATTAACCAACAACGAAAACCTTAATCTATATGAATTTCAATAAAATTAGTTCTTAACCATTAACTTCATCTGATAATTAATTTCTAAGTTATTATAAATGAGTCATGATGGTTTACGCCTTACGGTTTATGTGCAGTTCTCCCGGTTATCGTGGATGTCATTGTAAACCTTCCGGATGAGACGGAGGCTATTTTGAAGGTTTGTGTGTATTTTATTTTCTAGCATCATTTTCGAATTATGTAAAATTCTCATATTTCTTGCGTGTTTACAACTGTTTTTTTGTTACCGATTTTTTCTGTGAATTTTTTATAATCCCTTTGTTTTAAATATTATTATGCAATCAACTAATTTCTGTAACATTAGTTTTAGTATTGAACTTATAGCATATTCATGAAACTTTATCTTGATATTTTCAAATTGTTTATTTTTCTATAATCATAATTAGTATTTTAAATTTTATTTCTGATATAAACTCCAAATGTGCAATCGTTTTTTTTGTTGTGATGTCGTGTTTTGGAGATAAGGCAAGAATACACGTTACCATAAAAATTTGATAGGTTTACACTTATACTTGTTGTATTTTTGGTTTGAAAAAAAAAATCATTTTCTATTTGACTTAGAATTATCTTCTTCAATTTTAACATTATTTGAACGTGTAGAAAAATACAAACCAATGTGTAACACACAAATTCGATTGTTAAATAATTCAATAGTTTTTCATAATTCTGGTCAATAAAATTACGTAGACGTTACATAGATAGTGAAATGTTTATATAGAAAACATGTATATCTCTTTTTCGTCGTCAGAAAACATGTTTATCTATATTCATATTTTGTTACCCGAATATTTGTTAAAATGTTTTCTTGTATGAAGTAGTATTAGTGGAAATTGTAAGCCCTATGTTAGGCATAGGTTTCACATGTTTGTTATTTCAAAAATAAAATTATCAAAAGTGGATTTAATAGAAAAAATATCTGAAACAGGGCATATCAACGGACAGGATCATAGATGTTCGGCGGCTTTTATCGGTTAACTTTGACACTTGCCACGTCACCAATTATTCGCTCTCCCATGAGGTAAATAATCTGAGTGAAAGTTTCTGATAATCGTTTGAATATCCTTTTCCATCTCTCTTGGTTATCGTTAGTTACTTGTTTTTTTGGTTCACAATTGTTGGTTACTAGTTAACGTTTGATGGTCCCAAAATATTCATATTTATTGTGGAATTTCTTAGGATCCTAAAAAAAAGTGAGCAAAAAGTAAGGGAAAATGACTTTTTATGAGTAAAGAAAAAATGTTAGTGACATTGTGCCTAAGAATTTTTGCTAGTCTGACAATTGAGTTTCCTTTTCTTACATTAGATAACAGATATGTTACCAGAATTGCCTAATTCAAAATAATCCCATAAAGGGTATAAAAAATTGACTGTGGTAAAATGTGAAATCAAATATAAGTCTGACTCCAGCTTGAAAAATATTCTCGTTGCAGATAAGAGGATCGCGGTTAAAAGACACAGTAGATGTGTCGGCGCTTAAACCCTGTGTTCTCACGTTAACGGAAGGTAAATCTCTCCGCGCATTAATATGACGCCGTTGTTGGGCTAAGCTAGGTCAATAGCCGTTACCACGGCGTAACGGAAAATATAAATAAGAAGACCTAAAACGATGCCGTTTCCTATTTATATGACAAAACGACGTCGAGTTTCGTGCGCTTTATTTAATTCGTGAGACCGTTGTGATTTTATTTGTTGCAGAGGATTACAATGAAGGAACAGCAGTGGCGCACGTTAGACGTCTGCTTGACATCGTCGCCTGCACCACTTGCTTTGGTCCGTCGCCGGAGAAATCAGACTCTGTGAAAAGTGCGCAGGCTAAGGGAGGTGGAAAGAATTCCAAACACTCGGAGACGTCGCCTCCGCCGTCTCCTGCGTCGAAGGATGCGGTGGTTGATGAAGCCGGAGAAACTAGCCACTCTTTCCCTAAGCTTGGAAGTTTCTACGAGTTTTTCTCTCTTGCTCATCTCACTCCTCCTCTTCAATGTATGCTCGTATTTGTCTCTCCCTTAAACCCTAGATTCGATGTCCTGATTTGATCGAGTTTGTCCCAACTTACAGTAATTAGGGTTTTATAGATATTCGGCTTGTGAGTAAGCGGGAAACTGAAGACATATCGACGGAAGATCATCTTCTCTCCATTGATGTAAGTCGATGATGATGAATCACACAAATTTCGATTTATAGCTCAATTGGTTGTTTCTCGATGTAGCAATCGGCTTTTGTTGATATCGTTTGCGTTTTAAATTCGTCTCAGGTGAAGCTTTGTAATGGGAAGCTCGTTCATATTGAAGGTTGCAGAAAAGGATTTTACAGCATTGGGAAACAAAGAATCATATGTCACAATCTTGTTGATTTGCTTAGACAAATCAGTAGAGCCTTTGATAATGTAAGTCTTGTTTTGGCTGTCTTATGTTCATATTTTGTTACTGAATTTTGTGTTGAACGTGATTGTTTATCTTATTCTTTTATCATGTTTAGGCTTACAGTGATCTTCTGAAAGCATTTTCGGAGCGCAATAAGGTATATTTTGTATCTGAATGAGGATTTAGTGGATGTTTGAATTGGGTGTAGTTAATGAGAATTTCATTTATTTGCAGTTTGGAAATCTTCCATATGGATTTAGAGCTAACACATGGCTCATCCCGCCTACGGCGGCGCAGTCACCAGCAGCGTTTCCGCCTCTCCCTGTTGAGGATGAGAGATGGGGAGGGGATGGTGGTGGTCAAGGGAGAGATGGCAGTTACGATTTGGTTCCATGGTCCAACGAATTCGCCTTTATTGCTTCTATGCCTTGCAAAACAGCAGAGGAGAGACAAGTCAGAGACAGAAAAGTGTTTCTTCTTCACAACCTCTTTGTTGATGTCGCGACTTTCAGAGCCATCAAGGCTGTTCAGAAAGTAATGGCTGAGCCAGTACTGACTGAAGAAGACTCTGAAGTTCTATATTCCGAGACAGTTGGAGACTTGAGTGTTACGGTCACAAGGGATACTTCAAATGCAAGTAGTAAAGTGGATACAAAAATCGATGGGATTCAAGCCACTGGTTTGGATAAAAAGAAGCTGATGGAACGGAATCTTCTCAAGGGACTTACTGCTGATGAAAATACTGCTGCTCATGTCAGTGTTTTCTAAAACTTCCCCACTCTTCCGTATTTATTTTTTTGTTTTCTTATCTGTATTGTTTAACTGTGGTTTTACAATTGTTTATGGGTGCAGGATGTTGCTACTTTAGGAACTATAAGTCTTAAGTATTGTGGTTACATTGCTGTTGTGAAAATAGAGAAGGAGAGTGAGGAGTTAAGCCCACCTTCTCAAATTGTTGACCTCCTTGAACAGCCTGAAGGTGGTGCTAATGCTCTAAATATCAACAGGTGATCTTTTCTTACTTAATGAAAAGACATTCATCCTTTGTCTCTTTAGCGTATGTTGTTATTTACAGTGTAATTTTTTTTTTTATGTTGCTTTACAGTTTGAGATTCCTTCTCCATAAATCCTCTCCTGAGCAGAACAAGAAAACACCTCAGCAACAGGATGATGAGCTTACATCTTCACGGGAATTTGTTAGTAAAATGCTGGAAGAAAGCATTGTTAAGCTTGAGGAAGAGGAGATAGACAGGGATAGTATCATGAGATGGGAGCTTGGAGCTTGTTGGATACAGCATTTACAAGACCAAAAGAATACAGAGAAGGACAAAAAACAAACCAGTGAAAAGTCTAAGAATGAATTGAAGGTTGAAGGGCTTGGAAAACCGCTTAAGTCCCTCAATAGCAGCAAGAAAAAAACAGATGTAAATAGCCCTAAGACGCCGGTATCGTCTCAAGTTGATGCGATTTCTTCAGAGGCTGATATTGCTGCAACAACTGCATCTTTGCAATCCGATGCTGAGAAGAATGCTCAAGAAAATGTGCTCATCTTGAAGAATTTGTTGTCTGATGCAGCCTTCACTCGCCTAAAAGAGTCAGATACTGGACTTCATCACAAGGTTTTTACACTACAACTCCAGCTTTTGCTCTATGTTCATTTACGTATTGTGTGCTAACCAAGAATATTTGTTTCACAGTCTTTGCAAGAACTTGTCGACTTGGCACAGAATTATTATACTGAAGTTGCTATACCAAAATTGGTAAAAGATCTAAATTTTGTTGTTGTGTTGTCTATTGGTAATATTAAGATAGTAACAAATCATTTGCTTTTATTTATTATTGAATACAGGTTGCAGATTTTGGTTCGTTGGAGCTCTCCCCAGTCGATGGCCGGACTCTAACTGATTTTATGCACACAAGAGGTCTTCGGATGCGTTCTTTAGGATATGTTGTAAGTTGGCTTTTTTAACCTCATGGTTCTTAGAAACTATTCAAGATGAATTTTTGATCATCCAGATCTTTTTATGGTTACAATAGGTGAAGCTTTCAGATAAATTGTCACATGTACAATCTCTGTGTGTTCATGAGATGATAGTAAGAGCCCTTAAGCATATCCTCCAGGCGGTGATTTCTGCTGTTGCTACTGACACTGACAAAGTAGCTACAAAAGTAGCTGCTGCTTTGAACATGATGCTTGGGATTCCTGAATATGTTGCAGCAGCACCACATAACTCTTGGAATGTACATCCTCTGATCTTCCGGTGGTTGGAGAAATTCTTGAAGAAACGATATGATTATGATCTTAATGCCTTCAGTTACAAGGATCTACGGAAGTTTGCCATTCTCCGTGGATTATGCCATAAGGTAATTTATGAATGCTCTAACCAGAAAATTTGATTTTGTTATAAACTTGTTGCTAATTACTATATTGAATAATGAATTGTGATTTAAATTTTATCTGTCAGGTTGGTATTGAGTTGATTCCAAGGGACTTTGACATGGATTCTCCTGCACCTTTCCGGAAAACAGATGTGGTCAGTCTTGTCCCAGTGCATAAGGTAATGGACAAGACAAAAGATATTTGGAAAGATTGTCTATCTGAATCTGGTTTCTTTCTAATATGTTAGTCAACCATCGTTATTCAGACTTTCTATTTAAAATCTCTGCAGCAAGCAGCATGTTCATCTGCTGATGGAAGGCAACTTCTGGAGTCATCTAAAACAGCTTTAGACAAAGGAAAGCTTGAAGATGCAGTTACATATGGAACGAAGGTACATGTCTACTCCTCAGCTACTTCTTATTAGTTGTTTTTTTGTACAGCGTCATGATTTTGTTTTGTTGTTTCGTCTCTTTTGTTTTTTTTCCTCCATTAGGCTCTTGCTAAACTTGTAGCAGTTTGCGGTCCCTATCACAGAATGACAGCCGGAGCTTACAGTTTACTTGCTGTAGTTCTATATCACACTGGTGACTTTAACCAGGTCTGTATATATATATGGTTAGGTTGTGATATCTTTCCTTTATATGACACTTGCAAAACTAAAAGATTTTGTTAAAACAGGCTACAATATATCAGCAAAAGGCTTTAGACATCAATGAGAGGGAACTTGGACTTGATCATCCAGATACAATGAAGAGTTATGGTGATCTTGCTGTCTTCTATTATAGGCTTCAGCATACAGAGCTGGCTCTCAAGTAAGTTTCGCACTCGCGATTTACAAAGAACCACGAGGTTAGATTGTGTGAATGTTTGATGTCTCTTTCTACCATCTAAACTTTGATATATATGTTTTTGTTAGGTATGTTAAGCGTGCGTTGTATCTCTTACATCTCACATGCGGTCCATCTCATCCAAACACTGCTGCTACATACATCAATGTAGCCATGATGGAAGAAGGTCTAGGAAATGTACACGTTGCGTTGAGGTATCTTCACAAAGCTCTCAAGTGTAATCAAAGGTTGCTTGGTCCGGACCATATCCAGGTTCTTTTCCCGATGCTCTTTGTGGTTTTTTAGAACAGAAATTTATACGAAATTTGATTTGATTTGCTAATATGTTCTAATTATGTCAAATTTCAGACTGCTGCAAGCTACCATGCCATAGCAATTGCGCTCTCGTTGATGGAGGCATACCATTTAAGTGTTCAGCATGAGCAAACAACCTTAAGAATCCTCCGAGCAAAGCTGGGGCCAGATGATTTACGTACTCAGGTATGTATTACCATGATATCCCATCAGCCAAATTAGTCATCTTTCTCTGCACTGTATGCAGTCTCTAAATATGACAATTGATTATATACTTCAGGATGCTGCTGCTTGGCTAGAATACTTTGAGTCCAAGGCTTTTGAACAACAAGAAGCTGCGCGAAATGGTACTCCTAAGCCAGACGCGTCTATAGCCAGCAAAGGCCACCTAAGGTCAAACAAGTTCCTTAGATATCTCCTTATTTGTTATTTATAAGTTTTTATGTTGTTTGAATGTGTCAATCAAGTGTACTCCTTGGCCAGATCCTTATGTTGATAATGTTTTGCAGTGTATCCGATCTACTCGACTATATCAACCCAAGTCATAACGCAAAAGGGAAAGAGAGTGTTGCAGCAAAGAGGAAGAACTATATTATGAAGGTATAATTTTTATTTCTTTGACATTTCTCCACTTTAAAGGTTAAAAGTGCTTTAATGGTTGGACCTGTGTTATGTGTAGCTAAAGGAAAAATCCAAGCAGAGCAATGTTTCTGACCACTTGGCAGTGGCAGACACTCCGAGAGAAAATCAAAAGGAGATGTCTGAGGAGGAGACGGAAGAAACTGGATCAGAAGAAGGTAAATCAAGCGAAGACAATCACGACACAATTCTTGCACCAGTAGAAGAATCACCTTCTCCTCCAGTCATTGAGGAGGCTATTATGGATAACAGTAATCCAATTACATCTAGTGAAGTTTCAACTGAGCCACAACACCCTGATGGCAGTGAAGATGGATGGCAACCGGTGCAAAGACCGAGGTCTACTGGATCATATGGTCGCAGGATGAAGCAACGACGAGCATCCATCGGGAAGGTATATACATATCAGAAGAAGAATGTTGAAGCTGATATCGATAACCCTCTTTTCCAGAATGCTACTCAGCAGAACGGCAAATACTACATTCTCAAGAAGAGAACAGCATCATATGCAAGCTATGCAGATCATCATTCTCCCGGTTTAACAACTCAAGGCACCAAATTTGGCAGGAAGATAGTTAAAACCTTGGCGTATCGGGTGAAATCGATGCAGCCATCTTCTGGTAGCACTAAGACTGCTGGTGAAACTTCAGAAGAAGATGGGTTGAAGACAGATGCTTCTTCCGTTGAGCCATCTACTCTGCCTAGTACAGTGCAAAGTGAAGCCTACCACACGAAAAACTCTGTTGTAAGTCTTGGAAAATCTCCATCCTACAAAGAAGTAGCACTGGCACCACCTGGTTCCATAGCCAAGTATCAAGTCTGGGTTCCACAAGCTGAAGTTTCAGATAAGCAAGAGGATGATGAGGTGGAGAAAAAAACTGAACAGAGTACATCAATGGAGCTTACAAGGGATGAGAAAATGATTACAGGGTTAGAGGAAGAGGTGATAAAAGAACTTTCTGCAGACACAGAATCTAACAGAACTCAAGGCGAAGAAGAGATCAAAGTAGAGTTACAACCATCTGAAGGTGTAGTAGGAGGAAACCTTTTGAATGAAAATGAAGAATCTGGAGGTGGCATTCAGGTGGAAGAACAACTCGAAGCTGAATTGATAGACGACGGTGTAACAGATATGATTCATTCGACCAGAGAGCAAGAAGTGATAGATCAATTAGCTGCCGATTCCGAAGATCTGAAGGCAAAACTGTTAATATCTACCACAGACTCAGGCGATGCCTCACGAGGATTGTTACCTAACAAGAAGTTGTCTGCGTCAGCTGCTCCATTCAACCCATCATCACCTCCAAGTATTGTACGTCCTACTCCAATAGGCATGAACATTGGACCGTCGTGGCCAGTGAACATGACTCTCCATCACGGACCTCCTCCTCCTTACCCTTCACCTCCGACAACTCCAAACTTGATGCAGCCAATGTCCTTTGTTTACCCTCCTCCTTACACTCAATCAGTCCCCACAAGTACTTACCCTGTAACAAGCGGTCCTTTTCATCCCAATCAGTTCCCATGGCAGCTCAATGTGTCGGATTTTGTACCAAGAACGGTTTGGCCCGGATGCCATCCCGTTGAGTTTCCCCCTCCGCACATGATCACGGAGCCAATAGCTGCAACTGTGTTAGAGCCAACTGTGATTCTGCCAACGGATATTGACACTTCAGGGGTAGAAGAAGGAAACAAAGAAGAAGGCAGGCAAGATGTGGCAGTCGCGAATGAAGTTATGGATTCTGTTAACCATGTGAACAACGCAGTTGCACGCAGTGAAATGGAGAATGGAAACCGGAAATCCGAGGATGGTGAGAAAACTTTCAGCATTTTGTTAAGAGGGAGGAGAAACAGGAAACAGACACTAAGAATGCCAATCAGTTTACTTAATCGGCCTTATGACTCTCAACCGTTCAAGCTTGGTTATAGCAGAGTTATCAGAGACAGCGAGGCTCCAAAGTCTGTAGCTTGAAACACTCTCCAAAGATTCAGCCAATTCGATGAAACGCAAAACTCACACACACATCTATGATCTTTGCTGTTTCATAGGGACAGTATAAAGGTTAGCTTCTAAACTCTTAAAATGAATCTTCAAAGACATGTATGCAGTCATATGTAATTTAACTTGTTGATCTCTAAATTCGCAGGTAGTTTCATTATCAGTCATGAGAAACTGAGGCTTGTGATAGCCTCGAAATGAAGTTACAATGATTTGGATTTTAACCGGGAAGGTTGTGCAGAGGGAAAAAAGCCAAGCCATTCTTTTGTTTACCAAGTGAGGTGATGTATCATTTTAATTCAGCCAATAAAACGTAGGAAATTTTGGACATAATTTTTTTGGTTCTCCATGTTTAAACGTTAGTTTTCACTTAATTTTGCGTATTTGTCATCGATTACAACAGTTCCTAATGGTTCACTATATGAAATGTCGAAATTATAAACTTGTTCATTGAATCAGTTATTAGATGATCGTTTCCACTGAATAAACCCAAGGTAAGTTTAATCCAAAAAAAATTTTGAGGGAAAAAAAATTAATAACTAAAAGTAGATTGTGCCACCGCCGTGTCCTCCACTCTCAGGCCATTCCTCCTCCGATCACCGCCGGTGGATCATCCCGGGCAAGACCAATCTGATCATCATAACTTCCAAACGGATTTTCACCTTCGTAATTTCCTGGTGGGTTATAAACACAAATCGAATAAACGCCGCCGTTTGAACAATCGACACGTGCGCATCCAACCTTGGTACTATCTCTCCACACGATCTGCGTGTAATGTCCACACATGTGTTGCGGCTCACAAGTGTTACCTCTCGCGTCGTAGAATTTATCCTCATCGGCCCACACGTTAACAATATCTCTGGGCCTCCAGTTATTCTGTCCGGCCCAAAATATGTTTTCTCCATACGGCCCGTTAGAGTGAACAAGCCTACAATCTCCCACGCGCTGATTCGCCCACGTGCGCGCGTACGCCGCTAGTCTTCCGTCCCATTGAAACGGTGGTTCTCCCACGCGCGCTCGTACGAGGTTATGTGCGATTAAAAACTCTCTGCTCGCTCTGTTGACTTTGTTACGACGTCGTCTTCTCCTCCACCTGAACCTGAACGAGAATCGGTTTCCGGTGAACGAAGGTGGTGACAACAGAAGCCGAGTACTCGTCGCTGACGGGGAGTTATTAACCGAGGGTTTTGTGGAAGACTCTTCATGGTTAATTTGGGCCGTTACCGACCAAAGCTGAAGGTAGAATAAAGTTATGCCGACGAAGATGTGTAATGGAGCTCGTATTTTCCGTTTACGGAGCTCCATTACAAAAAAAAAAAGATCAAATTTAATCGGAGAGTTAATTACTTTAAATGTAGGTGAAAGTGTAATTAACTCTAAAATGCAAATTTGTGTGGAAACGAATTAATAGAAAAGTCAATGCACGGTGAATATTGAATATCGGAACGCTATTCTAAATAATTAAATATGTAATAAAACCACAATTAGGCAATACTTAAATTGTAACCCAAATTATATTATTGAATTATACTATAGTACTCAAATTAAACAACAAATAACAATAACGTAGCTCAACTTTGTTATTATTAATCGATACAATACCGAATCTGCATGTCTCAAAATAGACAAAAGGAACAAGCTAAGACTAAAAAAATTAAAGAGCACGTCTCGGCTTTCTCTTAGTTTTCTGGTTAAAGTTCCAAACTTTCAAGAAATTGGGATAATGTTGCTTGATAAAATCAAGAGGCTTCTTCAAAATGGAGTCGATTGACACACCAGTTGGTATATTCTCAATCTTCATATACATGGGAGCTCTTGGATCATTAAGAGCTATACACCATTCACTAAACACATTCGTACTCACAGACAGAATCTCTCTCACACAAGATCCTCCTTTCAAAGACAATCCCATCTCCACTGCTTTAAAATTCCCCACCGCATCTCCTACTCCTCCGACAATGTTCCCGATGGAATCTCCTACTTTCTCCCACCATGGCTTCGCCTCCGTCGTCTCTCCAGCGGTCACCAGAAGGATGACTAGGAGGAAGATCGTCGGAGATACGCTTGCTGGCTTTCCCATGGTTTTTGGTAAGGTTTTGTGTGTAGATTTAGAAACTATTCTATTGGGGGTTATATAAAGTAATGGAAAATATAGGGGTGTTACGTTAAGATGTTGTATTCATTAATGTTTTGTAACATCTTTTCATTAACTTTCAAGTGTGATAATTTTCGTTACTTACATATCCGCAAATGTTGAACTTTGATGTTGTTCTTGCTAAGATTATCTCATATTTAGCAAACTATGCAAAACATAATGGTTGAGCTAGGTTTGGTGTTTTTTTTTTTTTTGGCCAAAAGGTTTGGTGTTAAAGTAGATTATTAAACCAGTAAAGTACTAGAAAATAAACAAGGGAAAAAGAAGTAATCAACGCACCAAAATATAAAGATCGAAGCACTGTCTGTCTCTAACTTCGCGCTAAATCTTCAATTTTGTCTGATGAAGAACTCCAACACAATTTTTCATGTGCCCCCTATGTGGTGTATTCGTAAACAGTAATTTACCAAAATTTAATACTACAAGATATTAACTAATATTTTGGACGTACTACACCTTCCTCAGATAATCAGATTTGTCTGACTTTGAATATTATTAGTTTTTAATAATCTTGATCTAACTAATTTCAGCAGTAATCATTTGTTAAGTAAATTAACAATTTCTGGCTAATCAAAGAAAAAATCATACACGCTCTCTTTGGTCCAAAGGTGTAAAATATATATAAAGACGATACTAATAATACAGCCGACAACACGTGAAGATTTTATCAACACGTATTAAAACTCCACCGCTTAAAGATTCACTTGTTCCATCTTAAAAAAACATAAGTCTAAAAGCATTAAATTGCGAAAGCAAAAGTACATTATCCGTACCGGTTCCGGTCGGGTCAGAATTAAGCGCATCCTCCTGGAGCAAACCCGACCCGGGAACTCGCTAAGTCGTATACAACCCGGAAACCCTGTTGCTGGATATTCCCAATTATGGATAGTCCGCCCATCGTACCGGCAAACGCAAAACAGAATTTACCGTTAGTATCAACCGGAATCAGGTAATTAGTCGCCGGAAGTGACACGTCAGCTCCACGGAAATGTAAAACCACCGTGGGTACTTTGACCTCGTTCATATTAGAGAGATCGAAACACGTGTCGAAGAGTGAGAAATCCGGAGCTCTTTTCAAGGTCTTAGCTCCGACCCGGAACGCGTCTCTCATAGCGATATAAGCGGGTCGGATCAACCGGGTCACAGACGTACCCGAATCGATAATAACCCCACCGTTACCGATCTGGTCGAGTTTAAAAAGAGAAGCCGCTACGCCGGGGACACGTGTCCCTCCGACGCTAATTCCGAGAAGCTCGACGTAGTAGAAAGTGTCGAGCTTTGGGTTTGACAAAAGCGGCGTGAATCTCGCGATTCGTGAAACGGCGGCGTTTCCGAAGACGACTGAGGAAGGTTTCGAAGAAGCGGATCTATCGACTAAACAGTAAGAGAATTTCTGATTAAACCGGTGACCGGTTTGACCGGGAAATGATAATTTTCCTTTACCGAGTCCTAATAAACCGGCGGCTCCGACGAAGAGACCTTCATTGTCGTGGCCACATCCGAGAGCGACGCCTTTAACACGATTTCGTCGGAAAGTTAGCGTTTCGGTGGAGAAATCGCCGACGGTGAAAGAACCATCTCCGTATGAGACTTGGTAGAGACAAGTCTTACGACGGGTGTTGCATCCGGCGGAGTCTAATCGCCGGCAGTGAGGTGAAGAACAGGGGATTGTGGCATAGGTCTTTGATTTTCTCGGGTCGAAGATCGGGTCGGATTGAGAGTAACATCTCCGACAAGGAGCACATTGGAGCCAGACGATGTCACTTCCGGTGTCTAGCACCATGTAAACATATCTCGCCGGAGTTCCGACACCGAGGCGCGTGAAGTATTCACCACTTCCTTGAGAGAGACCAGAGACCACTGAGCTGCTGAATCCACCGGTTCGTGGAGCGTGAGTCACGTTTCTCCCGGGGATTTGAGCGGCGAGTGTGGCGATTGATTTCACGCGCCGGGAGTCGCGTTGGAGACGGGAGCTGAAGAGCTCTTGTGGTGTTTTGTTGGAGGAGAGAGCATCGATGTGGTCGAGGTTTAGAGTAATGGAAGACGCGGAGTCGGATCCGGATTCAAACTCGGATCCTAGCAGTGACTCGGAGTCGGATTCGGAGTCGGGTTGGAATGAGATGGGAGAAGCAGAAGGAAGAGAATGAGAATTGGGGATTAGGGTTTGGAATGATGGAAGAGAAGAAAAGCAAGGAAGAGAGAGGAAGAAGAAACAGAGAGAAAAGAGTAAAGCTTTTCTTCTTCCTACCATTTTTTTGTTTACTCGGGAAAATGGCAAGTGAGACTGAGAGTGGTCTCTGTATAAATAATTGCACTAGTCTTCTTGAAGAACACACTCAGAAATTTTTTTAATTTTAATATAATAAATGTTTGAATATTACTTTACTCTGGGAATAAAATATCTAATAAGATTGTGGAAATGTAAAAGCGACATTTTAGATTCGGTGGATGACAAACACTAACAAATATCCAAGTGGTAGCTTCTTTTTCTTTTAATTTTGGCGTCATAAAATAAAAAAACAACTACGTTTAATTATTTGTGAAAAGCGAAAAGCTCATTTTATATAGTTAAGTTAATGATGCCCAATAATTTCCCCACAATTGGTGGCACATTTTCGCTCTTGAGATAACACAAACTGAAACATTCCACATGGGTGAAAATATACATGCAAATACATGTAGTATCTTAATTTAGTAGTAAAACTTAGTATTATTCATGTATGTTTTCTTAACATTAAAACCACAAAACATTGCATCATGGTGTTTGTCTAAAAATAATTTGCCAAGAGATTTTTATCTTATCACTAAAATCGTCACGAACTTTAGATCTCACAATCTTGTTAGATTGTCGATATCATCAAACCCTCTTTTCATTTATTCGCCCACAAGAATTCGGAATAATGACAACCAAGATTTGGAACTTTCATATTCAATGCTTCGATATGTTAACATCTATAGTATATTACTACATCATAAAACATGAATAATTGAACATAGTGACCCTCTTCTTTAAATGGATACAAAAGAAAATAATAAAAGGGGAAGAAGTACTAAATTGTGATATTGGTATGTGTGACCACCAATTAAATGCTGTGACCAACCTCTTCCCACTGTGTAAAGAATGTGGACATAATATGAATAAGTCTGAACAATGCATCATGACTTTTCAGTCTTCACAGTTGCAAGCATTGATTTTTCTATCAAACACGTTCGCTTCATAAATTGTTTCTCATAAGGTTTAGGTGAAATTCTCATATTCCATATCACATGCTTTACCAAAGTGTCATGCTTTACAATTAAAGAAGTCCGTACTTGACCGGTTGGTACGTTGACAGGATCTTCTCGCAGCAGCCGGTTTTACTGGTCCGAACAAGCCATCGCACTAAACGAAGTTCCAATCTGATGAAGGATTAGTACTAGTAGATTAGTAGAAACTCAGAACTAAAGGTCTTAAAACAGAGCAAGGAGACATTTTTGATTAAAGGAGACCAGAAAGCAAAAGCCACCACAAGAAAGAAAAAAAGGAAACTTTGGCCAGCAGAGACAACACACTTTCCTGTTTCTCTGCTTTATCTCTGTTAAGTGTTCACTCATCATTGCAAGGGTCGTGACATGAACCATGTGCATACAAAAAGATTCAAAACTTGACATGATAACTTCTATACTATACCTAATCACCTATACATATAAACACTATGTTATCTGATCCTTTTTAACTGGGTTGTAATGATCTAACTATAACAAGATTCAAGAGAAATGTTATGTGTTTGCTTACGAGAACCCATTGCAAGAACAAAGTGCAAGAAGAACAAACTTGGTAGTTTCAATACGTTCTTAAGCATCAATAGGTGATATCCCCTTTTGTTTCTTTGAGAGTACCCAAACTTAAACAGCAGAAGCAACAAATTTTGAGCAAAACTGTAGTGTCTTTCACAGTGCCTAATTGACGAATGACTACTCCAGATTCAAAAGTTTTCATCTTTCCATATAAGCAGTATATATCACCAAAGTAACCACATAAACTGGATCCCAATAAAAGCGTTACAAGATAAAGAAAGCTAACCTCCATAGCTACAGAGACAAATATTCTTTGTGTTCACTCCCCTCTAGACCAATACCCGCTCTTTCCACCAGTTTTACGCTCGAGTCTCACGTCTGTAATACTGATATCTTTCGAAGCAGCCTTACACATATCGTAAACCGTTAAACCAGCAACTGATACAGCAGTCATAGCTTCCATCTCAACTCCGGTTTTTCCAGTGCAAGAAGCTTCTCCTTCAATGTCAACACTAAAATCCTCAGGGTTTAGTCTTAAGTCTACACGAACATGCGTAAGAGCAATGTTATGACACAATGGTATTAAGCTACTAGTTTGTTTTGCTCCGTTAATCCCAGCGATTTTCGCCACTCCAAGAACATCTCCTTTACCCATTTGATTCGCTAACACCAAATCGAAAACTTTCTTCCCGAGAATAACTTTACAACAAGCCAATGCAGTTCTCTTAGTATTGTCCTTAGAAGAAACATCCACCATTTGAGCTTCCCCTGAGATCCCAACATGGGTTAGCTTAGATATATCACTAGCTACTTTTGCAGATTGTTCTATAGGTTGCGAATAGTTCTTGCTCGAGCGTGTAGACTGCTGATACTCAATATGTGATCTAAAATCAGAATTCTCCAGATTTGTAGATTTCAAAGGTTCAATTTTGGACTTCAACTCAGAGAAATCCATTGTCGCCGGACCGGAAAATCCATCGGGACAGGGTTCTTGTCCAAAGATTGACTTCATTTCCTGAAACACCAAATGATCGGCGCGAAGATGAAACACCAAATCAATCTCTTTGTAGAATCAAGATCACTGATTTAACACTTAGCATCAAATTCTCTACTTTCTCACAATTCTCTCATCGGAAACAAGAACTATAAACCATTGATTAGATTGAATCTACTTAGTTTCTCAACAAGATTCAAGAGTTGACTGATGTAGCTAGTTACAGATACTCACAAAGATACAGAGAGTGAGAAAACCTGATTCAGCTCATGTATATTCATGATTTGGGGATCGATTTCATCATGAATTTTACTGCTTAAAGCCCTTTTCATCGGAGAAATCACCGCCGGAAATCGACGGAGAAACACCGCGCGACGGAGCGTCGAAATCATTTTATTTCACCACAAAAGATGAACAACTGAAGAAGAAGCGAGGAAGTTAAAACTTAAAAGTAGGGTTCTACTAAACCGGGAAAATAAAAACTAACAAATCAATAACCGATATCTGTCTTAGCCGGTCGAACCGAAATTTTATAATACTTATAATTCAATTTAAACCACATTAAAATCATTGTATGTACTATGTGTATAAATGAGTTGCTAATCGTGGCTTAGCGTTTGCCCATAATGGTTTAGCTTTAGGCATAGTCATGCCGTAAACTTCCTCCGTATCAATATTTTCCGGTGAAGACCAGTCAAAGCAATGGAAGAGACGAGCCAAAGCCATTAGAACCATCGTCACACCTAACGGAGCTCCGGGACACTTCCTCTTGCCGGCACTAAACGGCAATATCTTAAAATCCGGTCCGTGGCTTATCTCAACGCGTCCGCTACCATCTACAGGCCAATGTCGTTCGGGCCTAAAATCTTCCACGTCGTCCCATATTTTAGTGTTTCGGCCCAATCCATGTGTGTTGATGAAGACACGTGTCTTTGCTGGGATGTAGTAGCCGTTGATCGTCGTTGGTCGAACGGATTCGTGAGGGATCAAGAACGGTCCGGCGGGATGCATTCGGAACGTCTCTCGTACCACACAACGTAGATAGTTTAAATGGACTAGATCTGATTCATCGACCATTCGGTTTGATCCTACGACATTATCGAGCTCTTCTTGAATTTTACGCATTACTCGTGGTTGCTTAATCACTTCAGCCATAGCCCATTCGTTTGTGACCGCTGACGTATCTGTCGCAGCCGCTATCATGTCCTATTGAAGTTTAAAAAAATACATTGTTTTTTTTTTAAAATAACAACTTCATATTTTTGATGCATTTATCAACATAATACCTGAATTAGAGCTTTAATTTCATCGTCTTCCATGTGTTCTTTTCCGTTCTCACCAGGTAGAGACAACAAAACGTCAACAAAATCCATGTCTCCCTTAGTATCTTTATTTTCCCGTTTTGCCCTTCTGTGCTCGTCGATGATCTTCGTGTGAAAATTGTCAACACGCTTCTCCACGTCCCTCATTTCTTTCTCGCATCCAGACGGATCCACCCATCTCCAAAACGGCAAGTAGTCTCCTAGGTAAATTACACCCAACAGCCAAAACAATTTGTGAGTTATGTGCATAAACTCTTGGGCTTCTTTTGGGGGTACTAGAGATCCAGGTCCAAAGAATTGTTTCCCTAGTAACATCCTAGTCACATTGTTCATAGAGAAAGCACCCAATACTTCCCTAAGATTTATCGGCTTTCTGGATTCGGACCGTTCGAAAACATCTCGTATTAGATACCGAGCTTCCTCAGCCCGTTGGGTTGTAAATGATTCAAGCCTTTTGGTTGTAAGTAGGTGTTCCATGCATATCCTCCTCATTCTTTTCCAATGGGGGCCCATTGGCGCTAATGCGACGTCCCCACATCCATAAGCTAGGTGGACTGCGGCGAGTGTTTTCGGCCTCGATGCAAAAACGTCGTCTTGCCGTAAGAGAATCTCACGGATGGTATCGGGATCGTTCGTTGTGATACCATCTACATTTCCAAGCCGGAGGTAGACTAGTGGACCGTACTTATCACATAAAGCAGCCAAGTCCCGATGAGGTAAAGGGCCCAATTGAAGAAGATTACCCAAAATAGGCCACCTTGGTGGACCTGGAGGAAGCCTTTGGGCTTTACATGCAGAAGCCTTGAGCCATCTCCATAGAAGAACATTAAGAATAAGAACAGCGAAGAGGGAGACAAGCACCAAAATCATCTAATCTTATATTCTATGTTCAATAAGTCTTTTCATTATACCGTGTGGTCTTTGTTGTCTCAATATATAACAAATCATGGAAGACTAGTAGCTAAGTTTTTGTTAGAAACTTAGAACTATTAACTAACATTTAAGAGAAGAAAAAAAAAACAATTTAACATGTATCTCTCTCTTTGTGTGACACTTTTACGAACCGCATGCTTTGTTCATGTTCTTTTAATCGGTTTATTAGGACTGAGTTAGCTTAGGAAATCTAGAAAGAAACATCACATTACCCTTTGAGTAAAAAACACATGTAAATTATAAAGAATGGATATGTGAGCAGAAATAATGTAGATATCTTAGTTTGATAAAGAATGGATAAAGACACATTTAATATTATTTTGAGACGAAATGTATAATCCGTAACGATATATCAAAATAATACTACTATTTTTAATCCACAGAAAGGTTGACATATAGATAAATAGTCTCACTGAAGATTAAGCAGCAAGCGGTTCCATGGTCTAGCGGTTAGGACACTAGACTCTGAATCTAGTAACCCGAGTTCAAGTCTCGGTGGAACCTGTTTTTATTTTTGTTACATTTTCCCTCTGTTTCTCTTCTTAAGACTTTTGTTATCCCCAGGCGATAACGGTTACTGTTAATATGAACACTAAACCAATTTCGAAATTAGAAAATACCTCACCAAATCCAACACATAGTTTCAACTTCTCCATGGCGATTTCACAAGCACTGAATCAGCTGCGTTTTGTTGTTCTTGAGCAATTCTGTGACCAATTCTTACCACTTTTCTTACTTGTCGATTAATACTTCACTAAATCCAACACATACGGAATATCAGAATGAAGAAAGACCGATTCATGAGCTAGTCTACGACTGATACAACATAATCCTTTTTTCCCCAACTTTGTCCACTGTAAACCGAGTAAATGATAATGTCTACTTTTGTCAATTAAACTTCTAAAATCCTAGTTTGGAGGATTCTTACAGGTATATAACCAAAAAAGAGCAAAAACAAAAGCAACCTAGAAGAAACAAAAAAGAACCATTCAAAACCGGTTCTTGATTACAAACTTACTTTCCACCTTCTTCTGTCTCTCAAAGGTTATCTACCTGATGATGTTCTTGACTGAACAGAATTTGATTGCTCTCTAGACAACGCCGATATCAGCTTCTCTTTCGTTAATTCTTCAGATTTGACTACAAACGTATGCAACACTGTGTCCTGAGAAACTTCCAGGTTCGAGTTCATCACTTCTACTTTAGTCTCTTCAAACGCATGGAAGATTCTAGAAGCCGGATGAGACTCCAACGGACAGTTTATTCTCACAGTGACATCTTCACCTGAGGTTTGTACATTAATATCCGAATCCAAGCTGATAGGTGGATTTAAGTTATACCCTAACCGCTCTCTCTCTGCTTCCATGACCTTTAGCTTGGCGTGAAGCTCGTTTATGTAAGAGACCGCGTCTCCCAACAACGACGCTTTGTCCATCTTGGAAATGTTGGGAACAACGGATCTCAGTGCGTAAAACCTCTGGTTAAGCTTCTCACGCCGCTGCCTCTCTGCTTCTACATGGTTCAAAGCTTCCACTCTTCCGTTGGCAGGTCTCCTTCCGCGTTTTCTTGGTCTGTTGTTACCAGTGTCATCAGCACCCACCGCGTCTGCCCATTCCCCTCCTCCTTCTCCATCTGAATTATTCTCGGAAGCCCTTGAACTCGCAGCAGAGAAATCAATCTGCATTTGAGCAGGAGGAAGCAGCCTCTGCGATGATTGCTGCAAAGGTAAAAACTTGAACTCATCCGTGCTCGGAACTTCCTTCACATTGATGGGCCTCGTGTAGTTCTCCGGTTGGACCCAAGTAGGACTCAGAAGAGTGTTGTTGTTGGTGCCTGGGTTCGAAAACATAAACCTATTCCCATTATTAGGATAAGCATCTACTCTCTTGGGAGCTCTATCATCCATTTTTCTAACCGTAAGTTTCTCTCTGAACTGTCTATGCTGTTGTTGTTGTTGTGGTTGTTGTTGGTGAAACTGATGATGATGAAGAAAACCTGAATTGTGCAGATCCTTCCCAAATATCTTCGAAGCATTAACCGTTCTGCTATCATCTATCTTTTCAGGTAAAGCAACAGCCGTCACAGCTCTAACAGGAGGCAAACTACTCGAAAACAATGATCTTATAGACAAGATTGACTCTTCACTTTCAGGCAAACATGAAGTTGAGCCTAACTCAACAACACCAAGATCAGTAGGAACCAAAACAACAGTCTGAATTCCAGCAGATTTAGCAAGAAACGATCGAACACAATAATCAGAACCTGAATTCACCACATCGGATAACCAAACCGGTTTCCCAGAGGCAAAACACTTCCCTGGACCACCTTCACCTCGAGGGAATGAGAAATACATTGAAGAAAGAAGAAACATCTCAGTGTCAGTAACTCTATCTAGTCCTAAAGCACAGTTCTCTTCTTCTAACCCACCAAACAAATCATGAAGCTTTTGCAATACACTCTTCCTCATAGTCTGATGCGTTTCTTCTTCTCTTCCCATACTTAGAATTCTAACGATCTCTGACTTCTCTCCTTCTTTAGGCTCTCTGCAATACCCATCTCCCCAACAGAGAACCAAATCTCCGGCCTTTGACCTCGAAATCTGCCAGAAAATGGCGTAGTTCCACGAGAAATTAGAAGCGTTGGGTCTCTCAACGAGATCCGAGAGCTTGTTCTGCAGATTCTCGTCACTTCCTGAAGTCATCAAGAGATTTGCATTTGAAACAGAGTTCGAAAGCAAGTAATCGAGAGCTCGTTTGCCGAGTAACGAAGCAACAATCGCTTTATCATCCTCGTTCCACACTACGCGACCAATATTCATCTCTGTTCTTTTGTTTGGATCCCAACGAAATCGAACAAAAGGAGAGACTTTTAAGAAACCCAGATCTTCAGAAATCGATTCTTTGGTCAACTTCTAGGGTTTAGAAGTGTGTGACCCAGATGCGAATATACGGCGGAGTATAACAGTTTTGCATGGAACACCAGAGATCTCAGATCTTGCCCCTATTTTTAACAAATAACAAATCAAAACTCAAACTTCACAAAATCGACCAAGAGAAAAATGAAAATTAAGAAGAAGATATTTTTACCAGTAGAGAAGATTTGAAGCAAGTCTTCTTCCACAGAGATTTTTTTCTCCTCAAAATCAGATTTTTTAGAATCCGACCAAAAAACAAATTTTAATATCTCACAAACCCCAAAATGGACAAACAAATTCCCCCGAAAAAGAACCCTAAGAAGTAAGAATCCAGAAAAAAGGTGGCCAATTGAAAACAAAATAAGATTTTTCAGTTTCGCTCTATCGGCTCCCTCTTTTGTCGCCGTGGCCAATTGAATGAATTCAAGGAAGAGAGAGAAAACTCCGACGCATGTTCTTCGTGCTCTTTTTTATTAGTAAAACCAAACAACAAACAAAAAACAACAAGACTTTCATTTTTAACCATGGTTACCTATTTTAACTACACACTTGAGTTTACAAACATAAGCTAACTTAAACCGGGTCCGGTCCGGTCCGGTACGGCCAACGACTTTTGTCTTTGTCTCGAGTCTTTGATACACGACGGTGTAAAACCTTAGATTATGTCAATGTTTTGTCAATATTTGACATAATATTCAAATATGGGTTTTGATTAAATAAAATTTGAAACAGATCTATCTCTCAACTGGTGTAGTAGATCTAAAAACTAGCGTATCTGACAACTTGATTAGATTCTCATGTACAGCACATAATTACTAAAGATTATAGTATATGGAAATACACTAAAGAGGAAACCAAACCCAAAATTAGTAAATTTGATTTGAATTTTTATAATCTACTATACATTTTTGCAATATATGCCAAGTCCGGTGGTCAAGCACTCGGAAACTTTTACTAAATCAATTCACGTTCACGTTAGGCTTAAATAGTTGATTTTGTTGTTTTTTTAATTTGTTGAAAGGATATATATTTGATTTTATATTTGTGTTAAGAGTTAAGACTAAAGAGTTGTTCCTTAAGTTTCAAATGTTTTTAGATTTATACAACAAAAATATTTGGTTTATTTTTGTAAATAGAAAAGCTCGTAACATATGGCTTTGTAGTTTGTAGTTTAGATCCTTGATTTTTTGTTTTTTTTTTTGGGTAATATTTGTGATACTAAATAACTCGATTTTTGTTGACAAAACAATTCAACTCCTTTAGAAGACAGGAAACGCCAACTCGATAGAGAGGAGGGCGTGAAAAGCACGTGAAGTTCACGTGGATCGAGGAGAGATGACCAGAATGAGAAGAACGTGAGATGCATTTAATTTTCCTTGGATCTTTTTTTTATTTTATTTTCTAATGCGCCTGCACAGCTGCACTCTCTCTTCTGCGACTGTAACGTTTTTTTCTTTTCTTTTTTTCTCCCGCAAATTGAATTATACTATAAAAATAGCTTTCAGTCCTTAACATTATCACCAAAATATAAACTCATGAAAATCTCGAATGCAAAAATTAAATATACACTAAAAAAAAAAGAATATACACTTTTAAAAAAATAGCAAAAATAGTTATGGAAAATGGAGTCACGAGTGGGTATAATATATGGCGGTGAGAAACACACAGCAAAAAGTGGGGACCGCGTGATTCACGTGTTTAAACTATCCTTTATTCGAGACGTTTGGGTCCCATTCCCATCTAAGTCAAACAACGACGTCGACTTAATATCTCCAAGTCGTCAAGATTAATATGGGCCGGTGTTAAGGACCAGAATTCGATCGAGCTCTTGTTGGGCCCGATATGGGCTGGGATAAACTTGCTATTAGCCTCATCTATTCCTTTATCTAGAAATCAAGATTAGAATGGGCTGCTCAACTGACTTTCTCTTAAATTCTTAAAAGGGAATCATATATCTCTTGTTTTTTTACTACAAAAAAAAAATCGGCCCATTAGCCCAGTTAACTCTACTCAGTCCCGGATAAAGTAGTACAGGTTCTTGGTGAACTTATTCGGAATGCCACTAAAAAACCTATCTCTTGATATATTGTTACAAGTATTCATTTTATTTCAATAATGATTCAATTTGGTTAGATTATCATACGAGACTGTAAATTGTAGCTTCAGAAATATATAGTTTATCCCATTTTGGCGTTTATAGTTTGATATCTTCATTTGTTGACAAAAAAAAAAAAAGTTGATATCTTCATTTTAAAATGAATTCCGTGTTTAACGTCTACAAAAGTCGTTACCAACCCAAAAAATAATCATAAGAGACTACTTTAATATAACAACAACTCACGAAAAGGGAAAAAAGCACCGACCAAAACTTAAAAGCTCATCGTATGAACAAAATCTTGAAACTCAATCCACAAAAAAAAAAATGATGTCACACACATATACTGTTATATTTTCAGTTACTTAGTGTTTAAAAAACGAACAAGTGTTTAAATTGTTTACACGAAAGCACCTGAAGACAAAACTGATAGTAAAGCCGTGGATGATCATCTGATGTAAGAAGAAAGCGAGTTTCGTAACTCCTCTTGCTATCTATTTTCCCCATTTAAAAAACATTTTTCGATTGCGATATTACTTGAAGTAAATTTCAATGGTTCCTTGTTACTATGTAGTGACGTGATGTGATGGGTTCACTACAAGAAAACATCACAATTTCCGACGACGGTATTGGTCGGAAATTCGTCGGAAATAGCATATTCCGACACATTTCCGACAAAATCAAATTCGTCGGAATTCTCTGGTCGGAAACCATAAGTCGTCGGAAATTCGTCGGAAATTATCGACGAAAACTATTCATCGGAAATGTTGTCGGAAATATTTGTCGGAATTTTGTCGGAAATTTCCGACAAATTTCCGACGACTATTCATATAGTGGTCGGAAATTCGTCGGAAATTTCCGACCACTTTTAAAATAAAAATAAATATATACCGAAATTAGTTCCGACAAAATTCCGACGACTTTTCTATTTAAAAAAAAAAAAACAAAAAGAGTATTATAGTTAAAATTAAAATAATTATTGAATATCTACAAAAATAGATTAATTGTCACATAACCAATTTTCATTATCAACAAATGAGAATTAAAATTAAATTAATTAAAATGAATAAATATATAAATACATAAATGACTCTATTAATTGAACAAGAGAATAAAAATGTTGAACTTTAAAAAAAAAGGGATGATGTTTTTTTTTTTTTGTCAACAAAGGAATGATGTTTGAAGTAGAGAGAAGAAGATGTTAATAGAGATTGAGATTGTTGTGTTTGGAATTGTGGAATTGATGAAAACTCATTTGGTATATATAGAAAAAATTTCCGACGATGTATTTCGTCGGAAATTTGTCGGAAACTACAAAATGCGGTAAATTCATTTGAATTGAATGTACAAAGGCGGGAACATGAAAAATCATAAAATTTCCGACGAAATTCCGACGAACGTAGAAATTTCCGACGAATTTCCGACAAAATTAATTATTAATTAATTATTTACTTAATTATAAGTTATTTAATTTTTTCAAAAAAAAATTCAAAATAATATTTCTGACAACTTTCCGACGAAATTAATTATTTATTTATTATAAATTATTTATTTTTTCGTTTTTTTAAATAAAAATGATTAAATAAATAATTTCCGACGAATTTCCGACTAAACTTTCCGACAAATTTCCGACTAACAAAACTTTCCGACTTAAATTTCGTCGGAAATTCGTCGGAAATATTAAAGGTTTAAACTAATAATTTCTGACGATTTTTCCGACTAATATTTCCGACCATAGCGTCGGAATTTTGTCGGAAAATGTGCAGTGAATAAACATGTGTTCACCTAATATTTACGACGAGTTTTCCGACAAGTTTCCGACCAATTTCCGACAAAATTAAATAGTCGGAATTTTCCATGTTTTCCGATGAATCATTCCGACAAAGTTCCGACGAATTTGTGGTCGTCGGAAATTTTTCTCTTCTTTCGACGATTTTCCGACGAATTTTTTTTTTCCTCGGAAACTCGTCGGAAACCTGTCGGAAAATTTCCGACCAAACATTTCGTCGGAAATTTTCCTCGGAAATGGCTATGTTTTCTTGTAGTGGTTAAAATGTGGAAACCATAGACTTCAGGTGATATTTATCAACTGCCCTTTTGTTTAAGGGATTATAAATCACCGTACGAAGACGTGAATTTTCTTGTGATATCTTAAATTTTTTCTTTCCTTAAGAATAATAACTTTAGCTAGTTGTCTTGTTTCTTTTCTTGTAATAATTGTACTATCATGGGGAAGTTTTATATTCTTTTGTAATGGTAATTCTAGTAGCAAAAATGCAAAATCATAAAACAAAACTTTTTGAGTAGTAGTGTAGATTTCTGAGTGGTATAAACTAGAGTTTAGACTATGGTCCCTTCAAAATATAATGAATGCTATTTTAAAAAAGCAACCTCTGTGGACCTGCGTTGCCCAAGTATATATCAAATAACAGAAAATTAATTAACAAGTTAATAACTAGGAAAGAAAAAGGGTTCTTTGTAGATATATTTTCACGATCATGGCATGCATGCACAAAAAATTATACCTAATAAAGTGATTTTCATTATAATAATAAATTATTGTAAGCACATTTATAATTTTTCCACTGTCAGGGACTTTTTTTTTTTGCTGAAGTTTGTATGAGAATTTTGTAGTAAAAGATTTCAGTGTTTTTCATAATCTTTTCAGACATAAGATTTATTTAATCTCTTTCTTGCCATCGACACTTTTTTACCAATTTTGTTGAAAAAGGTGCTAAAACTATAGGACAGAACGTCACCAGTACATGAGCTATTGAAAACATTTCCCCACCACTCCCGATTGCAGGGAGACAAAGATTTGACATATAAACTTTTTTAGTTTAATTAATTTGATATATGAAGTTAATCATCGAGGACCTCAATAACCCCATGTTCTTAGATTTTGTTCTTATGCAAGATCGTGCAATTTTTATTTTATTAAATCATTTTCTAGCTACTAGAACTATCACTGGTTTAATTTGATTCAGCTGCTTATTTTAACAATCAATTGCCCGCTGATTTCAATATTCAAGATTTTTATTTTTGCCAGCGATTTATTATTTATTTGTTGAAAATATATCATTTTACGGGATATAAAATAGAATTTCACTGCGTACTATCCATTTGGCAGTAGATAATCTTCTTACAAAAGTTACATTTTCGATAATCAAAATTATATGCTTAAATACATGTTGGGGGCATTTATGTAAATTCATATGGTGAACAGTAACGGTTTTGGTTAGAAGATGGGATTGGATGAGATTATAAATGTAGATAACAGTGTGACTTAACCACATAAACTCTTTAATGCACAACAGAGAGTCAGAGAATGAAGCTATCACCACCACCACTTACCAACAGCGAACCAACCGCCACCGTTTCTGCCGTTAAATCTTGCGGCGGAGTTGGCAAAGAAACCAGTTCGACCACGAGGCATCCAGTGTACCACGGTGTTCGCAAACGCCGATGGGGGAAATGGGTTTCTGAGATCAGAGAGCCCCGGAAAAAGTCTCGGATTTGGCTTGGATCTTTTCCGGTGCCGGAGATGGCTGCTAAAGCCTACGACGTGGCAGCGTTTTGTCTAAAAGGTAGAAAAGCTCAGCTGAATTTTCCGGACGAAATAGACGATCTACCTCGACCGTCCACGTGTACTCCCAGAGATATCCAAGTCGCGGCGGCCAAAGCAGCCAACGCCGTCAAGATGATCAAAATGGGAGATGATGACGTGGCAGAAATAGACGACGGAGATGATTTCTGGGAAGGCATTGAGCTACCGGAGCTTATGATGACTGGAGGTGGGTGGTCGCCGGAGCCTTTTGTTGCCGGAGATGATGCCACGTGGCTTGTCGACGGAGACTTGTATCAGTATCAGTTCATGGCGTGTCTGTGAGTGTTGCTGTCGATTGTGTCGTATTCGTTATACGTGTACGTTGTATCGTTATTGTGTTGGCTCACTTAATTTAATGCATATGCATGTATATTTTCATTTTTTTGTTTCTAGTTTATTGTTTTACGCGATTAATAATTAGATACCTGTTTATTAAGTTAGTTATCAGGTTTCTACGATCTTGATATATACGTATAAGTATGTTCTTATATACAGTTTTAGTTTGCATAAGTATTGTTACTTATTTTAATTATTGAAAACATTATGTAGCTGCTGATTATAAGTAATTTAATGGTTTTAAATCATTGGAGCTTGTAACTTCTGAATTCTTTTTTTAAAACCTATGATAAGGAAAATATTTTTGTAGGAAAAGTATAATTGTTACCTAGCATAATTCCTAATTTGGTCCAATTTCTATCGTTGTTCATGCAATAGTTCTCGGACCCATATCCATATTTATTATCAAATATAAAATTTTAAAATTACTATTGATATTTGTTTTGTTTTTTCATAGAAAACAAAAAAGAAAGACTCCTTAAATGAGTCATGGGGTTCGAGATAGATGTTCTCCTGTTATGTGTTTGTTATTTGTAATATACTATTATACTAGTATACATCACTGTTTGAAATTTTAATAATAGCAAAAATGTTTATGCAATAGTTTTTTTTTTTTCATGTGTCGATATATCGACATTTATACTTCTAACAGTACAGTTGGCAATAATTTCTTCTTCCAATAAATTTGTTCGCTTTCAGTTTTCCCTGATAGTGAGCTATTTAGTTCCAAGATGTTACTAATATCACTACTCGGGCTTCATTGATACTTATAAGGACTCCTTTAACTGATCGCATATGTCCAAAATAATCATAATAAACGAAGAGCGATTTTCTTAACGGTTGTTTCCTAAAGCATTTGAAGTTCGACCTAAAACTTAAATATCAATTTGACCACGTGGAAACACATGAAAATTATAAATTAACTTAATTCATCTTCCAGAATATATGATCGGTATAAAATATACGTGTTAGGAACTCGACCATGAATATGTTTGTTCCAAAAAAGAAGCATCCGTATTTGTACCTCTTGTATTATCAGTTCGAGTCCTAATTAAGCTCGACATTTGATCAAATCCTAAACTCGACTCTATACTTTTTACATAGCATCATACAATTCGGTCAAATAATTTGTCAATCAAAAATAGTAATATATACGAAAATAGAGTTTTCTTCTATTTAATTATAGATGATGAGATGTAATATAAAAAAAAGATTAGAGGAGAAATATAAAACATATACTGAAAGAGAAAAGGAATGAAACGAGAATTTCGCCATATAGAGATGTAAAACTATCATATATAAGCTCATATTATGATGTTATAAAAGTATTTTAGAAAATCCAATACCACATTAGATAGGTACTGATCCATCAATTTTGCATTGTTTTGGGGCTATTTGACCAATTAAATCCTTAAATATTTTTGACATGTGCATATTAAGCTGTGGTACTGTAAGACTAATACATTATATGTTCTTGTAGGACACACGACAAGACGAGGACGCGGAGATGGTACACTCGCATAGAACCAAGAGCTGTCTGGTGGGAAATTTGAAATTATTAACATTTGTCCTTTGTATCGTCATTATACAATTTGGCACCACATATTAAGATATTTAACACAACACGTGTTTTAAAATAACGGCTAAAACGATACTCGAATTTATTATTTCAGACAAGGATTTGTTGGACTTGAATTCAACTACAATTTAGTGCTATTTAGTGGTTTGGAAGTTTGGAACTCGATCATAGCATCCGAGAAAATAGAATTATGGTTTATTATAAATCGGGAAATTTTTTGCTTCATTTTGAACCGTGGTATATAGTACGCAATGATCAACAAAACATCTTTCTGCTGGTTATTCAATAAAGCTTCTTACAACTATTATTCATAATAAATACGGAGAATTATTTCACATTTGACCCAAAAAAATGGAGATATAATAATGGGCTGTCTTAGATATGAGCAAACAAACAGATTCAAACTTGCCTATTGTATGATATTAAAAAACAAAAACAATTTTTTTTTAAAAACGCATTTTTCAATGTCTTTTTTAACTATCTTTTAAACTCACATTTATCAATGAATTTAATTATACCCTACGGATAATAAACCATTCTTTGGTTTTTTGGATTTAGTTAAAAAGTATTGTATATTTTCACAGAAGCGTACATAAACACAAACAATTCAAGTGATCACATTTTTCAAATTTATACCACACCTGCTAGTAGTTAAAACACAAATCCTATAAAGTTTGAAACAACCCCTAAAAAGAAGTTCTTTTATCAATATGTAGAAAAGAAAATAAAAAATTTGGGTCTGAAAAATGTTTCCAGGACATATGGGCCTTATTCAGAATAAATGGGTCAAATGAGGTCCACAATACATGACCACAAGTAGCAAACTTTGAATCTCAAGCTTCCGATGCATTTCAATGTTTGAATCTCTTTTCTTCTCAATTTTGTGTAGAAGATAGACAGATCCTAACCAAAATAAACTTCTGTAACAGAAGATTAAATTCAACACAAATATCACACAATACATACATTAACACAACAACATACACACAATTTTAGAGACAACGTGAAAAGTTATAAAACCTAAAACTCTTAAAAAGATCAGTGATCAAACAAAAGACATTTTCAAGATTCTAGAAGGGTAACAACCATCCAACAGTCCAACCTAAGAGCAAACCAGCACCAATGAGACTAAACCCTAATGCAAAAGCCATCATATATCTCCCAATCTCACCCTTTTTCTTTTTCTTCCCTCTCTGTTTCCTCTTCTTCAGACTCATTCCTTCGATCTGTTCTTCTTCCTTCTTCGTCTGCAGATAAAGAGCTTCCATTTCAAGAAGCTTTAACCATTGCTTGTAAGCCAACATCTGACTCGCTTGCCTCAACATGATTGTTATGACACGGTCTTTCTCAGCGCAAGCTTCTCTCGCGGCTTTCTCTGCTTCTCTTGCTCTGGTTTGAGAATGCCTTAGTGCTTCTAATAGCTGAGCTTTGCTTAGATCATCACTTCTAGGGGAAGACATTGGACTCGTGTTCTTGCTCTCTGTGCTACTATTGTAACTAAAAGATCTCTCAAACCGATCGCTCCAAACTCCTTGTTTCCATGGCGATTGCACCGCTGGTTTAAACCCCTTTTCACTACTAGTACAGTGAAGCCTCTTGTGGAGTTTCTGCGGTGGAGGAAGATCACAATTCTGGATATTATGATCAATCGATTTAGTCGCCACCAAGAGAGCTAATTCATCTTTATCTGCCGTGCTTCTCCACCACGGCGTTGTAGTATTAGCTTCCTTGCTTATAAAGCTGTAGTCATCTTTTTCTTCTCGTATCCCGATCAAGTCGACAAATTCTTGCAATTTCTTGCATTTGGTATCTTCAAAAAAGGAGTTTGTAACCTCCTCATCAAATCCAGTTGACCCCTTAAGCCACCATTTGGTATCACAAGAGGAGAAATCAGAGGAATCTCCAAAACTTCCTGAAGAAAAGCTGCTTTTCTCGGTGTTGCCCGAAGAAGAATGTTGGTGTTGGCAACAAGCTAACCTCGGAGCCAATTTAGCATCTTCATGAACAACAAAGCAACGACTTGCTGTTCTTTGCCACAATGCTCTTGCTTCAGCTGCTCCCATTATTACATTAAGACACAAAACCCCTAAAAAATTTAAGAGAAAAGAGGAAAACACAAAATCAAAAGACTGTTTTTCGACTTATGAATCAAAACAAAAGTTTGCTCTTTTTTTTGACCTAGATCCTTTGAAACATAAAAGACATGGGAAGATGAATTTGTTTTTTCTTGCTACTCCCGAGATTGCTTCTAAGCAAATGATTGATGATTCATATACAAGCGAATGATTTAAGGAATTTAATTAAACAATACACGCAACGTTTGGGAACAAGCATCAAAACAAAAGATATTCAATCAAAACCCATTCAACATAAGAAGTTTCAACAGATCAAGACATGAAGAAGATAAATTTCATCACCAAATTAAAACAACAAAACTTAAGTTTCAGAGCAATTAAACGTACTGCAGAACAACAAAAAAGTCTTGAGCAGAGCAAACAAAGATCATGAGTAAGATTTCGCACAGGGATCAAGTAAATTTACCAACTTTCTCAATAACTCCAAAATCAGAAGTTGACCCATGAAAAAAAAATCATCACTGATCCATGAGAAAACAGTCAGATCGAACAAACTAGAAGAACAGAGACTTTTATCTAAACCAAACCACGAAAACAGAGTAAAAGAGTAAGATTTGTACAATAGATCAGAAAACGAAATCACAACTAAAGATACCATTTTTAGTAGTTAAAAGATTCCATGAATCTACAGAAACAAATGAAGCGATCTTGCAATTGAAGCTTTTGGCTTTTCTTTTCTTCGTCCACACTCTGGCCCCATGGAACGAATTTTACAGTTTCTTCCGTAAAAGCTTCCGGTTACGACGCAAAACGACACAGTTTCAATAACTTGTTTGGCTTGGTAAGCATCTGAAACAGCTGGATTGACAACACGTGTCGACTAGAGAGTAAATCGACGGCTATTATGATATGGACCCTACTTTGATTTAATGGATAAGATGTTTTAATTTTTTTTCTTACATTGGACCACAATAAGAAAAAAAAGAAAAAAATCATTAGTCTTATTCCATCTTTAATTAGTCTTTCTTTCGTTTTGTCGGCTTTAATTTTGCAAGGGAATACCATGTTTTTGGGTCCAATTAACATTTTTTAATCACATTAATTGTTTACTTTTGTTAGAGAATCACCTTTTTCCAGTGCTTTATAGTTTATACAATTAAAGAGTGGTTAACTAATATTGTATACGTACACCATGACATAATAATATCCATCCAGGTGGACTTCACTGTGATACGTGGCATTTACCAGAAATTAGAGATCTTTTAGGCAGCCACGTGTTCTTTAGATCCCACTGAATCATTCATTACTCTCAATCAATAACAACATTCTGGTGTTTTGATAACTCATGAGTTACGACATTCATATTTGGGCCATTCTTAAACTCAATTATTGTTCAAGCTCATATTGATATAAGGCCCACTATATGTAATGTAACATCGTTAGAAGTGAAGTGGGGGAGAGCAAGAAAAAGCTTTATGAATTTCGTGTCTATTTATATAAAAAAGTAGAAAGATCAAAGCTTCAAAATTAGTTTACTTACAAATATCCAACAAAAACATGACGACTCGAGAATTAAACCAACTCATATGAACATTTACACATATATATGTTTGCTTTATATCCCCTTTTCCTTCTTTCAGGTGTTCTCTTACCGCAAAAGAAAACTTATTTATCACCATTGATACCAAAGATGCGTACCTTGTGCATGTTGGGGAACTTGGCAACAACGAGAACCATCACAGCGAGTGTGTTGAGGAACAGCCATGGATGTCTGTAATCTGTTGTATGCGATGCTATCAAGTACCTGTTTTAAATGTGTCGTTATAAAGTCAAAAACAAGTACAGAAGATAAAAGAACTCAATCTTAAAAGTGACACCAGATAAATGCAGCTCTTGTTTATACACATTATCGGGTATACCGAGTTCTCTAGAACAAGTCCGTTACACATTACCGGTGTTAGATTGTGTGAATTTGAGAATTTAGCATAATAACCATATGATATGAGACACAAGGATATATGCAGCTAAAGAGAATCAATTGCTAACAAAATGTAAATCGGAAAAAGACAAGAATGTTGAGATTTTATGGAACAAGCTGCTGGGACTTACAGGACAACAGGAACTACGGTAAGAAATTTGCGGTTGCGGGTAAGTTGTTGACCATTGTCCATTTGTTCCCACCAAGTTAAACCATTGTAGATTCCTTGGTCATCTGCAAAAGGAGTTCCTTTCATCCAGTGGAAGCTGTGATACGTCACCTGATCCAAAAATGCTACTCAGATTTCACAGTTTCCGAAGAGTAACTAAAAAATTCGACTAAATTAGGTTTTCATAATCAAGCAATGCCAAATTACAAGTCACCTCATCATATCCAACAGTTAGACCTTAAAGGAAATGCATTGTTGCCGTAGGTAATTCCAGTTTCTGATACCAAAACTAATCACTTCATTAACCAGAAGGTGCATCTTAATTCGAAGCCTGATTCCAAATCTGATCAATTCAAATTCAGAAGTGAATTGCATCTTAACTCAAAGCCTGATCAACTCAACAGTCAACCCTGCTGATACTATCCAAACTGATCAATTCAAAATTGCTGATACCAAAACTGATCACAAGGTAATTGACGATTTACGATAACCAAACTGATCAATTCAAAATCAAAAGGTAATTGCATCTTCATTCAAACCCTAACCAACTAAAAAATTACTAATAACCAAAGAGATCAATTCAAACATTACTGCCAGATTCACATCCAGATCTCAGGAATCAAAAAAACACAATCAATCAACCAATTTAAAGTCACAACCCTAAGTGAAACAATCATCTCTAAAGCATAAAAACAAACGAATTCGAAAGGTAGAAGAAGAAGACTTACAACGAAGTGAGCGAGATTAACAACAGTCCAAGCCATTCCAGGGGAACAACCAGAGACAGAGAGAACAACGAGCCAACCGAAGAAGAGAATGAGCATGTAAGTAGTCCAAACTCCTGGATACATGAACCATTCCGTATTCCTATTCATATCCGGTGGTGGAACAGCTTTCACATACAGATTCGCCATTTCTTCTTCTACAAATCTGATCGATCGGATCAAATCTCGTCTTCTTTTGAGATGGGTATTGATCAAAATCTTAAATTAAACACCTGAATTGAAAACCCAGATTCACAAAATTCTCTCTTTCGGCGAGAAGAAGGATTGTTTGTTTGTTTGGTTTAATTTTGTGTGCCCGTGAAAGACGACGACGACTGCTTTTTAGCATCTTAAGTGGAATTAATTTAATTATTGAGATATTTTTCACACAAAACGGTGGCGTTTCATATTGCCCACTTAACAAACAACAACACAAACGTCTATTGCTTGCTTTGCTAAAAATTCTATACTTTTTCCATTACAAACATTGGAAAAAACATTCAACAACATCAGGATTTGGTTTGCAGGAAGAGCGATGATGCAGCAAAATGTTTAGATTTTTTTTTTTTTTGACACAACTCTATTCAAATTTTCAAATTTCGAACTTAAGAGCACTTGTGATAGTTTTGGTAGCTCAAGGACTTGTGACCTCTTTATGTTTCTTTTTGTAAGATAAGGAATCACATTCGCGAGTATGATCATAATCCAGGCACATATACTTGGGAAACACATATATGTCGTCAAGATCTAAAGACTGCATATTCAATAGATAGTAGACACTTAACAATCCACAAGCACTGCATTATTCAATAAATATATACAGTAGTAGAGACACTTTAAAAAAATCCACAAAATAACTGGTTTAATTTATCTGATCCATATTTGAAAATATGTATTCACTTATCGTTTAACGATGAATGTCATACAAAGCAGAGACTAGAGCACCATGGACCTTGCTAGACCACAACTCTATCACATCCACGGGGACCGGGGCAGCAGCTCCTGACCACGATCCAAGGCTTCTAGACACGCGGGAGAGTTGAAAAAAAGTAGCAGGGTCGATGTTTACGAATTCGTTCTCTCCAATCAAATCACCAATGAGAGACAAGTATCCTGTATGCTCATTTAAGATTCTTCTAATGATAGCTTTACGTTCATCATGCTCACCAGCAGCAATACGAGCATTGGCCAATCCCTTAAAAGTTATGTAGACCACTGCAGTTTTGGCGTTGAGTCTCTCATTTGGGGACACCATATCTTCCTTGGTTTCTATCACCACTTTCACAATCTTCAGCTTGGACAGATCGCCCTGCAGCAAAACAACAGTTTTAAAACAACAAAAACCACAAGTTAATGATTATAACCAACAGTTGCACTCACTCATGGTATGTCATTAATATGCAGAAAAGAAAAACAAGACTTACATCTGAGATTCTGACCCTTTCAATTGCACAGAGTACAAGTTTCAAATACAGATAAATCCAATCATTGTTTTGCAACTCCGATTCCTTCACCTAAATGAGAAAAAAAAACATATGGAGGTCTAGCAATTGGAACGATCATGTCCAACCTACCGATTCTTAGTTCATTAACTTGAACTTGAAAAGTTTGCTGCGAACCGCTAACTGAATCTTGTGCAAGCAAAGTGATGTAGTAAGGGGACAAAAATTTCCGCAACTTGTTGAATTTCATTACGTCCACGAGCTTGAAGTTTGTCCCCTAAGAAAGAAGAGAAAATTGAATTGTGATCATGCTGGACGTTGATAAATGATCAGATGGAGGAGACAAGTTCTTACCTCCAACATATTGTAATGATGAAGCCCCGCACTAGCATAAAGCTTGACCAAAACAGGTTCAGGATGCCTACTATCAGGCAGTTGACAGTCGTAGGGTATCAGTGGAATAGCCCCTGGTGGTGCTACGATTCCCTCGATATCGAAACGCTAATTGAGGGAAAACAAAACGACAAAGTCACTTAGTAACAGAACAACCCAAGAAGCTATGAGTGAACAAAGATCAGATCTAGGGACAGGGTTAGGTTTTAATCTTTGTGTGACAGATTAAAGGAACATGCAATAGTCATCTTCAACAACTCCAACAAATCCTAAAATAACACATACCTCGGATTCATCCAGTCGAGGCGAGTAATCCCTCGCCGCATGGCATAACATCTCGTGACTTTCAGCCATAGACCTCGGAATCACGGTCCAATTCATATTCTGCGTATGCTCTTTATATTTAGATTTTTCTTTTTCATCCCGTATATTCATTTCTGGGCTTCTGTTGGGCCTTCTCAAACCCAAATCCTAATCTTATATTAATACCTGAAATTGAAAGCCCAGATTCACAAAATTCTCTCTTTCGGCAAGAAGAAAGATTGTTTGTTGGTTTGGTTTAATCTACAGTGCAAATGTGCAATACTGCAATTATTGGGATATTTTGCAAACCAAAACGGCCGAGTTTTTCATTCAAAAACTTAACAAACAAAAACACAAACGTCCATTGCTTTGCTAAAATTCTAAAACTTTTTTCATTACAAACATTGAAAAAACACGAGGATTTTAACTGAAATATTTCTTTGTAAACAAGGTGATATAGGTATATGTTCGTCACCTAACATAGTCGGTATCGGAATCTTCTTCTTCTTCTTCTTCTTCTCCACCTTGCTCAATGGTCTTCAAATCAAGGTTGAGAGTCAAATCCTCAACTGAGACCTTAATGACGTCGCTTCTAACGCCAATATCAGTAGCATACCGACTCATACAATACATTCCAGCAGTAACTGTTGCCACACCAATGGGACTTGGAATCAGCAATTTGAATGGTGAAGAGAGAAGTGCAGCCAAAGGAGCACCAACTATTGAAGAAGCTTGACCGCTTCTCCCTACACCACCAAGCTTATCCATTATAAGCAAACCCGTCTTGCAATATAGCGCGAAATCCTCGCAGTTGTTCTTGAAAATGTCGTAGTTGCCAAATCCGTTTTGGAGAAGGTACATTGCCCTGTGGATCACCGAATCAGTTGGATCAGGTTGCGCGGTTGTGCAAGTACCTCCGCGGACTTTGGTTAGGAAAACCGATGGACTGACTCCATATTCAAAGCCGTAGAGTGAGCCGTTCTTGAGGAAACAGTCTAAACATGAAAGAACTACTCCACTGTCAGGTTGTCTGAAACCGCAATCAGGAAATATGGAACAAATATCATCAGAGGAAGATGATGAGATTGATGATGATGATGACTCCATGGGGTTGTGTTCAGGTCTGAAATGAACAACTTTGGACCCACCGACAAAGATTCCTGCAAATATATTGCTCTCCACAATCAAATCAAAGAAATGTCTACAACAGTATCCATTCATCAACAGAGGAAATTGGATCAAATATGTCAATATACATAAATAATCTATAAAGTCCACCAGAGACAAGAGAAGATAATGAATAACATCAAAATACAGGGCCAGGGTGAAATTAGGTCATGCAAAGATTGGAATTAGGAAACTATGAAACAAAGTAAAGACCCTTGTCTTTAAGATCTATCTAGATAAAGTCATCAGCTTTGAGAATTTACAGTTTCAATAACAAGGTTAAACCCACCAGTAGAAACTAAAAGACAAGACTTGCATTGAGGATAATTTCACACATACAAAACAAATCAGACTTTTAATGGTATGATTGAATTATCGAGAAAGAAAGGAGCAAACTTGGGAAGATAGAATGAATCTAAAGTTACCGTGGTGAGAATAAGCGAAGATTGCTCTGTAAGTGTAGATGTGATCTCCTGCCTTTAACTCTTCTCTCTCCATCTTGTTCGTAAGCAAACCCATTCTTCTTCTTCTTCTTCTTCTTCTTCTTCTTCTTCTCTATCTGCACACAAAGCTTTTTTATTCCTTGCTTGTGGAAAATGCAGGAAACGGCGTTACAAGTGTGAGCTCTAACGGTGGGATCTGACGTCGGCGAGATAAGTAAGGTAAAGTAACGATTTTTGGAGTGGCGTATATGATTGATTGGATAAACGAACTATAGCTGTTGAACTAACCCGTTACAGAGTCTTTTAACGGCGTTATCTCCAAATCCAAATGCTACCAACGAGGTACAAAGTGTTGATGACGAATCGCTGATTTTCCGGGACCTTTTGACCTCGATTCCAGGCGAGGGTAATATGGTCATTTCATAGCTTGGTGGTGGTAGTTGAACTATCAAGTAAAACCAAACAGAAGCAAGAAGAGAACGACTTGGTCAAGTAGGCCAAGCAAAGGATTTTGTCTTCCACACGACATCGTTTTTAATTGCAACTCTGAATGATTCTTCTGCTTTTATTTTTTCTAAAGGTCCAAAAGAATATATAATCAATTACAAGGATCAAAGATGACACTGTAACTGTGGAAAAAAAAGCAAAGATGACACTGTAACTTTAAATACAGATGCTCCAGTTATAAACTTTGACATCAAACTCTGCATGTTCTTCCAATCTTTGTCTTAACTCCTTAGCTTTCTCTGTGTCTTTAGCCAATATAAGAGAGAATCCTCCACCACCTGCACCTACAAGCTTGAATCCTGAGCTATAAGGTTGCGAAAACTCGAAAAGCTTATCCACAAACTCATTGCTGCAATACGGGTCGAGCTCTTGATGCAATCTCCAAGCTTCTGACATTATGTCGCCTAGCTCGTCAACTTCACAGTTCATTAAAGCTTCTCTCCCGGATTTCGCCAGCTCGGTCAATCGCTTAATGCTTGAAATCAAGAGATTGTCTCTTTGCAAATACCTTGTAACGACCTTGTGTAGGACTTGATGAGCAAGCCTGACCTGTTTATATAAAAGGCATGAATGAATGAGACTGTATAGCTAACAAAAACTTTTCTTCCTCTAGTTGTTGTTGTTACTTACTTGACCGGTGAACACTACGAGGAGGCGTTGCTCCAACTCTGAGATTAGCTGTGGCGAGGCGAGTAAAGGAACAACTTGAAGACGCAAAGGAATTCCTGGAAAACTTGAAGTGAATTTGATTCCTGGGTATAATCCACCAATCTGATCTTGCCAGCCACCTCCAGTACCCATGAGTTGTACTTCTTGATCGCCAACATGGTTCTCGAGATTCGCATGAGACGACTCAACACCTTCTTCTCCATGATAACCAGGATACCAAGTTCGGGTCGCAAACCTTCTTGGCGGGATAGGCATCCTAAGCGATTCAGTCTTCACGAAGTTAGGGATTGGCAACTCCGTTCCCGATTCTTCAGCATCAGCTAACTCATCATCCGACGATAGCTCAACAAAATCCGGAGACGGCGGACCAGGCGGTGTAGCGAACTCTTCACTTGGCGGCACCATGTTGAAAGCCAGGGCTTGCCTTGGAATCCCATACTCCGTCGGCAAAAACACAATACTATCAGAACCACGCGAAGCATTATCTTCCGAAGGAGCATCAGAAACACCAAAGTCTGTCCCCAAGGACATTGAGCTAAACGAATCCAATGGGACTTGGAATCAGCAATTTGAATGGTGAAGAGAGAAGTGCAGCCAAAGGAGCACCAACTATTGAAGAAGCTTGACCGCTTCTCCCTACACCACCGAGCTTATCCATTATAAGCAAACCCGTCTTGCAATATAGCGCGAAATCCTCGCAGTTGTTCTTGAAAATGTCGTAGTTGCCAAATCCGTTTTGGAGAAGGTACATTGCCCTGTGGATCACCGAATCAGTTGGATCAGGTTGCGCGGTTGTGCAAGTGCCTCCGCGGACTTTGGTTAGGAAAACCGATGGACTGACTCCATATTCAAAGCAGTAGAGTGAGCCGTTCTTGAGGAAACAGTCTAAGCAAGAAAGGACTACTCCACTGTCCGGTTGTCTGAAACCACAATCAGGAAATATGGAACAAATATCATCAGAGGAAGATGATGATATTGATGATGATGACTCCATGGGGTTGTGTTCAGGTCTGAAATGAACAACTTTGGACCCACCGACAAAGATTCCTGCAAATATATTGCTCTCCACAATCAAATCAATAAAATCTCTACAACAGTATCCATTCATCAACAGAGGAAACTGGGATCAAATATGTCAATATACATAAAGTCCACCAGAGACAAGAGAAGATGATGAATAACATCAAAATACAGGGCCAGGGTGAAATTAGGTCATGCAAAGATTGGAATTAGGTAACAATGAAACAAAGTAAAGACCCTTGTCTTTAAGATCTATCTAGATAAAGTCATCAACTTTGAGAATTTACAGTATCAAGATTAAATCGACCAGTAGAAACCAAAAGTCAAGACTTGCATTGAGGATAATATTAGACATACAAAAAAAAAATCAGACTCTTTAATGTTATGATTGAATAATCGAGAAAGAAAGGAGCAAACTTGGGAAGATAGAATGAATCTAAAGTTACCGTGGTGAGAATAAGCGAAGATTGCTCTGTAAGTGTAGATGTGATCTCCTGCCTTTAACTCTTCTCTCTCCATCTTGTTCGTAAGCAAACCCATTCTTCTTCTTCTTCTTCTTCTTCTTCTTCTTCTTCTCTATCTGCACACAAAGCTTTTTTATTCCTTGCTTGTGGAAAATGCAGGAAACGGCGTTACAAGTGTGAGCTCTAACGGTGGGATCTGACGTCGGCGAGATAAGTAAGGTAAAGTAACGATTTTTGGAGTGGCGTATATGATTGATTGGATAAACGAACTATAGCTGTTGAACTAACCCGTTACAGAGTCTTTTAACGGCGTTATCTCCAAATCCAAATGCTACCAACGAGGTACAAAGTGTTGATGACGAATCGCTGATTTTCCGGGACCTTTTGACCTCGATTCCAGGCGAGGGTAATATGGTCATTTCATAGCTTGGTGGTGGTAGTTGAACTATCAAGTAAAACCAAACAGAAGCAAGAAGAGAACGACTTGGTCAAGTAGGCCAAGCAAAGGATTTTGTCTTCCACACGACATCGTTTTTAATTGCAACTCTGAATGATTCTTCTGCTTTTATTTTTTCTAAAGGTCCAAAAGAATATATAATCAATTACAAGGATCAAAGATGACACTGTAACTGTGGAAAAAAAAGCAAAGATGACACTGTAACTTTAAATACAGATGCTCCAGTTATAAACTTTGACATCAAACTCTGCATGTTCTTCCAATCTTTGTCTTAACTCCTTAGCTTTCTCTGTGTCTTTAGCCAATATAAGAGAGAATCCTCCACCACCTGCACCTACAAGCTTATATCCTGAGCTATAAGGTTGCGAAAACGCAAAAAGCTTATCCACAAATTCATTGCTGCAATACGGATCCAGCTCTTGATGCAATCTCCAAGCTTCTGACATTATGTCGCCTAGCTCATCAACTTCACAGTTCATTAATGCTTCTCTCCCGGATTTCGCCAGCTCGGTCAATCGCTTAATGCTTGAAATCAAGAGATTGTCTCTTTGCAAATACCTTGTAACGACCTTGTGTAGGACTTGATGAGCAAGCCTGACCTGTTTATATAAAAGGCATGAATGAATGAGACTGTATAGCTAACAAAAACTTTTCTTCCTCTCTGTTGTTGTTGTTACTTACTTGACCCGTGAAAACAACGAGGAGGCGTTGCTCCAACTCTGAGATTAGTTGTGGCGAGGCGAGTAAAGGAACAACTTGAAGACGAAGAGGAATTCCTGGAAAACTTGAAGTGAATTTGATTCCTGGGTATAATCCACCAATCTGATCTTGCCAGCCACCTCCAGTACCCATGAGTTGTTCCAGAACCAAGACAAGTCTGGCAATGTTTTCATTGCTTTCATCTCCATAAGATATCTGGAGAAGTCCTTTCACAACAGCTGCAGCTAGAATACTCGAGGTTCCTAGACCACTACCACGGGGAACATTTGCCCATGTCTTTATTGCTAACCCAGTGGAGTCGACAAAGTTTTCTTGGACAATGCCTGTTACCAGTAGAGCAGATTTAACAAGCCTGAATGGATCATTGACTTCAAATGGTGTCTTGATGCTTATTGGATCTTCGATGTGTAGCTCGTTTCCAGTGTCGTCTTGGATTGAGATTCCCATCTGATTTGTTGTTTCGATGATTGTGCCAATTGGAAGTGAACCTTCTAAGGTTATAGCCATGTTCAGGACGCAACCTGCGCGCTCTAAACTCCATGGAGGTGTATCACTCCAACCTCCTACAAAATCTACCCGAACTGGTAGTTCAACTTTTGTCCTTCTTGGTTGAAAAACTCGGTCCGGATGAGAAATATGATTCTCGGATCGGGGCTTGCCACTTGATTCCAACAGATGTTCTGAAGAACAAATAAATAAAAGAGTTGATTCAGGTTTATCCGTCAAAGAAAAGTGTTAGCAAAACACTGGTCGCTAGATTTTACCTCTAAAACCATATCTCACAGCTGAAGCAGTTTCTTCTGCAACTGCTCCCCAGACTTTATGCTCCAAGTCGATAGCTTTTGGCTCATCCCCACATGCTCGGAGAAGATCAACTTCTACCTGATATGCCCGACTCTTTGGAAGAATTTTGGAGTTTTGCTCCTGAAATTTGGGACATTGATCCAGAAAATTCTTGCATATTTCCAATCCTAATGACTCTTTCTGTAAAATCTCATGGCACAGCTGAGAAAAATTTCGCCCAAGCATACCATAGTTCATACATGCTTTAGCGATTCCAGCCGCAAGATCAGCTTGATGATTGCTGGAACCATTGCACATCTCAGGAAAGTTTATTGATCCGTGCAACTCTTCTAAGCTTACACGTTGTGAGCTTCTCCACAAGGTAATTTTCTCCTTGTTTCTACTATCATCTAAACCCATCAACCACGACGCTAACTTCAGCATTTCGCCATAAGTAAGAATCGGGAAAAGTTTTGCATTCCACAAACACCTATCTTGTGCAACATACGAGCTCCATATGTCACTTTCCTCAATGCCAAGATCAAACAATACCTTCTCTAAGGGTTTACCGCAAAAAGTTCCATCTTTATGAATCGAGTTCTTTGGATTGTCATGGAGACCACAATACACAATCACTCTTCCCTTATGTCCCACCAGTGGGACCTCCCAAAGACAATGCCTATCCGGAAGCATGAACCTGAACCTCTCTGGAGTTCCAAGATCTTCGCTCGGGATGTGAATACCAACAACTACTGACTGAGAACCAATTTGTACAGCACCAGACACTGTTGAATCGTATATAAGTGAATCTTCACCAATGGAGACACCAGGTGCAATTTCACTAGACAAAATAACAGAAGATGCTGCAATATCAGAAACCGTAGTTGCAGGGATGGAACATAAGTGTCTTCGACCTACAATTCCTGAAGCATCTCCGCTTAAGTGATCCAATACCTCACTTGATGTTCCAAAATGCAAAAACTGCAAATCATCTGACACAAGATGATACAAAGGGATTAGAAAAGTAACCATAGGCAATATCAAAAATCGCTTCTATTTTAGCTAGTCTTGAAATCAGTACAAACATACAGGTGCAGTAGCTGTACATCTTTTGCCTCCCAAGACTGTTAACAAGAAGTTCACCCAAAGGTCTGGTTCGCAGCCAATCATGCCTTGAAGGAACCCAAGCAGCCACCAAATCTTCATACAAACTCATCTGCAAAGTCAGAAAACCATTCCATTACAAAACATCTATAAGGGGCCAATGTCTGTTCAAGAACTACAATGTCAATCTTTAGGTATCAGCTGCCTAAATATGAGAAACTTACCTCTTTCTTACTGCTTATAAGCTCTAAGATCATGGGTTGGCACGAGCATCCAAGAGCGACCAGGTCCAACCATGCTCTGCCCCTTGCAGATATTATCCCAGTGTCAAGGAGCGTCCGTCCATCATGTAAGATTGCATCTTTCTTGACAAGCTCCTCTACTGTAGGCTTCTGCAGAAGATCATTCACTACACTGACAGTATAGCTCTCAGCAAGGGACTCAGATTTGGATGTGACAATAACACCATGGTTGGAAGCAACATCGAGAGTGATAGGCACAGTAACTATAGAAGCTGCGTCTTCAGGTAGAGTCATTCTAAAAGCATCAAAACAAGGAAGGACGTCTCCAGTCATGATAAATAATCCACCTTCACAAATTAAATTCAAAAATCAGCATTCCCACATTCTTCTCTGTTTTACATTTGAATTATGTTCTAAAGGGTATTCACCTTGGTCTCTGAAAGCTTGTCTTGCACATGAAGCGATTGCAAGTATATGATCAAAAAGGAGAGGAACAGGACCATCAGGATCATCAGCAGCAAGATAAGGAAGTGGGAGGAATACTTTCCCCATAGGATTTGCCCAAGGAACCCTTTTGGAGTCACCTCCAGCATGAAGCATCAATACATGCTTTTCAGAGATGAATCTAACCCATTTGCAAGTACCATTTGCAACTTCCACCTGTTTGATTATTAACATAAACATCAAATCACAACCACAATGCTATATAATGTTTAGTCCAATAAACAGATCTGTTGGGTTTTGTTAGTGTGTTCAAACTATGAATAATCTAACCTGTCAACACAATTTTACCTCGGGACCAGGATCAAAACCCAATTTCTCATAATGGCGAGCGAGAGCATAAATGGCGTTGAGAGTTGCAGCACCAGAGCCGATCCGTTTGCCATCTGGATCAGGAACAGCTAAAGTGACAGTGGAGCTAGCTATTCGTCCCATCCGTTTGGCTCGCCGGAGCTGCCACTCGTAGAGCTCTGCCTGTTCAGGACTAGCCGCTGTGAGAACAATCGCATCCCAGGTTGGGACCCTAGTGGGATGGCGCACCGAGAGCCTTAAGTGGTACCATGACTTGCGCAAAACGGTGGCTAAGTCAGCTTTCTTCCTCTGCTTAGACATTTTCTTGCAAAGAAGACGAAGAAGAAATGTGAGAAAATGAAATCTGGAGGTTTTGTGGACAGAGGAAGAAGACGAAGCAAGTTTTGTTTTTTTTAACAGACGGATCGGGTCAAAGTCAAAGACCAATGCAATCAATACGTTGTCGTGTTTGGATCTGAATCTCAAAAAAGAGAAATTTACTTATTGTTCTACCAAAGCTGAATGCTTTGCACACATTGAATTCCTGTTACTTGGATATTGGATCAAAAATTCGAAAAATTACAGAAACTCGTGAGCTAAGGACACAAAGAAGCAGAGTACATAACAGAGGATCTGCAAAATTTGCAATAGGGGGAGGTGATCATCATCATTATTCATTCCTCACGCCAAGTGAACTCGCACTTCAAGCATCTATAAAATCTTGATTCTGGCTCATCCGCTGAACGAATCTGCATTGATTTGAAGTATGCCTTGTCGTGCCCGCACCTTGGACATGGAGCTGTTAAAACCAAACATTCCCAACATGAGAAAGAAAATTGAAACAACAAAGATCTACTCTTTCCCCAGTGATGATACATTCAAAAAACCCTAAATCTTTATTTACCATGTTCTAATTAGAATAAAACCTGTGTAGCAGAGCATGGACTAAACTAATCACAATCCTAAAATTAGAATAAGAAGACAAGATAAGAGAGTAAATATACCTTCAGTTTCAGCGGCTGTGGGTATATCATCTTTAGTCACAACAGGTTCTATAGATTTCTTAACCAGAAGTTGCTTCTTCTTTATCTCCACCTGTCAAAATTCCAAAGCAGTCAGGAACAGAGGAGAGATAAAGATTTACTCAAAAACCTCCAAAGGGTTTTGTTTTGTTTTGTTTAATTGGAAAAAGAAAAGGAAAAAAACCTGTCTTTCGATGTAGGCGACGTATGGACATGTGGAACAGAAGAATCTCGAGTTCCCACTTCCCTCGTAACGCAACAGATTCCCACATGTAGGACAAAACTCCATCTTCCACACACGATCACTTCGCCGCTGCAAAATCCCCCCCAAAATCAATTCATAAAACTACGAAATAGATAGAGAGACAGAGAAAGAGGGAAGGGTTGTTACTAATACATTGTTCTATTGTATCAGCTCCGGAATATCAATCCCTCCGTCGCCGAGCCGCCGCTTTTGCTCTCTCTCGTCTGTCGCCGTTTTACAGAATTTTTAAGGAGACGCAATTTTTTTTTTTCGATTTTAATCCCAATCTTCTGCTTTTTCAACATTCTGACCCCTCTTTTTTTTATTAGGAGACACTATAATTGTTTGAGCCCAACTTTTATTGGGCCTAAAAGATAACATCTGGCTGAAAGCCCAACTTATGCGATAGATTATGTTTTAGGAGGGAAAAAAAAATGAATAACGAATAATTTAGCAACTTTGAATGTTAATGTCTTTAGTTATCAATCAAGTCGTCTATTTTTGAGATATGATCTTTAATGTTTATATATTATTTTTTTTTGACAAAAGTTGTAATGATACATAAGAAGGAGAAATTTTACTAGCATCTTTCGTTAAAATGCATAGCGTCACAACTCACAAGTTAAAATACGTAAGTCTTTATAGCTTAGCGAAAGTAGAAACCAGAAAACAACTTTACCGTGTATTGAAATAATTCTATACCATTCACATATGTCCAGTTAGTCATTCGTTAGAGATGTTGTCTTAATTGAAAACAACAAATAAGTAACAATCAATTGATTTATTCTTTTCATATAACTCATATAATACGCTACAATCAATAAATTTATCTTTTCAGCAACTGCAACATCATATAAAAAATTAAAGAAAGGGACAAAAAAAAAGGCAATAAATTTCATACATGAGGTAGAAGTAGACAACAACCAACAATTGATGGAGGGAGCATAAGAGCTTTTTTAGGTGGTCTCCAGACAAATTGTGGGTTTCATGTTGAATCAATAAATTGATTTAGCAAAATAATATCGTTTTTTCAATTATGTCGGTCCATGCCCACAGGCCACAGCTATATTAAACATTTAGAATTATATAAAAGCTAATTAAAATCATGCACAGACCATTGTTGCTGTCTTCATATTACACTTTAGGATACTTAATATTTAATTTCGGTTTGGGTTATCTCGACCACTAAAACCAAACCAACTATACGACATTTTGGTTTGTAGCAGTTCTAGTTTTTAAATTTGGTCTCGAATGGTTATGCGTTTTCATCCTTACAACAGTTTGAATCCAACCAATCTCACTAAGTGGTTCAGATTTTTTTGTTAATTCGGTTTGGTTTAGATTGATTAGGTTTACCCGTACTGAACCATATAAAACCAAAATCAACTCAAAACCATTTTCTTCTCCTTTCTCTGTTTCACTAACTCCCACTTTACTCAAAAGAGACTCAAAACTTTATAGTGTTTTCTTCATAAGCCCAATAATGAACGAAGAGATGAGCGGTGAGTCGCCGGAAAATAACAAACACGTAAAGAAACCGACGATGCCGGAAAAGATCGATTACGTGTTCAAGGTGGTGGTCATTGGAGATTCTGCAGTCGGGAAAACGCAGCTCCTCTCACGTTTTACGCAGAACGAGTTCTGTTATGATTCAAAATCAACCATTGGTGTTGAGTTTCAGACAAGGACCATCACTCTTCAGGGCAAACTCGTTAAAGCTCAGATCTGGGACACCGCCGGTCAAGAAAGGTTATATCTATATCTAAACACATTGATAATTCTTTACATTTTTTATTAAAGCTGAATCTCATTTTTGGATTCAAATTAATTGTTTAGAGTAAAATTTATTTTTTCTTGGATCATGGTAATTTAGATATGTTTTGATTTGATTTTGTAACTATATATATTTTTAATAGAATATGGAATTGTTTTGGGTTAAAGTATTGAATAACCATTGGTGTTCTTGATTTGGTTAATACAATGACAGATTTCTTTTCTGTATTTTTGTTTTTGTCTTTTTGCAACCACTTAGATCAAAAGGTCAAATGCATTAACTCACCGAATAATTTGTTGCTTAAGTAAAACTTTATATTTTTCTTACCCATGCAAATGTTTCATTTTTTTATTTTTTATTTTTGATAAAATAAATGTTTAAGGGACTATTACATAGATGAAATGAAATAAAACGTGAGTTTTTCATATATTTTCTTTAACATATTTTTGTTTCCATAGTTGCATTATATAAAGAACAAAGAAATTGCAGTTGTTAACATTGATAATTCTTTATAGCTGAATCTCAGATTTGGATACAAATTAAATGTCAAAATAAACTAAAATAGAGTTGAATTTCGTTTTGTTATCTAGGATCACGATTTTTCAATTAATGGATTTGAATAATTATTGGTTTTCTTGATTTGGTCAGCAATGTCAGATTATGTTATCATTTATTCAATTAAAAATATTCGTTTGTTTATTGCGTTTTCCGGCGATCAGATACAGAGCGGTGACGAGCGCCTATTACAGAGGTGCGTTAGGTGCGATGGTGGTTTACGACATTACCAAACGCGTCTCATTCGACCACGTGGCACGTTGGGTAGAGGAATTACGTGCTCACGCCGACGATTCCGCTGTGATCATGCTCGTTGGAAACAAAGCCGATCTCGCAGTTGATAAACGCGCAGTTCCTACGGAGGACGCCGTCGAATTCGCCGAGACTCAACGACTTTTTTTCTCGGAAGTCTCGGCTCTTAGCGGCGGAAACGTCGACGAAGCTTTTTTCCGTTTACTCGAGGAGGTTTTCAGTCGCGTTGTTGTTTCGAGAAAAGCTATGGAATCTGACGGCGGCGCCACCGTGAAGCTTGACGGTTCGAGGATTGATGTGATCTCTGGTTCGGATCTTGAGATTAGTAAGATCAAGGAACAAGCTTCGTGCTCGTGTTGAATTTTGAATGATGGGCCATAAAATCAAAACACATAAAGCCAATTATTGGGCCTTCTTTAAGCCCATATATGACTCAGGATCTATGTTTGGCTTTTCATATTACAGGTGGTGCTTATAGTTACTATCAAAAGCCTATTCATGTGTCATTCGTAATCTCTTTGACATTCATGTATATGTAAAGGAAAAAATTATTCTTTTATTCTGTCAAGTTCTAAGGAGGTCTATTCAGTCAAAATGTTAAGTAATTAGAGTCTTATAAATATTTCCAGTAAGGATTTTTTTTTTTTAAACTAATGATGAAGTTTTTTTTTTCTAAGATTATCGTGGAATGATCAGAACCACAATAAGTTCATTAAGTAGATATTTTCGTGACATCAATTGTGAGTGTCACGTTAGAATCTGGAATATAATCCAAATCCAAATCCAACGGAAGATATGATTCTATTTATTTTTTGCATGCAACCGAATAATTTGAAGTGCTCCAATCACAAACTCGCTTTTCCTCTTAAGACCTAAAAAATGGGTATATTATATAATCAAATATATAATACATAGCACATTAATATTTACATTGTATCTAAGCACATATGATTAATCCGCCACCAAGTGCTTTATGACTACTTAGTTTTCTATGCTGATACCTCTGTATTATGTGTAAAGTTACTTATTAGTTTAACGTTTATTAGCAAAAGAAAGATTCTTATAATAACAAATGTATTTGTTGGATTTTTTTTTTTTAACGATGCATATCATCAAATTAAGTTTAGTTTTCTGCATTACCTGACGTAGTGACGTACACAAATATTATAAATGAAAACTAAGTAGCTAAGACCGGTTTTGAGTATAGAACAAGTTTGGATTTTTTTATTTTTTTTGAGATCAACGAAGAAGTTTGGATTCAGGGTCCCAAACTCACAATATTAAATTTCGGTGGTCGTGGTATTGTTTTGAATATAAATTAAACACTTCGATTATCTCTTCCATTAAAAATCATATTTAGCCTTGATAGTAGCTTGGTAAGAAAAAAGCATGTATAAGTTTTCTTCTATTTAATCTATTTATATTGTTGGGAAGAAAAAAGCATGTATAAGTTTTTTTTTGGTATGAAAAAGCATATTGGAAAGTATATATAAAATGCCGTTAGAGAAAGAAAAAAAAACTATATAAAAGTAGATGATTAAAAGGAAAGGTCGTTGACTAGCAAAAGAAAAGGTCAAATGGGAAGCAATTTGCAGGAGAAAAGTCGTACGTTCACAATTTGCTAGGAGACTCATCAGAAAATTGGAATCTTTGAAAATAATAGTAATTACGTATACATGTTATTTTATTGTTTTTGTTATTTAAGCACTACGTTTAGATATGCAATTACTTTATTAAGATGCATATATACTCACATTAGCATTAAAAATCATGATTCATAAACCTTACTATTTTATATGCAAATTTTATACGTATGCCGCTATGCGTTTCCTTAGAAAAGTTATAGATATATAGAATACTCATCAATATATATAAAAAATTATAATTAACTGGGGACCATTAGATGATAATACTTGTGTTTATTTAGATTACAATTCTCTGGAAGGATATAGTAATTTGAGTGTACCAAACATGTCATGACATATACATATAGATGACCACGAACGCATATTGGGTTATTACTTATTAGCATATACCCATGAGCACCAACAAATAACTTTGAAATAAATATTTAAAATTTCAAGTATTCTCTATTTTGCAATTAATTGGCTAAGATCTTCATCATTCTTACGTCTATTTAAAGCCTCACAAAGACCCAAACATAGATCACAACCTATAAACGGAAAAAAAAATCACAGACAAAAAAAAAAGAAGAACATTTATCCTATCCATAATGTTCTCTTTGAATATGAGAACTGGAATAGAAAATTTGTGGGTATTTGCTCTTGCATCAAAATTCAATATTTTCATGCAAGAACATTTTGCTCCCCTTCTTGTCGCCATTGCTATTACTTGGTGTACCTTAACCATCGTATTTTGGTCTACTCCGGGTGGACCGGCTTGGGGAAAATACTTCTTCACTCGCCGGTTTATTTCTATCGGTTATAACCGAAAATCCAAGAATCTCATTCCCGGTCCTCGAGGGTTTCCACTTGTGGGAAGCATGAACCTTAGGTCAAGCCACGTGGCTCATCAGCGCATAGCGTCAGTGGCTGAGATGAGTAACGCCAAGCGGCTCATGGCGTTTAGCCTCGGCGATACTAAGGTGGTGGTGACGTGTCATCCTGACGTGGCGAAAGAAATACTAAATAGTTCGGTTTTTGCAGACCGGCCGGTTGACGAAACTGCCTACGGTTTGATGTTTAACCGAGCTATGGGATTTGCTCCCAATGGTACTTACTGGCGTACACTGCGTCGGTTAAGCTCGAACCATCTTTTCAACCCGAAGCAAATCAAACGCTCGGAGGAGCAGAGAAGAGTGATCGCGACTCAGATGGTGAATGCGTTTGCACGTAATGCTAAAGCTGCGTTTGGTGTGCGCGATTTGCTCAAAACAGCGTCGTTGTGTAACATGATGGGGTTGGTTTTTGGGAGAGAGTATGAATTGGAGTCAAATAACAACGTGGAATCGGAATGCTTAAAGGGTTTGGTTGAAGAAGGGTACGATCTTCTCGGTACGTTAAATTGGACCGACCATCTCCCTTGGTTAGCCGGTTTAGATTTCCAACAAATCCGGTTTAGGTGCTCCCAGCTCGTACCGAAAGTAAATCTGTTACTGAGCCGTATCATTCATGAACACCGTGCTGCCACCGGTAACTTTCTTGACGTGTTACTTTCACTTCAAGGTTCAGAAAAATTATCAGAATCCGACATAGTCGCTGTTCTTTGGGTAAGTTTTGTCTTTTAATCATTATTCAATTCGTTTATCATGATAATCAGCATTAGTCAAATAGATTTAAAAATTGTTTAGTTTGATATAAAAACTCGTCGGTGTTTCTAAAGTGTCTACTTATATAAACACGAAAACAGATTGGTGTATTTTTTTAATAAGCACAAAAATTTGATGGATTTTCATGGAAATGATTATGGAATTTCTCTTACAATTTAAATTTTTTGGTCCGTTAGGAAATGATATTTAGGGGAACGGACACTGTTGCGGTTTTGATCGAGTGGGTCCTAGCGAGGATTGTGATGCATCCCAAAGTTCAATCAACGGTCCACGATGAGCTTGACCGAGTCGTTGGTAGATCAAGAACCGTCGATGAGTCAGACCTTCCATCGCTCACTTATCTAACGACTATGATCAAAGAAGTGTTGAGGCTGCATCCACCAGGCCCACTTCTTTCTTGGGCACGCCTCTCTATAACAGACACCACCGTAGACGGATATCACGTGCCGGCTGGGACCACCGCGATGGTCAATATGTGGGCTATAGCACGTGACCCGCACGTGTGGGAGGATCCTTTAGAGTTTAAGCCTGAGAGGTTCGTGGCTAAAGATGGTGAAGCCGAGTTCTCTGTTTTCGGGTCGGATCTGAGGTTGGCACCGTTCGGGTCGGGTAAGAGGGTTTGCCCTGGAAAGAATTTGGGGCTTACGACGGTGTCGTTTTGGGTTGCAACGCTCTTGCATGAGTTTGAGTGGCTTCCAAGCGTCGAAGCTAACCCTCCAGATCTCTCGGAGGTTTTGAGGCTCTCGTGCGAGATGGCTTGTCCTCTTATCGTTAACGTAAGCCCAAGGCGTAAGAGCGTGTAATCGATTTGGACTTTGGTCAGTGCATGGATGTTTCAACTTTCAAATATGAATTGTTGGCAATTGAAAAATGACGTTTATTAAATAAATCTTGAAGGAAAAAAAGAAAGAAGCAAACATGTATCCTAGCGAAGTAGATTCGCCCACCTTTTATTGATTATATGAATGTATATGTCTTATGTGAAATAAATATATCGTATGTTACGTGAATTTAGGATTTATGAGTATATTTAGCATTTGTAAATTATTATCTTCCGGATGATGGGCTTGATCGTAAGATGTTTCGGCTTTAAAACCAATCGTTTCATTTGTTTCAGCTTGGGGTTCAATCATATTGTGTAACTAGTGATGGTTCCGGCTCGAATAATAATTTGTGATAAATTAAGAACAAAATGTCTATGAAAATGATTATTGGAGAAGTTTTATAATGAACAAACTATATCACTAGCTGTAATAGATGTAAACTGTTTGGCTGTAAATAGGTATAAAAGGTTATAAAATGTTCGAAATATGTAAATTACTTAAAGTCTACTTGTCTTAAAATCAATTTAACTACAATCCTAGGAATCATTCCACTTAGCTAAAATAAACTAAACTATAGTTTGCGTGTTGACGATTAACGGAGTAACTTCTCCAAATATAACTTATATTTTACTCCAAATTGTTTGGACATCCTTAACTTGCTGCGAAATTTCTCATAAAGAAGTCAGTCAAGAGACATAACGATTTTATATAATATAATGAAGTATTCGATTTAAGCTTTGTAGTATATTAATCGATGTCGTCTTGGAGTGTTCGACTTGTTCAGTGTTTCTGACTGGTTTCTGACTGTTCAATAACATGACGTCACTAACTTGTATTATGGACTTATGAAACGTTAAATGTTTTGTATTTAGTTGCTGAGCAATGTATAAGTGTTGTACATTAACATTCGATAAATTGGAAATACAAATTATCAAAAAAAAAAAAAAAAATTAAAATGCATATGAATATTTTTGTGGTAATGAGCCCAAGTTGTAACTGGGTTTGTAAATAATAACTGGGCCGTTTATGATATTTAATCATCAATATGGGTTAAGCCCATTGAATATTTCATTTGTTGTCAACGGCTTATTTACATGTGAATCAACCATAAAGCGATATAGACGATATTACACGAAAATAGCTATAGATCAGACCAACCTACAAACACTTACTTGACGGAATTCTCATCTTCCTCTGCCTTATCATCGGTAGTGTGTTCAAAATTCCAAACTCAACGGTAGCAACTAAACACGAGATTCAAACGAGCAAAAGATATATAGACAACTCTTTAGCTAAATAAACCTATAGACAACTAATAGTAACAAACTTGCAAGTATGGCATAAAGGAGAAAGAAACAGCGAGATAACAGAGAGACTTTTATATGAGGAAAGGCAAATAGAGTAATGGGGTACTATTTGAAATATATATATAGTATCACAATTAAACAA